ATTTCGAGCAACAGTGGCGCTTTCAAGATTGCAACAAGCACTTGGAATGACCTGACCACACATGCGACACGAGACACTTTTACGAGTCCTGAGATACTGTCACCCAAGGGTCCGTTGTCTCCATTATCATGTCGCGATTATTGTTAGGCTTTGTTGTGGCCAGGTTGCTCCCAATGGCCCAATGCGACCCATCACCCCAACATGTTTCACGAATGGTTCATGCCTCAAAGGCCCCAGGATGGTACACACATCTCCAGAGCTTGATGCATTGTGTGGATTGACAGTGACAGGGCTTCACTCTTCCGGGAACCACAGTGGTTTGTCGGATGCTTGGAAACAGCATGAAACATAAGTCTATGAGGAGGGGAACCAATTGTCTTTTTCAAAAACTGGATGGGGTACACCCCCTAAACTCAACATGCAACTGCCAATTTTCGGGGTTCCATATTGAATTTTGGTAGGTCCAAGGGTCCAAGTTTCGCTTCCTGAGAGAGTACCGTCAGGTGGCGACAGCCACACGTCAACCCATGGTGCTTTCGGAGCATTGGCATTTGGCTCCAAGCTTAGCAACGGCCAGTGCTCCCATATCTCCCATGTTAGTTGCTGGTTGTATAGTGGTATCAACGGGTGGAAATGAGGATGTTGACCATCAAAATAAGGGGATACAGATAGAATCAAAAGGGATCTTGAATCTTAACATATCTGAACCCATAAAGCATTTTTTGATGGATAGTTACTGAGGCGAGATGAGCTGGTTTATACATTTGGGACTAGTTTCTTCTGAGTAAACCAGATGTTTCATCTATGTGAGGCATTGGAACATCAGAAGTTGAGCATGTGCTCGCGACGCAGACACTGTTTCAGCCTTGGACAATCTTGGACACTACTTCCAAAGACTTCAGTGAGGTGCTCATGAGGTGGCACCAAAACACCCGCTGTTTCTGGATGTGTTTGGTTCGTATTGAGGCTCATGAAGAAAGCAAAAAATATGCCAGGAGCCTCCAGACTTTGCAAGCTGCGGTAAACCCAATGCCATAAACCATCCCCGACATCACTATATCACTACTGATATCACTACTGATATCACCATAAATGATATAAATGGGTGGTGTAAACATGTATAAACATGTATAAACCATGCCCAGATGGTAGGTTTATTCTTGGGTTGCCCACATTACTTGAATTCCTCCAGTTGTTGACCTCTGTCACCTGAGGCGGATCAAGGTGTCTGGGAAGCTGACCGAGGGAGTCACTTCCAAGGAATGCTTGGCCGCACCATAGACACAGCAAATTAAATACGATGGAACCTCCATTTGGGTATGGATCAATACCTATTAATACCATTTTAGTGGGATGAACATCCATTTACCAGCTATTTTGATGTTCAGCAGGGGTACAAGGTTTTGACACACTGCCATTTTGGGCTGCTCAATTGAGGCTTTCCTGATGACGTTTCCGTTTCCCCATGTTGCTGGTGAATTCTGGCTTTCCCATGCTTTCCCAAGGTTTCTTGCAGTTTTTCCCATTTTTTCCCCCGATTTTTCACCCAACCATTCCACAGTCGACTTGTAGGACGTCATCCTGCACATCATCGGCATCATCGGCACAGCGGGTGGCACCGGATGCGTCGTGGAATTTTGCTGCCCGTCTGCGCTATGCCTCAAGATGCCAAGAAACCAACACATGAATCAAAGTCTAAGAAATCTCGTTGACACTGGCTTGCACAACTCAATAATCTCAATATATTAAATTTGAAATATAAGAAAATATAAGTATGTATTATATATCTGTATTTATATATACACATGTATGTTCAATTCATTGCTATATATACTTATCATTTATGATTATGTGTGTGTTTGTGTGCTAGGCCCTTCTTTCGCTGAATTGTAAATGCCAGGGCATGATTTGTTCTTGTTACACTTTTGACATGACACGAGGCGGAGACGTGTTTGAGAACATGTCTATGGAGGCACTCCTGTTTTTTCCGCATTTTTTCGCGCGCTTATCATCTATTCCGATACGATCATTGTTTACCCCATTCCATCCATTGGATTATCATCATTTTTCCTTCCGCGGATAGCCATTCTGCATCATTCTGCATCATTCTGCATCATTCTGCATCATTCCTGACACACCCATTTGGTCAGTATCTAGATGTAGTAACTAACCATATCCAGATATACTAGCCATTTTCAGATTACTTTCCGCACCCCCCACGGCGGACGCTGGGATAACTTCCAGGCCCGGATGTCCGTGTGCAACATGACCATTGAGGCCGGCGCCAGGTGCGCCTTTGACGGTCACAGCGTTTGGTCCTGGACGGATGATGAAAAATTTGGATGGCACTTGAGGGCTGGAATGGTCGCTCCAGATGAGATCACATTCAACTACCTGAAAGGAAGGCGCGTTTTGATGAATCCCAGAAACATCGATTTGGACAAAACACATCAAAACACATGGCTTCATCAATGGTTTATCATCATTACCCCACTATACCGTGACTATACCCCACTATTAAGATGGCCATTTGGGGGCGTATAGTTACAGTATACTAACCATTTTCAGACACACACCGTATCATATTTGGAATATTCAGACATTTTTGATGTCCGACTTTCTCACTGCTTTGCTGGCAGGCCTTTGTGCCCAAAAGGGAAGGAGTGGGACAAGGCCGAAGAATTCTGAATCACTCCATTCCTCGGCAAATGGATTGTGAAACAGGCCGTGGAATATTGGAAAAGCCTGCGAACCGACAAGGGAGCGAAGTGAGCCTGCCTAACCTCTTCCTTTGTTGAAATTGACAGACTTGCAGGATGACTACTACATGCACAGTTGTACAAGGTGAAAGATGATGGAATATGATGAGGGATAATGCCATTTAAATTTGATGAAGTGTGTTCGATTTGTCTGCGCAGACCCGAGGTTTGACAAGGACATTTACATCGACGCTGCTGACATCGCTCCAACAGTCGCCGGAACGCAATTCGTATCACAGTTGGATGAAATAAACCTCCAAGTTCTTCACCATTCCTTCAAGATTGCAGAGGGTCTTCTTTTGATAACTACTAGTATGCTATAGTATGTTGTATTATGTTGTAGTATGTTATAGTTATAGCCATTACACAATGGGGAACCGTTGAACCAGCCCAGATTTCCCTAGACTCACGAGATCTCACGAGGATGCAGAACATCCACCATCCTCTGCTCCTCAGGTCACCTGGGGAACCAGCCCAGAAGATGTGATCCCCATCACTGGGACTGTGCCAGACCCCAGCGAGGCGGGTGCAGCGGGTGCAGCGGGTGCAGTGAAGTTGGGATAGAAAGGTTGGAATCTACTGAGATTTTTTACCCCAAACAAATCTATAAATATGATATACTATGATGAACTATGGTCATGTATCACTCCTAAAATATGTGTATCCTAAAATTTGACCATCCCACATAACATGGACCCCGGCATGAGTTGGGGGTTGGAAGAGTCCTTCTAAAAGATGGGTGATCCGCAGGGTCATTGGGTCTTCATTTGCGCCAGAGTAATCAAGAAAGATGAACACCTTTGGTGTCCGTTGGCACAGGCAACAGATGAGACAAAAAGGACTGCTTCACTAAGATGTCTTTCTTATCCATGCACCAATATTTCTATTTGTTTACTGTAGCAAGTATTTGGTTGGGCTTTTGTGGTTGGTTTCTACCATTACTGTGGTTTCGAACAACCTCTTCTTGCAGGACTGGTATGGCGAGGGCCCTTCAGTACATGGGTTCCGTGCATAGCATTACAGGATTTGTCCGAAGTTTTTTCTTATTTACAGCTTGCATTTGGAGTAAGATTTAAGAGCTTTTACCCAACTAGACTTGACACTATTGAATCCAACCAGCCTTTTTTATTTAAGCAAGCTTTGGCTCCAAAGCTCATTTCTGCAGGTCATCAACTGTACAGGTTTTCAGTTTGGGAGGAGGTTGCTCATGAGAGATTTTGATAGCACATGATAGCACCTTCAAAAAATCTGGCACCCTTGAGGTCTAGAGCCCGGTACAAAGATGCAGGACATCTCCATTCAGAAGGCTGGTAAAGTCAGATGGACGACATAGTGTGTTCATCCATCGATCTTCACAAAACCAGTATGGACAGACTTTGAAACGCAATGTTGAAATGGACCAGGGGTGACACTTGGTGACACCTGGTGACACATGGTGACACTTGGTCCTGCTTACCTTGCGTTTAAAAACCTGTATGGTAGCCGGTCATGAGCAAACAGCCGTCACTCCCCGGAGGTGTTTATTGGATCCTGCACAAACAGCCGAATCGAGGACATGCGACACGACCTCAGCACTGAACTCGCCGGACTCGCCGGACTCGCGATGAAATGTGGAGCTTTCAAGATCGAAGCATCTCCAGGCAGTGTCGCCTCGGTGGTCAAGGGAAAGAAGGTTGGAGATGGTTGGAGCACTGGAGCATCGTTCTTGTTATAAGAATGAACAAGTAGCCACTCAGTAGCAAGAGAGAGAACATGATAGAAAACTAGAATAAACTAGACATCTGGTAAATTCTGCTAACATAAATACGTGTCTTCCGATTCTTCTAACAAAAAAACACAATCTTTTGTTTTCCACCTTCTCTTGGTCAAAAGCACAAAGGACCCCAAATCTTGGTTCTAGCATTCATATGATTCATTGATGCATGAGCATCCATTGCTTCCATGTTCTTTTGGTTGCTTTTCTAGGATGAGAGCCCATAGATCATTGCGGTGCTGTGTAGCATTACGTGTTTGCCATCAGCTTGTCTATTTTGCTCAGAAAGAGATGCAAGATCATGCAAGTCTCACTTTCTTAGTTCACACTTGTAGACAATATCGCCAATGTGAATAGAGTGGGCAGACCAGCAGGCAAATCGACTATTCGAAAAGCAAGGCAGTAAAAAGAAGCAGAATCAGTTGGGATCGGATCAGAAGACCGTTCTCCTTTTGGAACGAATCCAATGAAGAGCTACAGCTACTGTACAGTAAAACAGCAGTTTTCTCTGCGGAGACATGAGCACATGTTGATGCTGGAATCTTGGCTTAGCGTTCGGATTTGATCGTCCGACACCCAGCATTGTTGTCCAGATATGTCCAGATGTCGAGGGCAGCACATTGACAAGCTTGGTCTGAATAATCCCATCCTAATATCAGCTGTAAACCTCTGAAAACCATGGTTTAGCCTAGTGATCTCTGAATTTTGAGATCCTTATTGGTGGTATTCAATACTAGGGGGACACGCCTTTCCCACAGATGTGCAAGATTTGTGGCCTTCCTCCACCTGGCTGGGTATGAAACAGTTGATGCTCTTGGAAGCCCAGGACTACAAATACATCTAAGGAAACAGACAACCATGATATGATATGTATACATTATTATGCACATAGTATATAATAGTATATATGTGTACATATTATGAATGATATGAATGTATATTCTGAAAAGATTCAGAGATTCTATGATTCCATATGATTCCATTTTCAGCTGTCCGAATTGGACATTTTTAAACACGGCCTTAACACGGCCTTTGTAAAATCGGCACCAAGGTGATGAACGTGGAAAGTTTCCGGTTGAAGGATCCCTTGGAATGGACCGTCGGCGAGGTGGGCGACTTCCTCGCTTCGATTCTGCAAGGGGACCTGGGTACAACATGGTACAACGGTACAACGGACCTGGGTACAACGGTGCAACCAATAACCTGTTATGGTTATGTTATGTGGATGACAACCACTTATTAGACTTATTAGTTACTAGTATGTTGCAACCATGTCTAGTTATTTACAGTTGGCACTGGATGTTATGTTGCAACTGTTGCAACATAAATCATGCCAAAAACCATGAAAAAAACAACACCTGGAGATGATATGACACCACCAGACTCCGATACCAAGGTTGACAAACTGTTTTCGTTCCCTGATTTTCCCCAAACTGTTGCCACTAAGTCCTGGACAGCCATGCCTGGACTATTTCCGGCACACTTCTGGCTATGCTTGGGGGCCCAAGGATCCCAAGGATCTCAAGGGTCGAGGGGGCTGGCGCCAGGTTCCATGATTCCATGGCTGGAAAATCGTCCATGGCTGCTCCGATGAGTTTCGAAAAGCTCCATTTTAAATGGTACGTAGACCCAATTACTGTAAGACGATTGTTTTAAATTTTAAATGATTGGACACTTTTTTAATCGGCTCCATCTTCAAATTTATCTGATTTCCCAGGCATGTTTGATCTTAGGGTAGACAGACCAGGTTCTTTGCTCCTTGGAGAAGGAGGACCTGCGCAAGCAGACCAAGAATGATGAGGCCGTGAACGCCGTGAACAGACAAGCTTTGGGTCTAAAAATTGTAAGTAGACCCAATTTTTAGAATCTATGAAACCTTGTGAAGATATTAATGATAAACCATCATAAATCATGGGATATGTTTTAGATGCCCATGGCAATATGGCAATGCCATGGTACCCTAGTCAGACAAACCCGTTCAGGCCACGAACGTCATCTGGATGGAATTGGCCAGCAGAAGGAAGGGAGCATCACCGGCCCTTACCTCAGTGACTCAGGACAGTTTCCTGCTGAAAATACGCTTGGCTTTTTCAATTCATAGGGGAAAACCCTGTTTAATTATTTTAGTTGCATATGAACAAACTCATCTCTATCAGGTCTATTCTAAGTGTGTACTAGTCCTAAAGCATGTCCAATCTACCAGTGGTTCACTATTTCAAAAAAAATCAAAACATGGACTCCTGAGGAGATTTTCAATGACCACTATATATATATAATCAAGGAAAACAAACAAGGTGAATCATTATATTCCCCATGTTCACATGGCTATTAATGGATACGCACACACACACCATTTTTGGACAAACCCACATAACCTGAATTCCTGAGATTTCGGAGTTGACTTCAGGTGCGAGCCGCTGGTGGCAACAAGGCAGGGTTTCTCAGATGCTTCATCATTTCGAGCCCCAAAGTAATTCCTCCAAATGCAGGTACTATGTAGTGAAGGGAAATGATGGTTACCTAATCCTGATCGCATTGAACGATTTTGACATGAGTGAGGAAAGGGAGTGGATTTTGATATGTGTCAAATGCAAAGTACCTGAATCTATCTTGACTTGGGTGGCGCGGCGAGCGCCCCATATTTTAGCTAAGCCACTTCATGAAGGATCCTTTTCGCGGCATCGTCTTGAACATTTAGGGGACCCCTGATGGTTAATCATTAATAAATTTAATCATTATTTTCCGGATTAAGATGGCTATAAAATATCGCATGTATTCACATGTGGGGTAACACACCCGGGTCCTGTTCCCCTGCTCCAGAGCCACAATTTTGGAAGGCGCTAGTTCAACGGGGAGGCCTCGATCCTCGCTTGGCGCCGAGCATCGGGAGGAAGAAGCATTTTCGAGTGAACATCGCAAAAGAATAGAACAGCTCAATGAGTCAATATTCTGAAATGGCACCTGCAACAGCAGTCCCATATCTGAATATATATCTGAATATATATCCCTATGGATCCAAGTACCTTCTTAGGAAGTGTTTGGGGTATGATTTGGGGGGTTAAGTACCTTTTCAGGAGGTGTTTGGATCCATAGGGAATATATATATATATATAGGCTACGAGTCGAAATGTAAAGCCCCGATCCATACCCTGAACCCACAGGCCGATCCATACCCCCGATCCATACCCGTCCATACCAAAACGCAGGTGATCCAGACCGATCCGTACGTTTGGAACACCGCTGGCCGATCCATACCCGAATTTTGACCCAACCCCCTATATATATGATATAAAGATAATATATCAATTATATAATATATATAAATGATATATCAATGATATAGCAGTGATATATTATAGGATATATCAATTTATTTGTTTCTATGATATTATATATATAATAATATATTATATGATATCCATGATATACTATATTATATCCATGATATACTATATGATATCCATGATACATAATCACCTTAAGAATGAAACACTGTGAAGTCTCCGCTCTAAGGTAGCACGCTGACTCTCTATGTGAAGGCTCCACGGCAGGGAGCGGCTTTGGAGCTAGAGATGCTTCCGTTGGACACCATCGCTTTCTTGAAGGCGCGATGATGTTACCCTCTGGTACCCTCTGGTTATTTAACATAGCCATGGAAAATGGATGAACATGGACCATTTAGTTCGATGATGTATGATGATTTACCTATTAAACATGGTCATCTTCCATAGCTATGTTAAACAACCATAGGGTAAACATAAGGGCATCATTTTAGTAAAGCAATGCCAGCAACCACCCAGATTTTGATGGCTCCCATTTATGGTAACATTGGGATGGTAAACGTGGCATGATATGGGATGATATGGGACTAATATGGGATATGGGATACATAATATGGAATAATATGGCAACATGGGATGATATGGAATAATATTCATATGGGATCTACATGATCTACCAACAACTACTGTAGTTTTTTTTGGGGTTTCATCAAACATGGCTACCTGGATCTACCTGGAAATCCCCGAAGGACCTGATGTACCCAACCTGGTTATGACTAACATAGCCATGGTATAGATGGCCCTAATCGAAATAGATGGTTTACCTATTAATAGCATGGTGATTTTCCATGGCGAACTGTTAAATAACCAGATGGTATATTAATATTGTGTGATAAATGTGATAGATTCATATAATATTATTATACGATCAATATTGTTTCACAAAATTTGATGATAAACAAACAGATATTTCATGATATTTGTTTGCCGCAATGAATGTCAAAACGTTCCGTGGAGAGCATGGTGACATGAAATGCACAGAGAAAGACAGAGATCGTCGTGGAATAGTGAACGAAACATTGCGGACACAGATGATACTGGCTTGCTCCTGAGTTGCAAACAGCAGAAGCAACACAGACATCCGGTCCTGCACAGTGAATTGATAAGTTTTCAGGCTATCCTTTTGCTGTTGGGTAGCGGTTGGCGGGTCGGCTGGTTGGTGGTTTGCTGTATCCAGCAGAAATAGTTTGAAGCCAGTGCTAGCAACACTGGGACTGAGATGGACTGGGATACACTACATTTTTGGATATGTTTGGCTACGTTTTGTCATATTTTCCGCCTTACCATTTGTTACTGTAATTTAAATATAACATAGCTATGGGAAATCACCATTTTTAGGAGGCAAATCATCCATTTCTATGGGCCAGTTTCCGTGAAATTCCCAGCAACCGTCCATGTTCTCCAGGCGCAGATTGAAGTCCACGAGGGCACACCACCAGACAGCCAGCGGCTTGTGTTTCGAGGGAGCACCATGCAGGACGGGGCCGAGGGGTCACCGAGGGGTCACCGAGGGGTCACCATGGTGTGAAAGTGGAGGATATGCAAAGTTTGCTCAACTTTTAGCGGGAAAATGATGATCAACCATGGGATTGCACGGGGCACGGGGGCTACCTGCCCAGACAAACCCACACTGGCAATGCATCGTGGAGGACGACCGATCTTTGACGTCCTACGGGTCTGGCAGTTAGTTTGTCGTGCAAGTCGTGCAAGCGTGAGACGACAGATCTCAGCACATGTCAGCACTAGCTTTGAGATTGATCTGGAAGGCTCCAACATGGAGACTCTGTTTTGCTGATCCCTACTCTTCGAGACAAGGCCCATTTGCTGCAAAAAATAGAGCTGGGTTTGTCAGTTTGTCATGCTTTGTCTCAGAATTATATTACAACCTCCATCATTTTGTGGGTTCTCGTAAACTTTTCGCATCCTTTATTTAGCCATTGAAGTTGCCATGGTTTTTCTCAGCGGCCTCCAGGTGGCACAAAGACGTGCCGTCTTTGCTCCACGGGGGTTACTATCACTGCCGGGCAGCAAGGCACCGCATGGGCGGGGAGCTGCCCCTGGGTACATATCTAGTCTATGTCTATACAGTCTATACATATCACGCTGTAAACAATTGTAAACACATATTTATCAGAAATGGCTTGTGATCAAGAAAACGCTAAGGTTCTTGGCTCACAACAAGCCCGTACAATCCTGTAGACAGTGTGACAGATATCCCAGAAACATATTCCCCAATATTCTCTACAATTAAACACATCTCCAAATATATCTCCAATATATCCCCGCTTAGATGTCTCCATTTGGCTTCAAGGCGTGGTCACCTTCTTCAAGAAGTCCCTTCTTGCCTGTGCTGTTTAGCGATGTCAACGGCTCGGCGACGGGTTTCCCACGTCGGAAACCACATGAGATGCAGTGCGATATGCAGTTTTTTGTACATGGTGAACTTTCTGGCCACTTTAGAAGTTGTACCCTCTGGTAATGACTAACATAGCTATTGAAAATGGCCATTTATAGTGAGTTTTCCCATTAAAAATGGTGATTTCCCATAGTTATGTTAGTTTACCAGAGGGTACTTTGCGATTCCAATAGGATTTTCCATGGGATTTTCCATGGGATTTCTGCCTCAGGTCTCTCGCAACTTCCCCATCAGCATGGAGTTCTCCGCCGTCGCCGATTGCGAGGCGCGGCCGTGCTCCCCACGGCTTGTGCCGTTGTGCCGTGGCCCACCGTTGCCTCGTTGCCGGCGAGAGCCCGAGGCCTTTGCCGAAGCGGCGCGGTATGTCCAAAGCTCGGAGCCGACTCGGAGCCGACTCGGAGCCGACTCGGTTTCCCCAAGAAATTGGGGGAAAACACTCCATTCATCTCCATTCCATGTCATTCCTCTGGTGAATCATGATTTTCCGAGTCAAGAACCGTGCGTAGACTCTTCAGCATTTTTGGAAAAAAAAGCATGAGTTGGCACCTCCGGCAATCAAACATAGCAATTGAACTGAACATCCATTAAAATCCCATAAAATCCCCTTATATTCTCCTGATAGATGGAGGATTTAATGCGCCAACTCATGTCAATGTCTACTGATGAATAGTCATGTATACCCTCCTGTGATAAAACGTGGCAATGGAAAATCCATGAAAATCCACCATTGATAGTTGACTTTCTACCATTTTCCTATGATATAATCAGGTTTTAGTTGGAAACTCATAGAAAATCCCCGCACCATGGCACTGAGGCTCCGCCATGGCTGGAAATTCTGCCTGAGTCTTGTGAAGTACCGCAGTGATTTCCCCGCGGCTTCAAATATCAGGAAGCATAAATTAAATAAATTCATTGGCTTCGGATATCAAATAACTTGCCATAACTTGCCTACATGTTTTTTTTTTACCAGAGAAAACATGGCACCAGATCATCCGACAAGTCGAGGATACTTGAGGATGATCTTCAGATATTTTTTGTGGTGGAACAAAATTACATCTCCCAGGTATCAATCCGAAAGTCACAAAATAGGGGAACAGTCCAACAAATCGCCCAAATATCAAGGAAGAGTCGCGAAAATGCCTGCGAATCTGTCTCGCTTGTGCCTGCGCGACCGAATGCCTTTCAGTTAGCAACTGCAGAAGCACCATGCAATTTGCCGCAGTGACAGACTAGTAGAACATACATGATGTGATAGCACAAGCATCATGTCATTGCACACTTATATCAAGACAGAATATGACAGAATAGTATAATGACTTTCTTGCCCCAGGTCCCATGCCCCCATGTCCCCATGTCCCCAAGTCAAACCCTAAATACGGTAGTGTCTTGATGGTCAAAAGCCATGTTCACCGGTTTTTCAGTGAGACACTTTGAAGCCGGCGCTTGCGTCGTAAGGCCTGGTGGTCCTGGAAGACCGCCCGCAGATGTCAGCAGCCCAGAAATGGGGATAGAATCCAGAAATATGATGATTTTGATGGTTGGTTTATGTTGGTTTATGGTTGGTTTATTGGTTGGTTTATGGCTGAATATGATATATTATGAATTATTATGATATGGGATGTGATGGTCCGATTGGCTGATTCCAAGTGTTTTTTTTCTCAGAATTGTAATCCAACATGGCAGCCATCTCTCGCAAGGTGAAATGCCGGTTGGATCCAGACCACGGTGCAGTTTGTCTTGAGGCGCATTGGAATTTCCACCTTTTTCAGATGTCAAAACCCATGGGCCATGGGATACTTGGAGGAATTGCTATCCATAAATCCCAGGCTCCCAGCAATTTTTGGATGAAAACCAGTCGTGGCTGCGGCTTTGGCCCTGCAGTGTTAAAAATGGGTCGATGCTTCAGGCAACCAGCGGCCGTGGCGGCTTTGTGCCCAATTCAACGTATCAGGCAAAGCACGGGAGCCAAAGCTTGTTGCAGTTCCTTTCCAGGCGTTTTTCTGTACTCGTAGAAACAAAAAGTCAAATTTTCTTCGGAATTTGAGGAACCTGGAAAAATCAGGTGCAGGTCATTTTGGTTCTTCAACCAAACATCATTGGATACACCATCCCGGAATGTCATTTGACAACCATTTTTGGATAACCCATAATAATTATATCATATATATATAATATATATATACATATCATAATATATATATATACACATCATAATATATATATATATATCATAATACATATATATATATACATATATATATTATCAATATATCTTAGTATACCATCATGAAATTTGACCCATCCAATGTCGTTTGCCAAGTCGAACGCTAGGCGGTGGCCCACTTTGGGGGTCGCGGAGGGCAAGTCCAGGCGACACATTTTGGGCGCAGCCTAAATCTGTAGAATTGCTATCAATATCAGTATCAATTAATACACATGTAAGAATACTTAGAATATATTAGAATAGATATACTCTCTCTCTCTATAAATATATATATATATAATAATATATATACATGATATATCTATGTATGAATACATGTAAGATATATTATGATAATTCAATATGTTATGATATATTACATGAGCCGCGTGTTCTAATATCCTTCAAGCTAAGCTGCTTGCCATGAATGATTGACCTTCTGTGGCACTTTGACCGCTACATTTGCGGAGGGTAAGACATCTAAACAAGTGCAGTTAGCGGACAGTGACACTTTTCCAAATGAGAGTGAAGGAAATAGAACTTTGTTACTGCGTAGATTCACCTCGGCCCAGCAGAACTCGTTCACAGAACGTTATCTTTCCAAATGGATATGGGTCAAAATTTAACACCTGGGGGACCACAGAATTTTTTAGTCTATTTCTACGACCATCCAGTTATTGGGGTACCATATTTTTGACCCATACTCAAATATAAACATGCTATTAACATGCTTGGAAACTACTTGAATCTCCATAGAGACAGTCGCAGAATGCCAGGTATGCTTGGTGACCGGGTCAGCAGTGTCTGTTTGCTGAGCCTCCGCAAGCGCCGGAGACTCATTGGATCAGCGTGGTGTCCTACGGACATGGCACCGTTTCACCCCGCGGATGTTTGTGGAAACTTAGTAGGAAAACCCAGGCCCAAGCCCATCATTGCGTACACAAATGGCACAGTACCTTTCCTTTGCTGGTGTTTTAGAGACATGCATCTGCAAATGCAGATTGCATAGCCGCGGCGGGATTTGTCTTTGGGCTTCGTGACGGACCTGGAAACCCGGGTTGGCAACGAATGGCAGCGCTTGGCAAAGACCGGCTCAGTACGCCGATTCGCAGGAAGGTGCACTGGTTGAAGCTGTTGGGTTTGCAATGAAAATAGTACCCTCTCCAGATTTAGTGGTCAACTCGTGGTTGATCGTCACATTGGCCCCGAGATGGCCAGCCAACTTCTTTTGGGGGGGAAGAATTCAAAAATAGCGATGATATTCGTTGGTTTCATGACTTTCCTATGATTTAATGGCCACAACTGGGGGTTATACGGTTATTCAAACCAGTCTTCAGATATCTTCAGATAGACCCGGTGGAGACACCACTTGCTGCTCCAGGTTTTTGCGGGTGTTGATGCCATGATTGTCCCGGGATCTGGTTTGGCCTGAAGCTTGTGCCGTTGATGTTCCACTTATTTCATGACAGTGTCATTTAAGAGTGGCCCGAGCTTCATAGCATTTCTCCATGATTTGTCATTCCTTCTCACTCTGGACCCAGTAAGGTGAAGAAACAGGCTGAAGCAGAGGGCCTGGACAAGATCTTTGTTGAGGCCCATCGGTAGACTTTGTGGCATTTGTATCCTGGAGGGAATTTCTACTACAAAAGTAGTGGACTTGGGTCCTCTGTAAAATAGGTTTTTCAATGGTTTTTACAGTCCCCCTAGGACCATGTGTCCTTGCATTTTGTAGTAACCCTATGCTAGGTCACATATGTTTCTAGATTCAAACATGGGCTGGTCATAGAAGTTTGTCGTGGTTAAGTATGCGAGATAATAGTCGACCCAAAATGCAGGGTGGGATCGGTTCGGTTCGGTTTCGGTTTCCAGGAACTGGTGAATTTCCGGTTCCCGGTTCGGTTCGGTTCGGTTCCTCGGGATATAATTTAAAAAACGGTTCGGTTCGGTTTCCGGTTCCTAACCGGTTTGGTTTCTGGTTCCTAACCGGTTCGGAGTAAGTCATGGTCTTGGTATTTGCTTTTTACGGCCATTCAAAAAAGCAAAACATGTTCCCAGTTAGTTGGTTGCTATGATTCATGTCAAGGACACGTTGCGTCAGGTGGACCTGGTCGTGGAGGCTGTTTTCGTTTTTCTAGGCTGCCAAAAAAGCAAATCCAACACGAGAGCACAAGGGTTGTGTTTGTGCTTTGCATAAGGGTTGTGCTTTTTCTTTTTTGTGGCTTTCGAAAAAGCACATCCAATACGAGGGCACCAGTTTTTTTTGCTTTTTTGGGGCTTCCAAAAAAAGCAAATGCAATAAGAGGGCACAAGGGTTTTGTTTTTGCTTTTTTGGGGCTGCCAAAAAAGCAAATCCAATAGGAGGGCACAAGGGTTGTGTTTTTGCTTTTTGGGGGCTGCCAAAAAAGCAAATCCAATAGAAGGGCACAAGGGTTGTGTTTTTGCTTTTTTGGTGCTTTCAGAAAAAACAAATCCAATAGGAGGGCACAAGGGTTGTGTTTTTGCTTTTTTGGGGCTTCCAAAAAAGCAAATCCAATAGGAGAGCCCAAAAAGCAAATCCAATAGGAGGACACAAGGGTTGTGTTTTTTGCTTTTTTGGTGCTTTCAGAAAAAACAAATCCAATAGGAGGGCACAAGGGTTGTGTTTTTGCTTTTTTGGGGCTTCCAAAAAAGCAAATCCAATAGGAGAGCCCAAAAAGCAAATCCAATAGGAGGACACAAGGGTTGTGTTTTTGCTTTTTTGGTGCATCCAGAAAAAAAACAAATCCAATAGGATGGCACAAGGGTCGTGTTTTTGCTTTTTTTTGGGTTCCAAAAAAGCAAATCCAATAGGAGGGAACAAGGGTTGTGTTTTTGCTTTTTTGGTGCTTCTAAAAAAAACAAATCCAATAGGAGGGCACAAGGGTTGAGTTTTTGCCTTTTTGTGGCTGCAAAAAAAGCAATCCCAATAGGAGGGCAGAAGGGTGTTGTTTTTGTTTTCTTCTTTCTTGGGCTTCTAAAAAAAACAAATCCAATAGGATGGCACAAGGGTTGTGTTTTTTGTTTTTGTGGTGCATCCAAAAAAAACAATAGAAGGGCACAAGGGTTGTGTTTTTGTTTTTTGGGGGGCTTCCAAAAAAAACAAATGCACTAGGAGGGCACAAGGGTTGTGTTTTTTCGTTTTTGGTGCTTCCAGAAAAAACTATAGGAGGGCACAGGGGTTGTGTTTTTCCTTTTTTGATGCTTCAAAAAAACAAGTCCAATAGGAGGGCACAAGGGTCGTGTTTTTGTTTTTTTTTGGGGTGGGCTTCCAAAAAAAACAAATCCAATAGGAGGGCACAAGGGTTGTGCTTTTTGCTTTTGTGGTGCTTCCACACAAAAAAAAAGTCCAATAGGAGGGCACAAGGGTTATGGTTTTGCTTTTTTTGGGGCTGCAAAAAAACAAACCCAATAGGAGGGCACAAGGGTTGTGTTTTTGCTTTTTTGGTGCTGTCAGAAAAAACAAATCCAATAGGAGGGCACAAGGGTTGTATTTTTGGTTTTTGTGGGGCTTCCAAAAAAAAAAAATCCAATACGAGGGCAGAGATTGAAGGGAACGTTTGCTTGAGAGAAACAAACAGAGCACATGCCGGCGGTTCGCATCCGGTTCCTCCCTCCGGTTCGTCCGGTTCGGGAGCTTATTTTATACATTAGCGGTTCGGTTCGGTTCGGTTTCCCAACTGCCGGTTTCTGGGCGGTTTCCGGTTCGCGCGGTTCGGTTCCCGGTTCGCGGTTCGGTTCGCGAACCTTCCTGAAAATGGATTTCTGAGTTCACTCAGATTTGACCTAAAAGTACTTTGTAGTGAATTTGTGGGGTTCCAAGATCAATGTTCTGAAATCAGCTGGGTTTGACCCCAGAAGAACTTTGTAGTGTTTCTTGGGGAATCTTTATGAGATGCCACATGCATATACATACATCAATCAATAATATATGCATCCGCTTTCTATGTCGGTGTAATTGGGCTCAATATGGACATCAGGATTTCCAAAGTGCCACAGGTGGATTGATGTGCCACAGTGGATGTCAGTGGTGTATACCCAAAAATCACTACAAACTACTTTGTCATTTTTTGGGGTTGATCTTGAAGACTCAGTGGGATCTACTTAAAAATCACTACAAACATCTACGTGGTTTTTTCAGGGTCTCTTGAAGACCTCTTGTTAGATCCTTTGGTTTTTGTAGTAACCCTTTATCCAGGCTGGGGTTGCACTTTTGTAGTGATTTTTTTTTTGGCCTGGGCATGGAAAATGTAGTGATTGGGGTTGGGCAGAGCTACTTTACAGCTACAAAATCTTGACCCAACAGCCCTCCCCAAATACCAACCCCGATGCATTTGTAGCAGATGGGTTGTTCACCATTTTTCACTTATAAATGGGAATACACCCTAAGGGTCCCATGGTATAGTATATTATATTATATGCACGATATAAGAATATACTATTATATTATTAATGTATATTAAATACATAGTGACATATTTGTGGATTATCAACCACATCCCAAACTTTCAGGCTGGCTTCGACTGGCGCGAGCCTGGCTGTTCCATGTGCTTGGGCATGAACCCAGATCGCTTGAAGCCACAGGAGACGAATCGGCTCATTTTGATGGGCCCCCGAAGGTCGTGGGACAATCATGGACAATCAACTTGGAAGTTGTCTGAAAAAAATATGGGGAACAAAGTTCTGAACCCCGTAGTTTATCATAATTTCCCTAGTTCAAATCGAAATAAAGTGGAGGTACACTTCATTTTCAAAAGACGTCGTGCTTCTACACTAGGAGCGTTGTGCCGCCACGTCGAACCGCAATTTCGAGGGAAGACAGGTGGGGAAAACGCGTTCAAAGGAGGAATTTCCATATCTTTCAGCCAGCCGTATATATATATAATTATATATATATACATATATTTATTTATTTATTTATATATATATATACTCGTAATTGTATATACATATATATATATATATGTGTGTGTGTGTGCGTGTCTGAAAATGGGTTATACCTGCAGTTTATGGCCATTTCGTAGGAAAACACATGCACATGATCAGCCAGTGGATTTCGCCACCTGATCCCATCTTTTTTCCACCGTCAGCCAGGGCCCTCAGGGCCGCACCCACTTGATGAGTTGATTCCTCAGCGGAACCAAAGTCGCTGGTTGAAAGTTTATTGGACGTATATTCCCCCAGTGTCATTTCCTATACGTCTGAAGACCCCCAAATGACTGCAGCCAAGCTCAGGTCCTGCGATGGCGGCAGCTGCGGCCATTGCTGGCAAGCTGAAGGATGTCCGAGATCTGCTTCCGGAAATGCAGGCGGGTGGACCGTTTGGGTTCAACGGCTGGCACAGTGGTTTATCATGGTTGATCATCATGAATCTCCCGGAGCGTTGACAGGGCCATAGATTTTGGGGATATTTGGATATACTCTATTTTCAGAGACACTCAGATGACCTTTGGATGGCCAACCCTCCATTGTGTCACGAGGCGAAGGTCTCTGAGCCCACCAAGACAATGGACTTCTACTCCGAACCCATTGATTGGAAGACTCCCAAGGTGCGGCAGAGTGGAGCTTGAGAGAAGATGGGATGTCAAAAAAGGATTGAAACCTGACTCTTAAGTCTTGGACATATCAGAAAATGTAGTTCGATGGTGAACTGTTGCTGCGACTTCTTTCATCTGGAAGGTGTGCCTTTCCATTTCTTGTTCTTTTTTGTTCCGTGCAGGAGACAGAAGAGATGCCTTCCGCAGGGCAAAGTTGGGGCTCTCAGCAGGCCACTGACCAGGCTTTGCCAGGGCCATGGGCCATGGGGTTTGAGGTTCAGCTCCTTCAAGCGCTGGAATGCCCAAGTTCACAAGGCGATGGACGATGGGCAGATGGGTTTGAAAAAAATTGGATCAACTTGGACTCCCCCAGTTCTCTGGCGCCAGTTTGGATGAAGTCATTGCCTGCCCCTTGCGGAAGGCGAATGCCACGTTCTCAGGATATGCCAAGTGCACGTGTCCTGAGCTGGGAGAATTTGTGGCGCTGAGGTAGACACTGATTGCATCATTCCGAAGCAGTTCCTGACTCTCGGATTCTTCAGAATTCTCCACAGATGTTTTCCTGCAAAAGGGGCAAAAGGGAGTCATCTTTGAATCTTTGAATTCCTTGGTGGTCAGGAAGACGATCCAAAGAACTGGGTTGCGTCCCTCAGAGAGGGGAAGATCTTGGAAGATTCTTCATTTTCCCGAAAACCAAAAGCTTGAGAACTTGGATGCTCATTTTAGATCATTTTAGGACACCTAAGAAATTTGATGAATTTTGTTGATTATTGGAATTTTTGAAATGAAGGAAAACTATGAGAAACGAATGGAACCGATGAGTTTTCCCCTTCTTTAAGTGGCAAAGGTTGCCCTGGATTCCAAGGTTGGGAAAGGCAGCCTTCTTCGAGTTGCGCTATGAGGATGATGGAGTCACCGAGCGCAAGGAGTTTGTCTTGAACCAGGCTGGACACCAGGTCACGATATTACGATGGGATGAGCAGGGGGTTCTTCCATGGAGAGATGGGAGCTGTGATTTCACGGAGCACCATGCATTTCATAGATCGAGTTCTCAGATGTTCTCAGAATTTTCATGATTATCATGATTTGGATGTTGATATCATTGTCATATCATTGTCAGCCGAAGGAGCCTTATAGAACAGCCTCAGTCCTGATCGCGGGAGACAATTTTGGTGCGGATGCTCAGCTGCCAGCGAAAACGACATGCCGCTGCCGTGTGCATCGCCATGAGGATGTGGTTCATCGCGGGAACATGCGTCGGGCCCTCTTGAAGCTGGTTTACTGGAGGTTGTGGAGACATGATGGAGAAATGATGGATAGATTAGGGACAAATCATGGATATATATATATATAGATTAGAGAGCATCATGGACAATCATGGATAGTTATGGATAGTTCTGCGTAAGTATGGATAGTATTAGTTTTCCCGACCTGTTAGGTGAGGGTTGATAGATTTTATGTCAGCTGGCCCGCCTCTTCCTCCTCCTCCACCTCCTTCCTCCGCCGGACCTCCACCGCAAGCTCCGGATCAAAGTGTTCCCCACCGGACCTCAACCGCGAGCTCCGGATCAGAGTGTTCCCCGCCGGACCTCAACCGCAAAGAATCTCCGAAGATATACCAGATACATATGCCAGAAAGAATGTGATAAGATATGGCATATATCAGGTTGCTTTCTTGTACTTGTAGCTGAAGGTTTGTACTAGAGCACGGAATGCTTTGAAATGCCAGAGTGGGGATCACTCGAAGTAAAGTATTTTTTTAAATAATTATACAATGACATAATATAATTATAATATATATATTTATATATACATATATTATCATATATTTACATACATTTTTATATGCTAACTAACTGGTTCAATGAGGATGATGGTAGGTTTGGGGATATGACATCCAGCGGTTTTGGTCGCACTAAGGCCTTGGGCCCTGAATGACCAGGGCATCCGGTGCATCATTGCCCCGAGCTTTGCGGACATCTTCTTCAACAAGTGCGCCTGGCTGCGAAACACGTTGGGTCGCTGCGTTGTCGCGTTGTCGCGTTGCGAAGAGTGCCGAAGTTGGGCTTGCGATCAGTTTCATCTTTGAGGGGAAGAGTGGAAAATGCTAAGCGAAATCTTATTGATTCTTATTGGCCCTCAATTGTCAATGGATGACATGATCTTATTATGGCTATGCAGATGCTACGTCATAATCATAATGCACATTTAATTAGTGTTTGGAATTGCTGGAGCGTCAACATTCAAGTGACAGACACCACAAAACTACAAAACAAAACAATCATATTTCTTTGGGGCTTTGGTAATTTAATGAGAGACATGGGTCTTCAACTTTTCCCATTGCGCCAGTTGCTTCAAGAATGGCATGCTGCCGATTGCCGTCACCAAGGAGCTGGGAGGGATGTGTCATTGATGAAGTATTCTGAGTCGTTGACGTCAGGATGTGGTTGACGAGCTTTGGATACATGCCGAGGACCTGAACTCAAAGATTGTATTTTGATTATTTTGCACTGAAGATTTGCGTCAGCAGATCTTCGCTTTTGTCGGTTGCCCGTTTCTGGAGAAACGAGAGGCGAAGAAGCGGATTACTGTAGATTTGGCCCAACAAGAGATTAGAAGAGAAGGCTGCGAGGCGGGCACTTCGTCAAACTGAAAGGGACAACTTGAGAATCCGAAATCGGAGGAGTCTCAGTTGCGCTATGAGATTGGACAAGATTGGACAGTATTGTGGGCTGATTGGATGCGCTTAAAGTATTTTCAAGATGTGGCCAGATTGGACTAGGCCATTCCTTTTGAAGTCGATGCATTCCGCAAGTGTCGACCTCAGAAATCTCTGGCTTCGAAAGGCATCAGCGGATCCTTTCGCTCGCTCCGTCACGACTCTCAAGGCACTGTCTCTTGAACGGCTTGGATGACATCGGCCGCGGCCTGAGAAGGGCTGAACGCTTCCGAAATGACCAACTGGTGGCCTCAAATGGTTAATTAAAGGAAACATCCGCCATGACGTGATTACAGCCCGAGCGCTGGTTAAGAATCCGAAAGCTTGAGGTCCAGGGTCCCTCAAATTCTTATTTTTAAATGCAGGCAAATTTCCACCACAACAGGCCGAGGGTCCCTCAAATTCTTAGGGCATTCTTAGTTATGTATTGCATGCATCTGCACAATTTGGAGCGAGCTTAAACGAGGTAACAAGGTGGAGTTGGCAGATTTGACAAGAGGTACGTGAAAAAATGTGTTTTAGAGCCTGAAAACTTGTTTTTTTGCAAAGCCGGGCTTGTCTGAGTTTCATGAGAGCAGTGTGGAAAAAATGTTTTTTTTAGAGCCTTAAAAAATGTTTTTCCGCAACTGCAACCCATGCTAAACCCAGCCCTTTGCAGCCAAAGCAAAGAGAGAGAATGAGAAAACACAATTCCTTGAAGGCAAGGCTCCTGTAGCGTAATGGTTAGTATGTCGGACCTTAGCTTTGAAGGGCGGAGGTTCGAATCGCGGTAGGCCTCAGTTTTTTCAAGTTATTGGGAAAGCAATGTTTCAGGTCCCCAACTCTACCCATATAATCCCATATATTGATTTTGCGTGGATTGGAAGCAGTCCAAGCATGTGCGAAAAAAAACAGTTTTTCGGAGCTTGAAAAATAGTTTTGCTGCAAAGCCCGATTTCATCCCATAAGACCATAAGGGGTCATGCCACAAAAAAAATGAACCGCAAAGGGGAATTGCAAACCTCACGTGTAAGTAATAATTTAAGAATTTGGCGGTCCTATTCCAGGGCCCCTCAAATTCTTAAAGTACTATGTGTTTGGTATAGCTGAAAATATGTAGCCCGCCTTGGATTCGAGCCCCTCAAATTCTTATACAGTGAATTCTTGTACAATACTCAAGCTGTATTACAGCAGGGACCTGGTGACCTGATTTTTGCCGGAGGTTCACATGGTTTTTGTTGGTGGTTAAAGATGATTATGGACTTTTGTTCTTGGGAGGTTCATTGAGGGTCACATGGGGGTATTGGATGGATTTACTGAAGATGATTCAGTAGTATTCAGTATCAGTATGAGCACATATGAGCACTGTGGAAGATAAAAACATCGATCTTGACCAGTGGACCGGATGGACACCACACCATTGACTATATTGACTTCTGCCACTCACCTTGTACAGCTTGTGCAGATCTGTGCGCGTTTCTAAATGGACTGGGTCACTTAAAAAACGATCTCCCGGATTCCCGGATCACCCCAGATCTCCCCTGAGATCTCATCGAGGACTGACTCTGCAGAAGGCAGATCACATCGACAGCTTCGAGGCCCGAAGAAGCTCCACATTTCCCTGGTTGGACTGGGCCTTGGTCAGCGCCACGCCACGCATGCCCTGCATCCCTCGATATCCCTCGGGGCCAAGGACGGTCCACGCTACAGCAGATTGAAGGCAGAAGTTCGCATTAGTACTGCGAAGGCGCTTCTGCTGTGCTTGTTGAAGATCTTTGTTCCCTCTTGATTGCGGCGAAACGTAGCGAAATGTCCTCTCAGGGACCTCAATGATCTTAATGGTACATATGGTTCAAAATTGAGTACGGCACTCCAAATTTGGATCGTACTAATGACCAGAATATGTAGCTCTGGACCTTTAATTCCCACCCATACCCACATATTCCCACAAAATCTCCCTGTCATATCCTGTCCTACCTCTGCAGTCCTCCAACTTCTACACACGAGTGGCGAAGGGCTTCCTGGTTCCTGTCTCAGCTGAGAACCAGCTGAGAAGACCACGTGGCACAGTGTCAGCAGCAGCTTTAGGCAGGTAAAAAACAATGTAAGAAACAACACGAAATAAGTATATAATTATCCCCGTTTGGGGCTCCTGGCTGAAACTAGGCGGCTGGAGCTTGTTTTTTTAGCCAGATTTCAGCCAAATTTAGCCTCAAGAATGTTAGGCCTTAGCTTTTTATCTTTTGGTCCTTTTTACATATTTTAGAATTTTGATTTTCAATGAACCATGAAGCCAAAGGATTTCAGCCGAGGGAACACCTCTTGAGCATTTTTGCAATAGGTTGGGCGCAGGTAGTTTAAGCCACTGAAGCTTACTGAGAACCATTTTTGGCCTGAAGGTCGCACACAGGTTTTCATTCGACCATGTCTTCTTGCAAGGCGCGACATTTTTGCCGCCTATACGGTGAACATTGAAATTTTGAGAGGTGTATCTTGGGAGGTTGGATGAGGATGGGTTTGCAAAATTGAGTTATTAGTCGTTTGTGGTGTATCTTGGGACGTTGGTACAGGATGGGTTGGCTCACATGCGTGGTGTAACATGGCGAGCTGCTCCGGCAAAGTTCAAAACAGGGATGTGTGAGATGAAAATCTTAGGGTCTGAAGTTTTGTGGTGTATTTTTGGAACGTTGGTTCAGGATGGGTTGGCACACATGCGTGGTGTAATATGGAGAGCGGTTACCTCAAAAAAATGTTTTTTTTGATATGCCAACGTTGAAAGCTTTGGCATTTGCTATGCCAACAAGGCATTGATACGATGTGGGAGCGGAAGCTGGGTGGGATGAAAAGGATGTGGTTGACCGTTCTCTGGGGAAGTGTGCTGATTTTATCGTTTAAGGTTTCTTTTGAACACATGCTGAGCACTGCTGTTTTCATCTCTTGTGCCATTTTTGTTTTTGATTTTCAACATACCCCAGAGACACTGGGTTTAATATTTTGTACCTTGATTTTTCATTTTCAGAAATTTGGGTCAGGTCAGCTTTTCATCGTTTCATTTTTTTTGCTCATACCTTATCCGTCCAGGTTTTTAAACGTGGTTTTTGGGATGAAAACCTGGTGCTGCACCCTAGGTTGAACGCCCGACGGGGATATAATTATAGGATACTGTTGACCCACCGTAGGATTAGGACATACAACATGAACCGTTTTAAATCATCATATTACAGCTATAGGGACAGTTGCCTGCACTGGCACATTCCAAGGGCGGCCTGCCAGCATCTGACGAGCGTCCTGAACGGCCTCCAGCGGCCCAGGTCTCGGACTCTGCCAGGTTCTTGAGATTTCCCCCCCTGCTGACCTGGTGATATGGACACTTCATTCCCCATGACATAGACTTACAGTGACTCACATAGAGAATGACAGATATTTATAGATGATATATAGATGATTTCCCCATGTTTCTACTGAAAGACTATATAAGTGGGTTCCCTAAAGGGGTTTGCCTCGTCCCTGACAGCTCATCCTGTCCGCCACTGGGAATGCCATCGAGCGCGCGGTTCGAGTGGCGCAAGATCTCAAGGACGGATCTTCATTTGGGGGAATCGTCGTTGATGTGGCCCTGTCTGAAAATGTATAGCATGCAGCATACCCCACAGAATGGCAATTTTAATTTTCAGGGGGAAACTGTCACTGTAGATTTCGGCCAGCGCAATCCTGACATTGTCGGGTAGCCATTCTAACCCGGCCGGGTGCAGGAGGAAGGTGAGGCCGAGATCATCAGGATCCGCACGCAAACAGCTGCACTCTCAGGGGATGATGGTAGGATGACCCTGTGGTTCTGCGGTTTCCGTCATTCCTTTTAGATTTAAAATTTGAAAACACATATCAGAAATATCATATAGTTATCAGTGAACCCCCTTGGTCCGCACATGCAAACAAACAATCAATCAAAGCACTTGAAACATAAGCATGCGCATGTTCGTGACCAACCAATTGTGGATCCATTGGTGGGCTTTCCATTTTTTGAATGGTAGGGTTTGCCCGAACGCGGACACCCAAACTGGCCATCCTAGATGGGGAAAAGGATGATAAATCATGATTTGTTCTTCCATACTTTTCACGCATTCACGATGGTGTCCATTCTACAACACATCCAATCATTTCCGCACAATTTCCGATGTGTTTCACCTGATCTTTTCGGACAAATATCTCTTGAATCAAAGAAACAGCAATTCATCCACTATCAGGATCGCTTTTTTGGGTACATATTGCGTATATGTATGTATATGTAAATATGGGTACCACATGTTCATACTAAATTGCCCATAGCATGTGGCATGTACCGAGGTCTCTGGATCCAATCAGGGCCAAGTGCCCCAGCTACTCATCACAATGAAGGGCAAAGCGTCGGGGGAACCCAGCTGCCAGCGATGCTATGGATGGTTTGATGGGATTCCAACCAAATCAATATGGGCTACACGATAGTGTGTCTGACAATGCTTAGTATAGCCCACATGCGTGGCAAATTTCATCGGGATAATGATGAATCAGTGAATTTCTGGGTCTCCTATTGACAAAATCCACCAGACCATCCAAACCAGGCTACGCTTTTTGAAGGTGAATTCATCATGATCTACGCGTGGATTTACGAATGATTGATGAGGATTGATGAACTAAGGTATCTACTATTTGCATCTATTTGCGATGTAATGAATGAACTTGAAGGGGAAGGGTGGACATGTCAGGAAGGCCCATGCTGTGGTGGTCGCTGGAAAAGCAGATCCCAAAGACAAAGGCCGTGCCGAGTTCGGCGTGGGATGGTGTCCCATGGCCCTCCCTCTCCCTCCCTCCCTCCCTCCCTCTCCCTCTCTCTCCCTCTCTCTCCTCTCTATCTCTCTCTCTTCTCTCTCTTCTCTCTCTTCTCTCTCTTCTCTCTCTTTTCTCTCTCTCTCTCTCTTCTCTCTCTCTCTCTCCTCTCTCTCTCTCTCTCTCTCTCTCTCTTCTCTCTTCTCTCTCTCTCTCTCTCTCTCTCTCTCTCTCTCTCCTCTCTCCTCTCTCCTCTCTCCTCTCTCCTCTCCCTCTCTCTCTCTCTATGTGGGTATACATATATATATATATATTAATTATATATATATATACCTACAAACATGCGTCCGTACCCGCATACATACATAACATGAACGTATATATATATATACACACACACCTGTACACCTATGAAGGGGCTCCGCCCTCTGCCGCCGACCCCATGGTTGGAAATTCTTCCTGCATTATGAGTTCATCTTTCTCAGTAAAGTAGCAACACAGTTTCATATTTTGATTTCTCAGGATCTTAGGTTTTAAGCGGATTTGACGCGCTTTCAAGGTTTGCGCTCGTTTGTTGTGAGAACTTCAACTGTGGTCCACTCAGCGACATACCTCCACAAGTGCCAGGAAACATACCATATCAGACCACAAAAGCCAGTCATGCAACTGACAACTGAAGCCTGGCGTATGGGACCAGGTGCAGACATAGCAATCATAGACAGATTGGCAATGCTGCGAAAGAACGCAATCCACGCAGCCATGCCCCGTGCGTGCGGCTTGTGTGGCAAGACCATCGGGTGAGAGCTAGTGTCAGCAGGCAGCGCTTGTTGAGGAGAAAACTAGTGCTGGGCGCGGGAGTTGCTACGTTTGGGAGAGCTCGCAAGGCACGCACGTGCATGGCGTGTCGGTGGCCGTTCTGGAAGGAGTTCGTGAAGTTTGCTCAGGATTTGTGGCTGTGTCCTGGTTGCAAAATTAGTGGGGTGGAGCCGTGCTGATAGATTCCAGAGGCAACTCCAGAAGCTTGTAACGGTGGGAAAGGTGGAGTCTCGGAACTCTGACATCCGAAAGAACTGCAGGGTTCCACACTAATACATGAGGCTTTCCGTGGCACCAGAGTGCTCTTCCATCTGCCGCCAAGAAAGGTGGCACACACAGCCATGTCTGGCTCCAAAACGGACCTCTCACCACACCACCGAAGGACGGATTTGTGACCTTGCTGCTTATGCCTACCGTCGCTTTCTGAATCGATTAGAGACTAGCTCCAACCTGCAGCTCTCAGGCCTCCAAAACGGACCCCTTGCCACACCGAAACAGCATGGCACTAAAGGGCCGATTGTAACCTCGGCCTGCCGCTGCTGGTGCCTAACGTCGCTTTCTGAATCGACTAGAAGCTAGCTCCAAACTGCAGCTCTCAGGCCTCCAAAACGGACCCCTCGCCAGTTGCTTCTTGCTGCTCCTTGCTGTTCCTCACTTCTTGCTCCTTGCTCCTTGCTGCTTGCACCTCAGGCCTCCAAAACAGACCTCTCGCCACTTGCTTCTTGCTCCTTGCCGTTCCTCACTTCTTGCTTCTTGCTCCTTGCTGCTTGCACGTCTCAGGCCTCCAAAAGGGACCTCTCGCCACGTGCTTCTTGCTCCTTGCTGTTCCTCACTTCTTGCTTCTTGCTCCTTGCTGCTTGCACCTCTCAGGCCTCCAAAGCGGACCTCTCGCCACGTGCTTCTTGCTCCTTGCTGTTCCTCACTTCTTGCTTCTTGCTCCTTGCTGCTTGCACCTCTCAGGCCTCCAAAACGGACCTCTCGCCACTTGCTTCTTGCTCCTTGCCGTTCGCACTTCTTGCTTCTTGCTCCTTGCTGCTTGCATCTTTCAGGCCTCCAAAAAGGACCTCTCGCCACTTGCTTCTTGCTCCTTGCCGTTCCTCACTTCTTGCTTCTTGCTCCTTGCTGCTTGCACCGCTCAGGCCTCCAAAACGGACCCTTCGACACAATTGTGACCTCGGCCTGCTGCTGGTGCCTAACGTCGCTTTCGAATCGACTAGAAGCTAGCTCAAAACTGCAGCTCTCAGGCCTCCAAAACGGACCCCTCGCCACTTGCTTCTTGCTCCTTGCTGTTCCTCACTTCTTGCTTTTTGCTCCTTGCTGCTTGCACCTGTGAGGCCTCCAAAACGGACCTCTCGCCATGCTCCTTGCTGCTTGTAATTTCTCCTCTGACGCGCTCCCCCTGCTGCAAGCGGGGTCGGCGGATATACGTATACTATACACACCTGTACAAGACTGTACACCTATATACTCATACATGCGTGCACAACCATTTGAATCAAATATATGACAACCATCTGAATAATTATATCCATATGTGTACATGCCCGGCATACCAAAGTCATCATAGTCAATGACTGCAGGCTGCAGGTTCTTGATCTTGTGTTCTGACAAGGCACCAAAACTTCAGCTGTGACCACTTGCAAGGCTCCAACGGAAAGAACGGAACTGATTGGTAGAGGAGCTGATTCGACATGGGCTGGGTGCAGCACCTGAAGACTTCAGATGAAGTTGATAAGATGTTGGACGTAGATTTGCTTCGCCCATTGCCCATCTACTCTTGAGATCTGAGATGCAAAGAGTGCAGCTTTGGAAAAACGCATATGCATGCAATTTGCAAGTTCTGACAACTTGCTGCCACATCTCTTTGCATATTTTTCACAAAGTGAAGACGAGAAATATGCCCGAAATAATTTGAATTATTTTGATTTTCTACATGCCCCTGTCAGGGGCGACAGGGTTTCCTGGCAGCCACTGAGCGACTCAACAAAATCAGGAACATTTTAATTTGGGAGTTGGCTTATGGAAACCCATCCACGCTCAGATGAACATTTCGTTCGTCGAGTTATCCGGAAAAAAAAAACGAGCGCTCGCGCTCTGCGAGGGCTGGGACTTGAGCGCAACTCGTATGGGCGTTGAGGGTTACATTGGTTATATATTTTCAATTTTTTTGTAGAGCAACCCAAACCATTCACACATGAAATATCAATATGATTACGTGACACAAACATTCTGACTAGAGCTAATTAGTTTCTCTATCCCAATTTGAGTGGTCAAGGGTCCTGTTACTGTTGCACTTCATTTGTTTTGTGCGCAGTCAAGCTTGATATTTCTCAATTTCTGGCTCCAGTGAATTTACCACAAGTGTAGCATGACAAAACAATGGAGTCATCCTACGGGTTCTTCTTTGAATTTTTTCGATCCTCCAGTGACTCTTAGTGTTTCCAACTCACATATGGCGGGTTGCAGCAATATCCATGACAATTATAGGAGAATTCATCCTTTGAGGTTGGATCCATGGATTTTCCCAATCTATCCCCTTGTGAATTTGCTCCTGGAACCGGTGTCGGGCCTTCCGCATTCTGCGGAGTTGCCGTCATGGACCGGGATGAGATCCATCATAAGATGAGCAAGAAGGTGATGACCCCGGATTATTCCCATTGGAATGGGGAGAAATTCAAGGATAGACTGGGGATAAAGTGGGATATAAAAAAGAATATAAAACACGATTTGATCTTAGATTGGGGTGGTGAGCAGTCGCCAGTTGACTCATGGTTGATGGTGATCTGTGTGTGTGTGTTTTTACATGGTCAACTATTCACCGTCCTGAAAGAACTGAGCCACTGAGGGGAGCCTGCCAGGTTGCTCAACTTACCAAAGTGATCTTTCATTTGAACACCAGAAACGATGAGGCAGGCAGCAAATTGCCCTTCCAGGGCTGGTGTTCAGCATTGGAATGAAAGGAACAGATGCACACTGAATACGAACCATGCGACTTGCCGCATGGTGCATTGGGAGGCTGAACACCACTTGGCAGCTGTTTGTCAGGCCTAAGAATTCTGTTGTTCCACCTTTGGAATTTTTGATGTGAATCATCTGAGACTTGGGACGTACACAGAGAACTCATGGCCGGATCTGAGAAAGTCGACCTTTTGCAGCAAAATGACCCGGTCTTCATGCACTCCAAAGCTGGAGAAGCTTTCGGTACTGCCTTTTCGACAAATTGCAAAAGCATGTAGCACGAAAAGTGATGTATCTCTTCTAAGAAGGCTATTCGATGGAAAAACACATCTCATGTGTGCCACACAGGTACCAAAAGTTTTAGTTCTACCGAGCTGTCTTCACACTTGAGTCACTTGAGGCCTATGAAAGCGAGGTGGATCAGATTCTGAAGGATGCAAATGCCAAGGTTCGTAGATTGGCTGAGGCACATGCCGCTACTTTCCAGCTGAATTTGGCTGATGCCTTCTCCGGCCTTTTAGATCCTGTTAGGATTTAATATGTTTTGATAGTGTTTGGGTCAACATCATGCTTGCTATTTGGGATTTATGATGCACGGTGCTCTGGTTCATGGCAAGGCTGTGGAGCCTGAGGCCCAGAGTGTTGTCCAACAGGTTGAAGGCTGATGTCAGGCAGCCTATGGATGCGACATGATGCGACCTGATACGAATGAGGTCCGGGCATGGTAGCAAGGCCGGAAAGCAGCTGGAAGCTTTCAAGAGCAACTATGAGGACGAGAAGCGTCAGAGTCTTATTCGGAGTTGGACAATAGGCCTAAGAAGAGAACCAAAGATGGACTTACAGTTTGTGATGTGTGTGCCTGTTTGATATTTAGGAGATGCTGTGAGCTAGAAACATCTAGAAACAAAGAAACACATTGGCATCAACACCCACCGCCACCACGGTCCAGCTCAGTCCTTGGTCATTCGGATTACCAAATCTATTTCAAATTATTGTAATAATCTGATATCTACATATTAATATATATATATACACAATTATATACATAGATACACACGTTGTTACTGAGTTACTGATTTTCTCAAGTTCATGCCTGTCGATCCTGTCGGTCTTGCATGGTCTTGCCTGGTCGTACAGGTGAGGCTTTGCGGGAGATTCAAAATGTGAAATCTGCTGCCACAGTGGGAGTCCCAGTTCTGAGTGGTTCCTGCAGGATTGCCACATTTGGAAGCCCGAGGCACGTGAGAACAAGAACACTGCGATGTGGAAAGAGCGCCTCAGCAACATGAATGCAGAGGCGGGGCGCTGGGACGGATTTCCCCACCTGGAACGACACCTCATTGCATGCGCATTGGAAGGTGCAAGCCTTGAAGCAGCAGTGTCAAGTTCAAGCTTCTCAATTCAAAGCTGCTTTGGAGCGGCTGCAGGCGGGGGCAGCGACTCCAAAATTATGGACTCTTCCAAATCGCATGGTTTGTTCATACTTGATACCTTTACCATCCCCTCCAAAATGGAATTAACAAAACCATGGCTTGACACATAACTTGGAATCCTACAGTAAGTTGTAAAACTACCCTCCGGCAATTAAATCTAGCTATGGAAAACAGACTATTTATTAACGCCTTACCTGTTTTTTTACCTAGTAGAATGGTGAGTTTCTACCATATGACTTAAATATTAAGTGAACTAGAAAAAGTTCATACATGTTCACATATTTATTGATATTTATTGTGCTATAATATATTAGGATGTTTCCATTGGTTTACTGGTTACTATATAGTTACCATATCTATTGATGGTTTACCTTAATATTTCCCTTGACCATCAGCCTTGGTCATCGCTGAGGATGGCCAAGGCCTGGAGATGGAGGAGCTCCAGGCAGCTCACGCTGCTGAGCTGCAACGCTTACGTGCTGAGCACCAGGTGCGACACGATTTCTGGGGATGGGGAATGTCTAACGGGGATGAAGATCTATTCTGAACTGTAGCTGTCATTTTGCGAATGAATCTGTTCTGAAGGTTTGACCTAGATCCTAGATGCATATGGATTCCTTTGACATTTGCTATCACTTTTGACATCAGTTCGACATCATTTGAGCCTTCATGAAGGTCCAGCTGACCAGACAGAATGAAGATCATCAGGCAGTGGAGGCACAGCATCAACTGCACGTTTTTTCGATCGTTGATACGAATCATGTGAATCTGCCACTGGGCCAGGCCACTTTGAAGGAGGAGATTGAAGAGCAGCAGGCGAGGTTTGAACACAGATAGTTGGGGCAGACATCCAATGGCAGCCATGACCCCCTTGAAATGATGATGGGATGGGGCACCAACACAGGATTTCTTGCATCCACATTCGCGTTGGTTCATGGCAGAACTTCTCACAAGGCAATCGCGAACTTTTGCTTGAGGCTTGCCACGACAGAGAACTTCAGCAAGAGAAAATGGTTTGTGAGGACACAGTTCACTGGTTCACTGGTTTGTATTCACTGGTCTGTGTTTGTGAGTTCTACAGGTGAGTCGAGTACATTGAGTTTTTAAGACATACACCAGTTTTGTTGGGGTATTCTCATGCTTTTTCCCAAAAATATAGCCATCAACTTAGTCAGCACAGGAGCTTCAAGAACAACTTGCGCGCGCAAGGAAGTCCCTGGAGGTGAGAGTGCAGTGAGCAGCGATGGATTATCATAGATAAGTATATGAGATACGGTTTATGAGTTTTTTTTGATTCACAATATATCAAAACACCAACTGGGAACTTAAGAACTTTTGAACTGCGGACTAATACCGAGATCCATCGGGGGTGGGATTTTCAGTTACTGGACAAGAGTCATCCCCTGTTTGAGGACGGAGCTTTCGACTTTCTTGGAATTTAGGTTTGCAGGGGCACACCATCAGATAATTGAATCATTGGATATCCCATGATATCCCATGGATTTGCAGCCAGGATAGCTTAGCCTCCGGCGGTGAAGCACTTCAGGCAGTGTTTATTTTGATCTTGTTCATGGAGCATATGCAGCCATGGAGCTTTGGGATTTGATGGGATTTGCTCCAGGCAGCGTTTGTAGAAAAAGATCACTTGGAGGGTGAGTTGAAGAAGTTGCAAGATGAGACAGTCACCAGCTGAGTTCTCCAGATTTCTGGCCGCTGTGGCCTTGGCGACCGATGGCGACCGCCACACCTCAGGCGACCTTGCGGCGCCAAATTGCTGAAAGGGATGAGGCCTTGAAACTCCAAGAGAAGGATCGGGATCTGAAAAATACCCAGGTACCCCCGCTTTCAATGGCGTTTTTTTTTCTCCAAAATATGGGAACATGTTTTCTTCCAGATGATCAAAGTTGTTTTTCTTCCCATCAAAAGACATCACAGAAAATCCGAGGAAACCATAGGAAACCACAGTTTGATGACCTGCCTGGAGCATTTTGTAGGACCTGAAGTCCTTGAAAGACTCCTTGTCCAGCTCCGAAAAGATCAGCGAGGCACTTAAGGTGCCAAATCCAGACCAGGGCGAGTTCTGGAGCTGCCCTTTTTCCGCCCCAAGGAAATCAGGTGCATCATCATGATATATTGATACTATATATTTGAATATATATATATATATGTATACATGGTATATACATACATACATTACATTACATTACATTACATAATTACATAATTACATACATATACAGTGTATATTATATATATACACGCCAGGACAACAGTATTTCCTCTTGAGCTTTCCAACACCCTTTCCCCATAGACCCCTACCACAGAAGCTGGGTCGCGGACCGCGGATCACATTCGTACCTGTAACAGAATTTAATTTTAAAGCGACTAGTAAATTCGATCCACCACGCAGGCCACGCGAAATGGCCCTCGGAATCATAGCATTGATTCGCAAAGAGATATACATTGCCTTGTTCTGAAACAGCGGACGGGTTTAAACTTTTGTCCTAGTGAAGTATATACATTGTATATACGTAATATATATATATATACCCCCAGCCCAGCATTTTATTGGAAATGCAACTTGTCCATACTTATTCTCTCTATGTAATCATACATCTATGAATGAATCTATTTCCTGAGTGTAGAACTGCAGTTGCTGAAGTGGCCGAATAGGCCGAGCTGGATGTGCTGAAACGCAACTATGCTGACTCACAGGCCAGATGAGCACAGGTTGATATTGGCAATCACCTCCAGCATTTTGTTTGAGGATTCACCAACATCACGACATATCACACCACGTAGGTTTGAAACTAAGCTCGTGAATCATCATTTCCTATCATTTCCCCATATACATGGCGATGGGGTGGGCGTAAATTCCCCATTTGCAGAGACCCAGGTGATGCTAGGCGTAGAATCAGTATTGTTCCTAGAAAGTGGTGTTTGTGGATTTATAACCCCCATACACTATACTTGTAATTAGTTATATCTACCATAGACCTATTTAATCTAGTTAAGCTAGTTACAAGCTACGCTTGTGCCTTGCTGTTCTCACTGACGGATTGTTTGTCTCAGGGAGAGCTGGCTCGGCTGCAGGCAAAGCATCAGGCAGGGCATCTATACATATCTCTGTCTCTACATGTAATCTATAGAAGTTACGCATATATATATATGTATAAGTATATGTGTAGAAGTATATATATATAATTTGTATATATATATATATATTATACAATTTGTATACGTTTGTGGTATATTGCTGGATAGAGCTTGATTGATCTTTGTCCCGTCTTTTCCAGTGCCAGCCGCCGTTCCGAAAAGGAGCTTCTCGACAAGTCCAAACGAGAACAGGGCCAGTTGGAGGCTGGTCATTCAACATCGCTGATTGGTTGATCTAGCTGTTTATACTATTATACTGACTGGTTTATCTGGGGATCATCAAAGTTAGAATCCATAGTTAATGGGATAGCATTTTTTAACCCAATATATCCCAATATAATGAGAAGGGATAGGGAAACTCTGGTTCAAGTGCGTGTCTTTCCAGTTGGATGCCGTAGGCAAGCAGCGCACTGGAAAAGCATCGCTTGGAGGATGAACTCAAGGACTGTGGTCAGTTGGACCCCCAATAGCTGGTTGGTTTACAATGAAACACCCTCTTAAAATGGATGAGGAGATACCCCTATTTCAGGAAACCTGTATCTTGGGGCATCCTGGCATAAGAAGAGGTATTGGTCAATATTGGTCAATAGTCAAGAAAACCTAGGACCGGTTTTGTTGATTTTTTCCTTCCACTGATGTCCCCAGAATTGGTGGGAAGGTCTACAGGAAGCCGCAATCACTTCAGAACTTTGGGTAATTTGACCGTGGGTACATTTTCTCCAGGCTTCCATTGAACGAGAATCGGCACTTCGAATCGATCTCAAGAATTGCAAGGATGCGGAGGCGCCGTGGGAAACTTGACGATGCTATGAATATGGGCATGATCAAAAAGTGATGAAAAACGTGTCTGACATTTGAAAACCTGTGGAGGCAGACCTCAGAGTTGAAGTTTCAAAGAAAGAAACCGAGGCGCAACTCGTTGTGACAACTGTGACAACTGTGACAACTGTGACAACTGTGACAACTGTGACAACTGTGACAACTCAACTCGTGATGATCGCGATGTTATGCTTAAAGGTTCAGAAGCAGCAGTCCGTGATGGAAGAAGAAAGAAGAGAGCTGGATAGATTGCAGAAGGCACCAAGTATCACTTTCTTTGGCAAGTCAGCGCTGACGTTGCAATTGTTCAGTGTTGGGTTTGTCACCTGATGGCAATTTTGACAATATGATTCAACCATTGGATGTGATATAATTATGGGATTCATATGGATTCATATTGTTGATTATACAATATTACACATACCATATCCCCATGATATTCCCCTCAAAGTGGATTGTCTTATACCTCAAATCCAGGGGTTGCTGGGTAGTTGACCAGTGGTGAACCATCACTGTCCTGATAATTCCCGCATCTTTGGCCTTTCTATGGCTCAATCATATCATAGATATGGGTATGGATCAATACCTATTAATACCATTTTTAGGGGGTTATTCACATCCATTTACCAGCTATTTTGATGTTCACCAGGGGTACAAGGTTTTGACACACTGCCATATTATGACTTAATCATCATGTGTCACCCTTTTCCCATGACTTGGCTCATTCGATCATCATCTCCCATGTCTTCCTACATATTCTTCCGGCGCAGTCCCCCAAGAAGTGCCTTTCGCCAGGCCCTGGCAGAGGCCAACCAGCGACAGGAAGATTTAGCCCGGCAGGGTGGGTCTGAGGTACAGCGCCTGCAGGCGGAACGCCCGGCGAAACCGTGAAGCAGCTGGGGATGGTTTTTGCTTGGTTTATAAAGATATAATATATAAGATACATGACAATGCATGATATGTAGTAATTATCTGCCTATCTGTTTGTCTATCTAGCTGCACCGACCTAATTACCTACCCATCCATCCATCCATCCACCCATTCATCCATTCATCCATGTATATGTTGAATGCTTGCTAGGTCGCTGCCTGCGTTGCAATGTGCCTGGAGTACACCTCAACATCCGTTGATTACCATATTTTCAGACAGACCCATAAAATCATAAAGGCATTGGTCAAACATGTCAAACTTGAATGCTCAAGGCCCATGGAAATCACAAACTTTGGCCGCTTTGAGTGTGAACCATCGATTTTTGGGTCAGGCAATTTAGATCCACGCGGGGTATGATCGCATTTTTTTAGCCCATGGTTGAACTACAGCCGCGCACAGCTACCTTGGATCAGGCTGAACTGCAAGAACACCAGCAGAAAATCAAGGTCTTAGAGGCTGACATCGTGCAGTTGGAACCTCAATTACTATCAATTACCAAGTGCTTGTCATGACACAACTTGCGGCACGGCACGGTGACTGGTCAGCCGGGGTGGAAACCGGCCATGGCTTAGGCAAGCGACAGATTCGCAGCGGCGATTAGATGAGGTCGCCAAGCGGCATCCGGAGTTCGGGAGTAATCTGAACAGGATAGCATGGGATAACTGTAAGATAACCCTTTATAATATTTCCATAACCATAGTATGGCATATAAACCATGTTTTAAACCATATATAGTTCCATTATGTTCATATTACATAACCATAATATGCCATAATATACCATAATGTAATATACCATAATTATATATATATATATCAGTATATGCCATTCTCATAATTGGCAACGGGATTTTGGAGTTTTGGGGTGCAGGCAGCTGCTGCGGCAAGACAAGACATAGAAGCAGAACGGTCTGCCCACGCAAATGCTATCGATTCTCTTGGAAGGCGGGGAATTCAGCAACCACTCTTCCAACATGTTGGTGCGAAATGATCACATTGCCTGTTGTATTCAACTGGTGATACTGGTGTAACCAGTGTAGGTCTCATGAGCAAGCGCTGGCTGAAACACAGCAAGGTCATCTTGTCCGGATCTCAGAAATTTTTGGCGAATCCAAGGATTGGATGCATTGATGACCCTGTGGGATCCTGTGGATGTTGTGGATGTTGCGCCAAAGGCAGAAATCGCGTCTCTTAGAGCCGAGCTTGAGGCAGAGGCGCCAGCTAACAGTAATTACCCTCTGGTAATTTAACATAGCTATTGAAAATGGCCATTTATAGTGGATTTTCCCATTAAAAATGGTGATTTTCCATAGTTACGTTAAATTACCAGAGGGTAAGCAGTTTTAAGCTACAGCATCATGCAGCAACAGCAAAGTTCATCTCCTTCTCCGTGCCACTGGTCTCATGGCCGCAGGTGCAAAGACTCCGAAGCCAGTTGCAATCTACGGACCAGGATAGTCAGCGTCTTCTCAAGGCCCGAGAGTCCATTGGTATCCATTGGTATCCATTGGTATCCATTGGTATCCATTGGTATCCATTGGTCCTTGTTAGGGACCTGGTGAACACCAAAAAAACTGGTGAATCATGGTAGACACGAGTCCTGAAAACGACATGGCAATCACATCGAATTGCTAGTGCATATTGACCTACATTTGACACTAGCTTCATGAGCCGTTCTTGTTTGCCGAACCTCTGTAGCCCCATGTAGAACTGTAGAACTAATTAATCCATACTCATCCAGCAACATCAGGACAGAGAAGCGGAGCTGAAAGTGGTCTCAGAGCAGTTGGAGGCGCCAATTCCTAGATGAAAATGGACTTTCGTGCAAGAAGATCAGAACTGACATATTTTTTTCTATCAGGTTATCAACTTGCAACTATTTTCGTATCATTGAATCCTTGTCGTTTGAACATGTCTTTCTTCTGATTTGGGAGTGGCTGGCTAAGGTGCTTCAATCTAAGCTTCAAGACGCCAGAAATCTGGCAGAGGAGGTGCCGGAATACCTGAGTGTTTGAGTGTTCATAAGGCACTGGGAACATCTGGGCATTCCCTGAAAAAAACCACAATCTGCATCAATCTGCCAATTTTGGGAATATTTGGGATTTTCCAAGTCGCCGTCGCTTCCGCCAATTCGCAGGAGCGCAGTTTGAAAGACGAACTCCAGAGACAGCTTGCCTGGGACTTGGATGCAGCGAAGCCGCCAAAGATCGGATGATATGGAGTGTAAAACCAAAAAAAATCATGGAGATATATGGAAAATATCATGTTTTTATTTGGTTTTATGGCAAAAAAAAGTAACGTAAACATGCGTAAACCATCGTAAACCTATTTTTGTACGATTTTCCATTGCCACCCTTGATTGCCGACTGGTAAAGACTGTTTGTGTCTTGCACAGGCGGAATGTGAGGCTTCATCGTCTGAGGAGTTGAAGAGACTTCAAGGCACAGCATGAAGTGCTCAGGGAGGGATGGGATTTTCACTTGTCGTTGAAGGCGAAATGGAAAAGCATCAACAAGAGCACTCAGTGGCCATTGAGCGCATGTGCCTGCCTCAATTTGCCTGGGAAGAGCAAGACACAACTAAAGTAATTCCGTTCGACAGATGTGATGGCGCTGTATATAGAGCATTCTAGAGTTCTAGAGCACTATGCTAATAGAGCAGTATATTCCACATAGTTGGTTTGCCAAAGGTACCTTACATAATTACAGCATGAGATGATGTGCAGATTGCCATTGAACCATTAGCTGTTTACTCCTCAGATGCCGAGGCGGGATGACTGTCAAAGGGAGATCCGGACCTTGACAGAAAAACATCAGAAAGAGATCCAGGGCTTGCAAGAGGACCTACTTTTGCGGTCGTTGTGCCCTTTTGGATGATTCTTGCAATGGTGGAACCATGTGACCTGGACATGGTTGTCAAAATTCTCTACCATTCTGCAAATACTTAGTTCAACAATGTTCAATATTGGCAAATTAGCAAAAGCGTACATCAATTTATATGAATCTGAACTAAATGGATACATCAGCACTTATCAAACTCATGAAATGAACTGGTGAATCCATTTGACCGGGGATTTTGAGGCCCCCATTTCGTGCCCCCATTTCCCCAGGAAATGAAGCACGCCTTGGAGATACGTGGCCGTGAAGGTTCCGCCGAAGTGCATCGATTGCAAGAGGAGATAAGGCTGGTTGGTCAGGTTGGTCAACGGTTGGTCAGTTGGGTTACCCCTCCACAGACTACTTAGTTACTTGGATATACCTTGATTCTTGAATGGATCCAAAATTGCAAGCTTTACAGGGAAATTTGGTGATAAACATTGATAAACCAGGAAATTCGAGTGTTTTTTCCCCACATTTTCCAACACACATTGGGAATAGCTCAGCAACTTCCTGGAATGAGTGCCTGCAAGGCATCAGAAGGCAGCATATGAGGAGGAGATTAGGCTTGCGGATGATGGATGATTTTCCCACTAAAACCGTCCATTCGAGATTTCCCAACCAGCCATGTTTGATTTTGCAGTTTAATTTCGTTTAATCATCATCAACCTGGAGGATTCTGAAGAAGAAAATTGAAGACTTGGAGAGTAGCCTGCAAGCCTCGCAGAGGGACGCGGAGGCAGGATTCACCAGAATGAGTGTCTCTGGCTCAATCAGAACAGAAGTGTGGTAAACTACAGCCATTCCACAGTTGGAGGGTTTCAATCCCAGCCATTTCAGAATTTTGATAATTTGGGCTATGGATCAATACCTATTAATATACCAGCTATTTGATGGGATGAACATCCATTTTAACCCAGCTATTTTTAGGGGTTCACCAGGGGTACCAGGGTTTTGACACACTGCCATTTTTGGGTTGACCACATTGAGCAGATTCTCAGGCTCAGCTTCGAGAACTGGAGGCTACGATGCGTCAGGAGGTTGAGAAGGCTGGGGGAAGCCTCAGTGATTCACCAAGAAACATAGGGATCCAACAAAGATATAGGGATTGTGGGGATTGTTAATGATTTTTTGATCTATTTTAATGGGATATTGTATATTATTAGATGTTTAGAACTATGATATAGCTAACATATTCAAACATAGTGGTATAATTATATATTCACGTCGCTTCGCGACGGCAACCGCCCGCACCGCATCGTTCTCTTCTACTGCCATTGTTCTCTTCTATTGCCGTCGCTCCGCGACAAGAACCCCTGTGCGGCCGCCACGGTTTGAACGATGTTGTTCTCACACCTTCGCGACCGCTCGTAACTGCCAATGATGTCGGCCATTGAGACCAAAAACATCCGAAAGTACTGATTGTCGGAAAAAAAAAACGCGAAGAATTTGATAGCCATGTATAGCGGACCAACGCAGTTCAAAAAATAACGAAAAACATGAAAAAACGGCGAAATTGCTGTTATTTACAGTGTTTTTGCGCGGTGAGAAGCAGAAACCACTGCAAATACCATGGTTTTTGAGGGTCAGGTGGCCAAAAACACTGTAATTTACAGTGTTTTTTTAACCAACGTCAAAAAACACTGGTATTTACGATGTTTTCATTCACACCGTAACATAAAACAGCGTAATTTACGAGGTTTTTGGAAGTTTTGAAGCTAGCCGTCAAGCATGCAGAAAACAGAAAAACACTGTAAAAACCAGTGTTTCTGCTATCACAAAACGACGAAAATCAGTCCGAAAACGGGTCCAAAAACTCAAAAATCCGCCTCCGGGCCAGGCCACCTGCGGAACCGCAAAAAAAGATGTTGCAAACCAAAAAATTGAGGTCAAAAAGTTGAAAAACACGGGTTTTTTTCACTTTTCGCTTGCCGATTTTGGACGGGCGCGTTCACGAACAGGTGTCTTCCGTACTGTTTTTTACAGTGTTTTTTGAAGGCGAGCGTCACGACCTATCAAAAACAGGAGGTTTTGGCCGAAAAATGGGACCCCCCCCCCCAGGTAAACCTGTAACCTTTTACGAGTGCCATCCGGAAGATCACGCCCCAGCACCTTCGGTGCGGGCGGATTTATATATAATTGATGGGATATGATTGGGATATCATGGGGATTAGAATTAAGGATAAATTAGCGATGGATACGACAAGTGACTGGTTGGTGATTAAGAAACATTTTGGTATGTTCCCATGTGGATCGATGATCCCAGATTGTCTTTGCCTGATATCATTGGCATAGATTGAAGCTGCCAAACAGTCTGGGTATGGCGACTCAAACTAGAAAAGTACCATCCCGGGCTCAGTCCAGATGCTGTAGCTGGTCATGTTCAAGATCTGAAACTATCCGATGTTTGGGTCAAGGATTTTGGGCCATAGCCAGTGGCCATGCCTCGGAATGGATAATCTTGTGATATCTTGATCTCTTGTGTGTCTTCTATCATCTCAAAAAAACACAGGTTACAGGTTTTCGTATCCTCGACAGGCAGGAGAACCCAGAGATCCCAGAGTTTGGCCCATCATTTTGGTGTAACTGACAATATCAACCTACCATAACCTACCATTGGAAGGGCAAATCTAGAGGACCATCCAAAAAAAAATCTGGATTTTCTGTGGAAGGCCATGGGTTTCCTGTGGATTTCCCCAACCAGCCCGTGTCTGATGGGAAACGGACTGGGAGGTGCGAACCGAGGGCATCGAGATGGTTCAAAGACTGAGCTCTGAACATGAGGCCAGCAGCTGCAAGATGCTGCAAGCAGCTGGTAGATTTTGGATGTGTTTGGCAAGCTTGAAATTGGGACAGTTGGGACAGTTGGGACAGTTGGGACAGTTGGGACAGTTGGGACAGTTGGGACAGTTGGGACAGTTGGGACAGTTGGGACAGTTGGGACAGTTGGTCTTGAAGCAGACCTTTTGATATCGTTTGATCATTTGATCATTTTGATAGATTTTCTTCATTCTTGTTGAAATCAATGCTGACCTTTCACCATGATAGTCTGCCTGGGAACGTGAGGCGAAGCTCGAAGATGTCTTCCGAAAGAACTCTGAAGCGCTGGAGCAACTTCAGCAGAAACTTGGATCTTCTCATCAGGCTTGGTGCCTTTGGGCCTTTGGGGCCAGTTTTTAGTGACTTGTAGTGGATCTATGTGGATCTTGCAATTGAACGCCCCAATTTTTTTGGGGGTTTTCCATGCAAAAAAACTGGCTATTTTGATGTTCAGCAGGACCGGATTGATGAGATGCGCGGAAAGCATGGGCGAGAACTGGAGCGACTGAAGGCCCGTTGTGTGTTTTTTTTGGAGCTTGTTCAAAACGCGTACGGAACGTGTGTCAAGAAGACCCAAAAGAGATCAAAAGAGCCAAGACTGGGCCAAGACTGACTCTCTTGGATGGCAATATTGATGGATGCTACACTCGGAAAGTCAGGAAGATGAATTTGAAAGCAACAGAGCCGCGCGCGAGTATTTGAATGATGTTGAATGTATTTGATCATTTTCATTCCTGTTCATTCTTTGCCTCTGAAATGCCTTTCACAATATTAGTGCCATAGGAAATAAAAGTTGGATTGGATACAAAAACAATGGAAAATGGTCATCAATATTCATCACTTCATTAGGGAAGAATAATGAAGAATAGGGATTTGTAGACCCATTATATAAGGATTCGTTAGGATTCCATCATTGTGAGATGGATGCAGACTCCGCTTTTTCAGACGGCCCATGCAGCTGAAGTGAAAGATGCCCAAGCTGCGCACAAGACAGCCCTGCAGGAGGCCGCCCGAACCTGGTAAATGATGCCCACATGCATCATTTTGGGGACTGAAAATATGTGGCTATTTAATTGCTATTTGTAGATGATGATCTATAGATGATGACTATAGATGATGATCATAGATGATTTGTAGATTTGTAGATGATTTGTAGATTATCATGGATGACTATAGATGATCATAGATGATTCCAGCATAATGATCTCGGGGCTGACAATATTTGTATGGATTTCATAGTCCAGTGCTGCCGCCCTATGCGGCCAACTTTCATCAGAGGTGCGGTCAGAAATGGCAAGAGCTGTGAAAGAGCTGGAAATCGCTGCCAAAGTCGCAGCCGAAAGGCACTGATTTCCGGGGGAATGGGCTGGCAGATCATGTCAGACAACATATGCGTGTAATGGCGTGTATGTATATACATTGTATATATATATATACATATACGCACTATACGTATTATATATACACACACTATATAATATATATATATATTACATATGTAGATATGATTTTTATCTTTGTGTTTGTGTATGTGTATGTAATATATCTATATCATTCTATATCCATATATACTGGAGTCATACCCTGTGATCTTGACCTGTGACAGGCATGCAACTGAGATCGGTTCCCTCAATGCAACGCTGGAATCGGAGCGCGCACAGCTAGAGTCTGTTCGCAAAGAGGCGCAGCTGGATCTTTTTTGGGATGTCATGGGGAATCATGGGAATATAATCAGCATATTGGGGATAGAAATGGGTGGAATAGATTTAGACCAGAATTCGGACTTACGACTTATAACATCTTATTACTCATAACCAACAATATGATTTCTGTTCCAAACATAGTGCCAAAATCTGGTTGATCATCATTTTCTCCACCTTTTCATGGCAGGGTTTATGTATCCAGACTGGACAAACCTCTTGGATTATTGCTGGTTGTATATCAATGTAATTATAGTATATCACCATATTCCATCATGTTCGTTCGAATATTCCATCATATTAATTGGCATATTCCATCATGTTCATTGGAATAATCCATCATATTCCAATGAAATTCTTGGTTGAAAATACCGCGCTCTTTGCATCCCATGGTCAAAAATGCTGCTGATCTCGGCTGGCGCCGCTCCAGGCCCAAAACCTACAGGAGGAGCTCCGAAAAGTCAAAGCGGCCACGGCCGAGTTGGAGGTCGTGTCGTGAATGTTCCCTCCGCCTCTGTACCCTGTGATCACCAAATGTGGCTGGACAATCCTCTATGAATGATGGTAAATGGATGGTAAATGGATGGTTTATGATGGTTTCATGGGAAAATCAACTATAAATTGGAGATTCTCCATCGCCATAGTGGAGTATCCCCAGTTTATGGCGATCTGGGATAAGAAATCAACCAAATTTGGGGACCACATTACAGTAACCGCCCTAAAATATGCCGAACAGTTGGAAAGCTGTAGATTATAGAAGAAACATCATCGCACTAACATCCTGGAAAGGATGTTTTAGGCATTTTTTTAGGGACCCCGTATAACTTCTACGTAGTATGATGGAAAATCCATCAATGTTTCCACCGTCAATGGAAGATCCGGATTCCGAATGGGTAGCAGCTATGGATTTCCACCAGTTGGGATATGCTGCGATCTGATGCGATAAATGGGATGTATGACCAGCAATATGATTTTGAATTGGTACCACACTTAGTGGAAGTATAACTTTATAACATTTTATAACCACCATTTTATGGCCATTGATTTGGGAATATGATGAGTAGCCAGCAGATTTGATAGCCACTGATAGCCTCGCAGGCCAAGTTTAAGGCAACAGTTGCAAAACACGATGAAACCATGAAGCGGAGACTCCAGGAGCAAGGGATACCACTTCCGCTTTTTGTGGAAGTTGTACAGAGAAAACGACCAGTTTAGTTACGTTGAATCTATTCTTTTTCATGTATCCATAGCCCCAGAGAAGTAACAATATTCACCTATATTCACCTCACAACATGAAAATTGTCGAGTCTTGGAACTGCCGAAATTGGTAAATTCCCTGCCTGCCACTGAAATCAGCAAGTTTGCTGCCTTTCAGGAGTTTGAGAAAGAAAAGAGGCACATGAAAGAGCAACACAAGAGAGGACAAGTCAGTGAGGTTTCATAGATGTTGGTGTCCAAGTTCAAGTAAGTTTCAAACATTTTTAAGCTTGTTATTCAACAATAATGGGATCATGATCACGAGAGGAGTTGAGCAGCTACTTGAAGAGCAAACCAAGGACCATGGGTCGTTTGGGCCGACATGAGGGGCTATGGATTTGAATCCATGATGTTTTACAATGACTGTGAGATACATTACCAGATTTCAATGTTTGGTATCCCATGAACAATATATATATATATATTCTATAATTATATATATATATATCCATTAACTAATACTGTGTATATTATAAATTATAAATATATATATATATGTATGTATGTATTGTATGAAATATGTGCACATGCACACACACACCCATCACATGTAGTGTATATATTTTATACATATACACGTAAATATGATACGGATGATGTGTAGTCGAATAATTGTTGTACAGACATCATATCATCATATCATCTATACATCCACACATACACTAAGAGACTATGCTAAGTCAAATGCACTGTCACAGATGAGCCACCCAATGATGAGAAATCAGACTTTCTCACAGGAGATTTCCGAGCTGAAAGAGCAGTTTGACTGCGCAAGAAATTTGCAGGACGCAGATCTTTGTGCCGTGAAGACGGGTTGACATTTGAGGTCTGTCTAAAAAGGAGGTCGGTACTCGTATATTATACTATGGTATATCCTGAAATGGCACTATTTTATGGACAAAACGATGATAAAGCATCAAATTTTAGGGCATTGTAGTTTCTGTTTTTTTCGGACAAACCCGTTTAAAGAATCGCAAAGAACAGGAATGGAATGACAATGAAGAACATAAGATGCCTTCGCTTTGATTTGGATAGGGCGACTGTCATGACAATCAGTGATATACAGGTTTTCAAGCTGGGCCATTCGTCAGCTACAATCCTTTCTGCCTTTCTGTGAGGAGATGCAAATCAACATGCAGCAGCAGCGAATTGTGGAGTGTTGCCCCAAGGGCCCAAGGGTTCATGCAAAAATGCACACAGCCAAGACATGGACGTGTCTGAAAATGGGGTGTGCCCACAAAATTGGGGTGGATTTTGGGGTACCCTGTTTTCAGACAAAAGCCTGCTTTACAGAAATTGAGGTTGAAGGGTCATGCAAAGGATATCAAAGGGTTCTTTTGATCCGAGATGATCCAAGCATGATCCAAGCATGTCAACGTATCTCAACCATACTTAATGTTTTACACTTGCTTTGACAAGGCTTGAGAACCTCTACAACTCCAGGCCTTCCCGCGAGGAGGACGCGCGGTGTTTTTTGGTGCTCTCAACTTCAGCAGGTCACGGCGGTGGTTTTGCAGGATTTGCAGCTGATTGCCCAGTTGGAAACCGATGTACAAGCCAAATCTGCCCAAATCACCAAGCGACGAACTCAGCCATGGCACTGTAGCTGAACAGGACTTGAATGACAATGACTTGAAACCAATGTTACACGCTGGTTAGACTTAGCCTGAACATGAATCGCAAAGTTGACACTATTGTTTTTATTTGAAGCATTTTGAAGCCCCCACAAGCATCGCACAGCGACAGATATGACTGCGACTGCTGCAACTGCTCAAGGTTGTTGGATGACATGCAGTTCTACAAGCTGGAGCTGGTCAATCGTGAGCAGAACTACAACAAGGCCAATTTAATCGCTGCCAGATTGGGCATGTTTCCCTTGCAATGTAGCTATATCATGGCCAGTCAAGGCAGTGGAGCCGCACCATAAACCATGTAGAACATTGGAGTCTTTGTCATGGAACTTCTCCTAGAGCTGATTTGATCTGGGGATTTCCCATTGATGGCGAGGTCTTTGGCGCGGAGCCAACCATTGGCATCATGAATCCCATCGCCAAGAAACCCAGTGGCCCCACCAACGGAGCCCCACCACAGATGCGAGTGGTGCAACAGTTGCAGCCTCGGGCCGACGTCGCCTGGATAGCCCACTGGCTATGGCAATGATAGAATATATATTATATACATCATTAATATCACGAAATGCCAGTTTTCAAGTGTGAAATTTGATAGAAATAAGTTAATAAAATGGATATCGTGCATTTTCCGGCCACGGTAGAGTGAGAGAAACAGCTTTGGTTTAGGCCTGGAGCTGGCATGAATGGCGTGAACATGGGCCTACCCCGGTTCTGATCTCAGCTGTTGTGCAATTGGAACAGCTGTGCGCTTTGATGGCTGGAGGCTTGGCATGACACCGGCACCCACCAGAAGCAACAGCAACAAGCCAATCCAAAAGTCGTTCCAAGCTGAGCTTGAAGCAAATGAGAAGTGGGCCCAGTGGGCTTTGTTTGTGAACACTGAGCGAACATCATATTGATATATTGGAACATGCTGCGCAAAACACATGTTGGAGGTTTGCAATACATAGCCATCAACCATGGTTTCAGCATGTTCAGCTTATTTGAGCCGTTTTGGTTAGAGATAGACAGAGAGCATTCTTTAGGCATTCATTCCGGCGTGTACAGTTGCCTGATGAGCAGTTTGAGTGCCACACCACAGGGGCCTGTCCCTTCAGAGTATGTGGCAGTTGGAAACCTTCGGGTGAATCCCACCCTTCACCATACCGTTGAGAAGACGGTTTGCCCAGGCACTGGCTTCAGCACCAACTACTTTTGGTCGTGCTTGGACCAGGTGGTCACGGAACTGCGTCCCGAGCTCGAACGGTGCCTGGCCAAGCGTGATGAGCTTCAATCCAGGATTGACGGCTGGTATGAGGAAGGCAAGAAACGGGGGGCCGACCTGTCACAGCCTGAGTTCAGGCCGGCCTGCCGTGAATTCCTGAAGGAGATCGGCTACCTTTGTGAGGACAAAGGGCCGGTGAATGTGACAACTCAGTTTGTGGATGATGAGATCGCAAGGGTCCCTGCACCCCAACTGGTGGTGCCTTCAGACAACGCTCGCTATGTGCTGAACGCTGTGAATGCCCGTTGGGGATCCTTGTATGATGCACTCTATGGCTTTGATGTGATCCCAGCCTACGCTGTGACAAGCAGTGGAGTTGAAGTCAATGCCTCGAAGGGGGGAGGATACAATCCCATGCGAGGTGAAGCTGTGATTGACTTCGCCAATGGCTTCTTGGATGAGATCGCACCTTTGACCGGAGGCAAGTGGTCTCAGGTGTGTCGAGTATGGCCCAAATATGTCGGCACCGTCCAGAGACTGCAACTCTTGCTGGAGGATGGGTCGACAACCAGCCTGAGGACTCCCTCCCTCTTTGTTGGTTCCCAGGGAAATCTAGGACCACCAGATGCAGGACCCAACACCAAGAAGATTAGCACATCTACTAGCCCCTGTGTGCCAGATCAAGGCCGAATCTTTCTGAAGCACAACGGCCTCTATTTGATCTTGGAGATTGACAGGAGTCATCCCATTGGCAAGGCCGCCTTGAGCGGTATCAAGGACATTACAGCAGAGAGCGCCCTGACGGCCATTTTGGACATGGAGGATTCGGTGTCTGCAGTGGATGCCGAAGACAAGTGCAGGATCTATAGCAACATCTGTGGCATCTTTAGTGGCACCTTGGAAGCCCCTTTCCTGAAAGATGGCAAGGCCATGACCCGAAGGATGCGCCATGACGTTTGGTATCGTGATGATAAGGGCAACACCTGCACAATTCCTGGTCGAGCTTTGGCCCTGGTGCGAAACGTTGGACATCACATGTTCACAGATATGGTCCTGACAGCTGATGGAAAGCAGGTGCCTGAGGGCTTTGTGGACTGCTTGGTCACTACGGCAGCAGCTCTACAAGATCTCCGAGGCACAGGTCGATTGATGAATTCCCGCGAGGGATCGGTGTACATTGTGAAACCCAAACAGCACGGACCTGACGAGGTTGCTTTGACCAGCCGACTCTTTGGCCGAGCAGAGGAGTTCTTTGGACTTCGACGCAATACCATCAAGATGGGCATCATGGATGAAGAACGTCGCACTTCGGCCAACCTTCGAGAATGCCTACGTCAAGCATCAGAACGAGTGTTCTTCATCAACACTGGCTTCCTTGATCGTACCGGAGACGAGATCCACACGTGCATGCTTGCTGGCCCGGTGGTCAAAAAGGCTGACATGAAGAAGCAGAACTGGATTCAGTCCTATGAGGCGGGAAATGTGGACGTTGGATTGCATTGTGGACTGCAAGGAAAGGCCCAGATTGGAAAGGGCATGTGGGCCAAGCCTGACAGCATCTCAGCTGAATTGGAGATACTGGAGTCAATAGTAATACGTATAGACTCCAGAATCCAGTTACTCTAGTTTACATTTTATATAATTATATTACAGTATATTATATTTATTATATCATGAATATATATAACATTATAAATATAACTATATAACTATAACATAATAACTCATGATAGAGTATGCTTCTTTCCACAAAGAGGATATGATGTGCTTCCAAGTGCCAGCATTTCAAGACGCAGGTCCCCACAATCTTTAATAATCTTTATACATACATTACCTACATTGAAGAAACATGTTCATGACTGACAGCCTCACAAGTAAAGTGTTGGTCCATGTCGGCCCTATTTGACCACATTGATATGATGATGTCTATATATTTCTAACCTCGTATATGGATATGTTATTAACACAGACACATTACAAATAGTTAATATACGTACAATATTAATTATATCTATAATATATTACTAAATATAATATTAATCTTCAAGATGATACTACACCTGGGGGTGACTTTCGAAAAATTTCGCCCAGGTATGAAGGACATGCTGGACGGCAAGATCTCCGAGCTCATGGCCGGAGCCAGTACGGCCTGGGTACCCTCACCTGCAGCGGCCACGTTACACAGCTTGCACTACCACCATGTGAACGTCCCCGAGCGTCAAATGCAGCTGGCCATGCGGCCCGCGGCCAAGATCGAGCTGCTGTTGGAACCTCCGTTGCTGGCTCAGAAGCTGACAGATGAAGAGATCGGCCATGAATTGAAAGAGAATGCTCAAAGTATCCTGGGCTACGTGGTGCGATGGATCGATCTCGGCATTGGTTGCTCCAAGGTGGGGATGGGATGGAAATTTTCCCATGTTGGGAGGTGATAAAAACATCCATTCACCAGCGATGACTTAGGGATACCAGCAGGGTAACATGACAGGGTATCCTGGGGTTACCACCACCAGGTCCCAGATCTCAGCAATGTTGGTCTGATGGAAGATCGAGCGACCCTGCGCATCTCCTCGCAGCTCATGGCGAATTGGCTCCACCACGGAGTTGTGTCAGAGATGCAGGCGACCGGCCGGCTGCCAAAACAAAACAGTGGATGGCTATGGATGGCTGTACATTTGATACACTGACAGCGTCGGACATGTTTGTTTAGTATGTGTTTATTGAGTATAACATAATCTATAAATATCATTGAATATCTACAAATCTATGAACTATAAGTTATACTACGTAATCATAATCATAACATATCATAAGTACGCTATAAATATGGGATTCTTCTGATCAGTTCTGATCCTCTTTTTTCTGGTCACCAGGTTTCCCATGGGGTCCCCCCCATGGTCCCCATGGGGTCCCCAGTGGTCCCCAGGTCAGGGAGACCTTCCACGAGATGGCCAAATTGGTGGACCAGCAGAATGCGCGTGAGCCAAACTACATCCCAATGTCGACGAACCCGGAGCAGTCCCCTGCTTTCCAGGCGGCCTTGAAACTGGTCCTGGAAGGCAAAAAGGCGCCCAATGGCTACACAGAGTACACCTTGCATGAATTCCGCAAGAAGATCAAGGGTGACGTTACCCTGATGGCAAAGATGTGAGAATAGATGTGAGATGTGAGAAAAACATAAAGCGAACAACTATTTAAATTTAAATTGTGGTATTCGATGTAGCCTAGCCGAAGCCCGGACAGAAATTGCAGGCATGGGCCGCCTAGTATGACCTCCTTTTGTATGAGGGTTCGCTAGGTTTTGCAGTTTTCTAGGTACTCGAACAATATCTCGATCGATCTATCGATCGTATACTGTTTGCGGCATCGCCTTGCTACTGAGCAAAGCGTAGACTCGTATTTAAAACCTCGATCTTTGGCAAGTGAAAAAGATGCCCCAACAGACTTCATGCCCAACAGAGCGAGAATCCATCTTTTGGCTACGTCAAGATATGTCAAGATGTCACGGTGTCACGGACCATCTTTTTGGATGTGGCCGAAAATTTCAGAGATTTCTTATGATTGGTCTAGGAAAAACATCACCCATCCAGTTTTCTATAAATTGATCTATAATCATCTATCATCTACAATTATTTATCATAAACAGATATAAAGTTTATAAACAGCACAAAGATGGAGCAGCCCACAAAAAATCTCACACGGTCTCCAGTCCCTAGGCGGCCATCCAGCGGAAGCATGCGCCGCGCAGGTTCCATGGAGTGATACGCCTTTATTGATGAAAAAACAACTGGAAATAGATCATTATAAATTTAAAGATAATAAGATATATCGTTACATTTGCTGTATATGTGTTTTTGGTAAATTTGTTTATACAAATATACAGAAATAATTACTATATAAACGATCATTATACTGGAAAGTGTATGAAAATATACGATAATTTCTATCAGCTAAACATCATTGCCTCTAGAATTGGCCATGGAGTTTCGAAACCAAACGGCTGATGGAAACCAATTTACGGCTGATCGTAGCATTGAGAATTCCTGTCTCACTTAGTTACACTGTCTCACTGGTACTGCGAGTACCGTAAGGATTGACCGCAAACACCAATCCTGCGAGCACGACTTGCAAAGCAATTCACCGGGCATCAGGTTGATCTGTATCTTAGCAACCAAAAACACAAAGATGTTTGAAGCATTGAAATTTCCACATCATCCATCAACATGGTCAGACAGATTTTTCGGAGGCACTACTTAGTTGTCAAAGGCGGGCCAATCGACCAACCTTTGCCCCTGATTAAATCCCAGCATGCTCATGGGCCGGAATCGCTGGCTCTCTAGTCGTGGGAGAGACCACGTGTTCTTGTGGAAAATTGCTTCACATTTTGCGTAAAGACTTGTCCGCCTTTAAATTAGCAAAGTTTCAGGTCATGCTTCCGTGGGTGTTGTATGCAGATTCATGTGCCGAAGGAGTAGTACAGCACTCGATGCACTCTGTATTTCATCCAGCTGCTTCAAGCATTGTTGAGTTTCCAGACATAAACTGTACAAAAACAATAAAAACAGCTGACTGCAGTGCTGCGGCTGACATAATTAACCTACTTGAACTTCAGCTGACAATCATCACTCAGATATGAAAGTCATTTCATGGGACAAGCAAGTTTTTTCAACTGCAGTGCTCGTTTCGTTGTTCCCGATGCCGAAAACAAAGAAGAAATCCAAGAAGCAGCTGGAGGAAGAAGCACTGATATTGATAATTGCAACTGGGGATAACTGGGGGTACTTCTTCTATCTTTTTCTCAGATGGGTTTATCTGAAAATGGGGCCTACCCCATTTCTGATAGCCATTCTTTTAATGGAGGCAAGTATGAACCATGATTAACTATGGGTGTTTGGGCACCCAATGTTGAGACATATACTCATCTGATGCCTCTTCTTCTGTGTTGTGACAGGACGAGCTCCAAAAGGCAGCTGAAGAGCAGAAGCGACATGAAGAAAAGGAGAGACTCTTCAAATTGGAGGAGGACAGCTACGTTCATCGCTGAAATGTGGCCCAGTGGAGATCAGTTGAAGCAGGGCTCTGCCTGCGGATGCCCACTCTGCAGGATGCTCTTGCGGCGAACCGAGAGAGATTGGAGATTGAGCTCGAGGGCAAAAATCGCGTGTTGGAAGCGGAAAGGCTAGAGGCGCACCATGGCGCATCATGGCGCACCATCGAAGTGGCTGCAAACATCTTTTTCCTTGGCCACTTTCAGTTGGAGTTTGAATGAGTTTGATGATGTTTGATGTTTGCCCATTGTTTTGGAGGAAGAGCAAGAGCTGGTGGTCCGTCCTTCCGGCCCGTTTTAACGGCACGTTGGCCTTGGACTCGTGACTGTGACTGCAGATGGCAGGAATGAAAGGTGAGCGCAAGCGATGCCTAGACTACGAACAGTCCCTTGAGCCGAAGCAAAATGGGTCAAAGCAGTTTTTAGATGTCAAACTTCATGAAATTCGATGGCGAATATAGGGGGATTCGCATAAATGGGAAATCCCCAATAGCTGGATGGTTTAGAATGGAACATACCATCTATAAATGGATGATAACTGGGGGCTACCCCTATTTCAGGAAACCTCCATAATCAATCTGACCCATGATGCTCTGAGGTCAAAGTTGCAGGAGAAGATCGAATGGCAAAAGTTTGTTTCCTGCACGTCGCGACCCAACGTCATGTGTGGATCCTGGCGAATCGAATCTCAGTCATGGCCTGACGGGTACATCAAAACATGGCTATGACTGGGGGGTGATTTTCATGGGAAAACCACCTGAGGAGTACAAACATTATGGCTATGACTGGGGGGTAATTTTCATGGGAAACCCAATCATTATGGCTATTCCAGTTGGTGGATGATTGGGACTTACACTGCCACATCGCGGATGATCAGAAGGCCTACCGGGCCTACCATAATCCATTGGAGTCCTCATGAGCTCAGCATTGGAAGGGAATTTCTCCCTCGAAGCAATGACATGTATACCGTATACCTTGTTTTCCACTTGGGTTGCTATTGAACACCTGCCAAGCTGAGGTTTGAAAACGAGATCACCACTTATGTTTCCATGGTGCGTCCAAACCTTATTCGTTCCAATGATTGTGGCGAGGTTTGCGCGAAACACCGAGACAAGAATACTCGCCTTGGCTATTGAGACATGCAATTTGCTTGACTCTTGCCGGATTGATTTGGGTATGGATCAATACCTATTAATTAATACCATTTTTAGGGGGATGAACATCCATTTACCAGCTATTTTGATGTTCACCAGGGGTACCAGGGTTTTGACACACTGCCATTTCCCTTCTGTGATACATGGTTGGAGCATTTTGGAGCCATGCCGGCCATGCGTTTCCATCTGACATCTGAGGCGAGGAGCGATCTGACAGAGAATCCATGGAGACTGCCATTGAGAAGTGCAAAGCTGGAGAAGAGGTCGTGGAGCACTTAGACAACTTTGGACAACTTTGGACATTTTGGACTTGGCCTGATCTGCATGCACCTGTACTGTAAATGAATTCCGAAATATAGAGCAGCCTGTTGTGCATAGTACCTGGCAGTGAGCAACGATCCACACATACTGAGATTAGGATTTGAATGGATTTAATGGCACCAGTGCAGGCCGTTGTCATAAATGTACATGACTGGGGGTTTCCATAAATGGGGGTACCCCAGAATTGATGGTTTATGTTGGAAAAGCCTATAGAAATGGATGATAAATGGGATATCCATCCATTTATGGAAAGCTTCATATCACTTCAGCTGCTGAAGTTAAAAGGTGAGGAAAGACATCGCCAGGTCACTGGTATAATGTGCTTGTGGGCTACATCTTACAATATATTACAATAATAATAATATAGATATTCCATATATATATATATATGTGTATAATAATGTGTCTAGTATATTTATATATCTCGTAGAATCCCATAGATATATCCCGTACATATCTTTATATATATATATATGTATGTATGTATTTATTTATTTATTTACTTATTTATATATTTATTTATTAGTAATTACTATTATTTGCATATATATATATATACATACATACATACATTACATTACATTACATTACATTACATTACATTACATAGACATTGCATTACATTACATTACATTACATACATGACATGACATGACATGACATGACATGACATGACATGACATGACATGACATGACATTACATTACATTACATACATAGACATGACATGACATGACATGACATGACATGACATGACATGACATTACATTACATTACATTACATACATAGACATTACATTACATTACATTACATTACATACATAGACATGACATGACATGACATGACATGACATGACATGACATTACATTACATTACATTACATACATAGACATGACATGACATGACATGACATGACATGACATGACATGACATGACATGACATGACATTACATTACATACATAGACACATACATAGACACACCATATATACCTGGCATCTTTACTATACCTGCCACAGAGATGTTTCCCCCAGGTGGGCGACCTCCTGGAGCTCTACTGCAAGGCCTGCGAAGAGGGCAACGTGACCCGACAGGACTGGCAGCGGCCTCAGGTGTTGACGACCGGGATGACCGGGTGGGATGACGTTGGATGGGATGTAACCATCATGGTTTTTAATAGTGGTCAATATGATTATATAGTGATTTTATATGTGTATATATATATATATGTGTTTTATATGATTTTACATATGTTTTTTTTTAAAAAAAAATAGTGATAAATAGATTGTTTGTTCGCCCGATACTTCTTTAATGGATCACTGTAGAAAATAGTGGTTATAACTATTATAATTATAGTAAGTTAAAGCGGTCAATTGTTTTTTGGGGATGTAATATGATATAAATGATCAGTGGACAAAGGGGTAGAAATGTTTCAGAAATTGGCAGAATGGTGGGAATACCTTGTGACTCTAGGTTATTTGCAACGGTTTTCACTTTGACAAGTTGAGATTCTTCAAGCGTGTTTGGGCTTGGAACAAGCTAGTACATTCATTGCATGTGCTGTTGACTACAAGGTGCATGCACTACATTGGTGAGATTCGTGCCCTCGAAGTGGAGTTGATTGATGCAGCTACTGCTCATTTGTTCGCATCCCAGCAGATTGCGTTGTTCACCCAGCAGAAGAGAGAGCCGTGCGGCACCATTAAGTAAAGAAGGCTTGTTGCTGTAGAATCCATGGCCAAAGATGCTCTTTTCCCAAAGTGAGCGGTCTTCTTCACCTACCCTTCAAAATATTGGGGATTATCGCAATCGCAATCATCGTATCATCGTAATCCATAGACTGGGAATCCATGGGAATCCCGTTCTTAACCAAGCAGTACAATGGATCTAAGCCCTTCCCAATCTTCTCAGGCTGTTGTACATTGAGAAGCAGGAAGCCAATGCGCACTTGCAGGCTGGGCCCTTTGAAAAAAGGCAATACTTCTGGGGACCCCAAAGTCACCATGTCACCCAACATTTTCCTTGATGAGTGAAGTTCAACAGAGTATGGTAGAAGTTGTATCCCGGATATGATGTTGGATCCACAATTTAATGAGTTAATAACCCATCCTCCATTTTTCTTGGTTACTCTTTCTACATCTCCCTACTTGGGATGTGCGATCGCCGCCAGCCATTATCCCGGTCTCAAGGGAGCGCCGTTGCACGAGGTCTATTTGCAGTGGGGCAATGCCAACGATGAGATGAAGGTGGTGGGTCCCATTTCATCCGTGGGAATCGACACCTGAAATGGGGATGAAAATCCCTTCCCCGTAATGGCCCTAAATCCCTTAAAATATATGAAACACCCCCCAGAGACCATGGTGACCATGGTGGATGGGGATGAAACATGATGAAACCACACATGACTGGGGGCTGTTTAGGGCTGTTTAGGGCTGTTTCATATTGGGCGGACCTGATTCTTGAAAGCATTCCCCACAAAATTTATCCTCACCATTCGTGGATTTCAACATATTTCAACGACATAAGAAGCCTCACGGTGGGTGGGGATAGATCTAACATCACCAGTCACTTTCGATGGCGCCAGGTGGGCTTCTGGGGCCATTTGCAGAGCAAAGGCTTTCGCGCCAAATCCATCGAGCATAGCAAGATCCAGATAGGACCCTTGACCCTGGTGAATGAACTCATCACTTCAGACGCAGCCTGTCAGGATATAGACTGGGCAAAAAATCCCATGAAACCAGACACACTCAAATCATATATCGTTGGTGATAGTTCCATAAGCACCATTAGATCACTATGAAGCCACCATTAAAACACCATTAATCATCAAATCATCGCAAAATCGCCATTAAATCCACTATAAAATCACCACTAAATCACCATCAAATCCACCATAAATCACCAAAATCACCAGTAAAGCATATTAAAAAAATCAATTTTATCATCACCGTTCAACCATCATTCAAAATCATTGAAATCTGTCCAAAAATGGTGGTCCTGCCACCCATCCACCCCGTGTCCTGCGAGGACTGGATCTTCCCAAAGCGATCCAACTGCAGTCCATCGGCCACTGCATTGGTGTGCCGAGCCCCGTTTTTTCGGCCGTGGGGTCGTGGTCGGTGATGGAAAAACGTGGGTCCAATGTTGGTGACAGTTGTGAGTTATCACCGATAAGTGCTGAAAAAAAGATGCTAGTTTCCAATGATCTAAAGCGATGAGAAAAAGATGTCTCATGAGATTCGTCTTCACAGTGAGTTTTTAAAGGAAAGCCCCTAATGTTTGATGGATTTTGATGGTAAACATATGTAAAAACCTGTAGATTCTCCCTTGAACCAATCCGATGAATGTCGTTAAACTTTACGGGCACTTGGAAAATTTTGCGGTGAAAATATCATGGAAATACCATCCTGGGAAACACGTGTCTATCTTTTTAAAGGGGGTTGCTATGGGTTGCTATAAAAGGCAAAACCGTTTTAACCAGCTAGTATGATGGGATGGGATAGTGGCATTCTTCATGACTTCCATTCAGTTTGGAGAAAATGACACCATGCTTCAAGCTCTACAAAACAGAATTCGGAGCCAGAAAATCCAGCCCTATTAAAACATGGCCGGAGTTGTTTCTTCTGTTCCATTTGGGATGCCGAATTTCTCAGTGGGCACTGCCTAAGGTGCGATCTTTGTATACCACCTTCGACAGTGCTGGAAAGGATCCAGTCCAAATGTCCATCGGAGGAATGATTCGGGTGAGAGCCTCAGAGTGGCCCAGTGAATTTAACAGATGCTTTAAGCCAAGGTTTTCTAAGCCAGGTTTTGATATCCATTGATCATCATTAACCATCATTAACCATGGTTTAATTAGTTGAATTAGTTTAAATTAACCATCATTATGGTTTAATTAACCATCATTAACCATAGTTTAATTGTTCAAATGTGCAACTTAGTTCTCCATGGTTTTGCGATGTTTTCCCATCATGGGTTTTCTGCCAGCGAAGCTGAAGAGCGGCCAAAAGGTGGATCTGCTGTCGATCCCGCCCTTCAGCAAAAAGGTGAAGGGATGGACCATACGACAGGTGCCGGCACCTGGCAAGGAGACCTTGGGATGCAACAAAAAGGGATCCATGGGATAAAGGGAATTTCTGATACAAATGCTCATAGTATGCTAATAGTCATATGAATAATAGTACTATAAATACTAATAGTAAAAGTAGTAGTCTAATAGTAATAGTAATGGTATTAGTACATATTAGTACCAGAAATTGACTTATAGTAATTGCAGATAACAATATTATATTATATTATATTATATTATATTATATCAATACAACTAGTTTATACAGTAATGACAATGATAGTTATGATAATAATGATAACAATAGTAGTCCTGATAACGATCATGTCAACGACCAATTGTACCATACGCATTTTATATGAATATAGCAGTTCAAATATAACCCAGATCAACCCAGATCAGATATTTTCGAGGAGCTCATGAAACTGCCCTACCCCAACACTGAGCACACCACGGCGAGCACAGCAATTGCTGCCCCGTGCAAGATCGACTACAAGGCGCTCTGCTGCTGCGAGAGGCCGGTAGGTGTTGTTAGTTAAGGTACCAAGGTACCGCTCGTTGTAGGTACCCAGCCATGTGCTGGTCAGCAAGTCCCCGGTGGTGTCTTGGTGGGACGTGCTTGGCTTAGCTGGCTGGCTAGCCATTGGTCCTCAGTCCTAGCTCGAGCCTGATGAATTGAGGCGTCAGTGGAACGCTGGTCGACCGAAGGCATCAACGAAATCACTTGGGAACAGGAGAAATTCGAGAAAAAACATAAACAATTTTTGAGACTTTGAGACATTTGATTTCGATGATCATTTTGGATCCTTCACCTCGTGCTGTTGGTCACTAAGCGCAGGAAACGCGAAAGATCTCATTCTTCACAGCGCGACTGGCTTCCTTTTCCATCACTCAGGACCGTTGCATATTTTCGCGCAATCAAAGTAGAAAATCGATGAAAATAGTAAGTTCACGTGGTGCCATATTTTGGTTTGGCACCGACAGTTGCTGAAGATTCATGCGTGGCGTATCAAGATTTTACTTCAGGAGCGACACATTGACCTGCCTTACAAGCACTGGAACATGAGGTACGAGCTGCCCAGTTGAGCTTCTCAATGTTTTTAGTGTCGTGTTGCCAGTTGAGAAACAGCAGAAACATGTACTGAAACAATAGATCTTACATTTTTCATCATTTTTCATTAGCTGTATCTGATTATCTTCATATTGGAGAATCATTGTTGATCTAAATGTATCATGCTCTGTATCAGAGCGGGCACGTCGAAATCTGACACAACGCATGACGTGTCCGCACCACCAGGCCTTGTGACGACATGGTGGTGGAACTCACTGTCCAGGTACAGCGCTAAGTTGGGAGATCCTCTATTGTATGCTATTGTTAACCATAGATACATATTAAGATACCATGTTTAATGTCAAATTACTAATAACATATTCAAATTGATTATATCAAATATTCAAATCTATTGTATTCTATTGTTATATTCTATATATATATATATTACAATGTATACATATTGATTTGAGATACCATACCTCCAAGTAATAATATCAAGTAATAACAGACCTTCCGACAGGTGGTTGGAAGACTAAGTCCTCTTAAAAGTCCTGATTCTCAGGGTCTATGTTAGTTGGGGGATGGATGGGGATGGCAAATGATATCTCCATGGGCATTACAACGACCTCATTGCGACACTGGGATGGTCGCTGCCCAGGCTGCTAGGTACGAGCTGCGCTTCATGATCTCAGAGGACGGGCTGAGGCGCCGTATGTCACATCGAGAACTGTGTGGTCGAGTTTGGGAACCCCCCAAATATCATAAAATTAGTGGGGTTACCCTCTGGTAATCTAGCATAGCTATTGAAAATCACCATCTTTAATGGGTATATCATATATGAATGACCATTTTCCATAGCAAACTGTTAGTTTACCAACGAGGGGTATTCCCCCGAAAGTCACCTGGTCATGCGTGGTCTCCTGGATCTGAACTTGTTTTCACATCGACGCAGGTTGAAAGGACCTCAGTTGCCTGAACTGTTGGACGTCATGTGATACGCTCAGTGATCTCGGCGATCTCAGGATCAGTTCAAAATCGGATACACAAAAACTGTGTGTTGGGCAACTAGTTAATCATCAACCACTGATATTCATTGATTTTCCACGGTCAACCACTGATGTTCATTGATTTTCCACAATCATAGGATAACTGTTGAAGAATCTGGGTTTATTGTTTGTCAACAACTTACTGGCGATTCAAAAACCGGCAGTGCAGTGAAAGTTATATCGCAAGGTTTGAGCCCGGCAGTGGTGAGGCACTGACCAGGGTGGTGGCATTCATGAATTCACTTTTCTTTGGATGTAAGGCACTCTAAGCTACGTCTTTGGTAAGTTTCAAAGACTGTTTGATAAATTTGATATACTCACTGGAAATTAGATGAAATTAGTTGATGCTCCTTGAAAGTACTTGTTTCGCAGTGGACACCTCTAAAATGTCCAACCAGTGACCGCATCGAAGGCAGGAGGCTTGAGCGGACCCAGTGGTCGCCGACCCCGCATCCGCAGTGGGGATCCAAATCTGACAATTTTCATGTGGCTGGTGCCATCCCCCAACCATTAAATGGGTGGTTTATGTCTTTGTTTTAGCTACATTATACAACAAATTGGACGGTTATCCTCTGGTAAACTAACATAACTATGGAAAATCACTATTTTTAATGGGTACATTCAACTATTTCTATGGCCATTTTCAATAGCAAACTGTTAGTTTACCAGAACGTTAAACCGTTAAAACATGTTAAAACCAGCAATTTTATCCCATTTTGGGGTTCCCAAACTTGACCCACACCATTCCCATTCCCTACCATGACCCACATTCCCAAATTGCCAGTGGAATTTTCAGTTGCCCATCTAGTGGATTCAGCCAAGGCCCTGCCACGCTGCTGAATGAGCTTCGTGATTGTGGGCTGAATTTGATGCCAAAGGCGCCTTGGATTGTGAGAAAAAACACCCATTTATATCCATTTATGGCGTGCAAGTGGTAAGTGGAAAATATTGGAAACTGAGAATTGACAAACATATGGAGTTAACCCATTTTTTATATTTTTTTTGCCCCTCATTTGAAGACTCGAACGACTCAAATGTTCAAATGGACCTGGAAGCGACAGCGACTCGCACTTGCTGGCTCAGAACTCCGATGCTGACCAGCTAGAGGGCTATACTCCAAAGCATCCTGAGACTCAGGCAGGTCATGCAGTGTTTTGTTCAAGAGGGTCACAGGTGTGTCGCATGAGCATGCAAGTGATCAAAGGTCATAGATTGCACTAGTATGCAAAACCACAATATGTCATGCGCTTGTTGTTCAATCCGTATGAATAAGAGCACCCAACACATATCTGAACTTACAAGACACTCCAGACACTCCTGTGCAAAGATTTGCAACAACAGTAGGAGTGACAGAGCACGTGGACGTCGGTGAAAATCCTGATGGCACTGTGCAGGGCACCCTGCTATTCACACCAAAATAGCTACGAAATTGATGGTCATTACCCCATTCATTTGGTCTTTTTTTCGGTATTGACCCACCACAGATCATCACAGATCCAGTGAATGCACGACGACATCGACAGGTAAAACCGGTTCAGAAAATACCACCATGTTGATCCATTTTTGATGCGTCGACCCGACCCAGTAAACCAACATTTAAAAAATGTGGAAAAACTCCGCTATTTCTACATCATTTTCATAGGGAAACAGTGAAACCATGGCTTCTCCACATCTTTTTGTATGTTTCCCCTAGAGTACCAATAACATCAAATATGATATCACACTTCCCTTGTACTCCCCTCTTTGTGGCAGGCTCGGGCATATTCCGACCTCAGCGAAATTGCCGCCTTCTATGACATTGCCTCCTCCCGACACAATAAGGCGAACAAATTGGGGGGTAGTTATAATTATATATATAATTATATTATATATATATACTCCAAATATTTAAGGAGTATCAATGAAACCATGATGGATAAATGTATATATGTATATGAATGGGAAAGATCTTGAGATTGAATGGGGGAGACGTAACATGATGTAACCAATAATTGATGTTGAGTGTTTCCAAAAAAGATACACTGGCATACACCCCGTATTCTGGCTCTCATATTCAACCATGGGGACTTTGGGGTACCCCAACTTTGAGGGGTGCCACAGTTTTGTCGCAGGATTTACCAGCTGAACGTGCTTTAGTGCGAATTCGTGAGAATGAATTGCGCGAGGCCGTGAGTTTTGAAAGCCATTTTTTGGCGCCAGAAAATGTCACACTTAAACAACATTCTCACCATTCAGAACATAGTCTGTGCAGCAGCCTTTTGCCGATGATTGAAACATCCATAGTTGAACACTGCAGTCGATTTGACGACAGGTATTTAACCCTCTGGACTCCGATGGAGACGCGGACTATCAAGCAATCATGTTCTTCCCGAAGAAGTGTTGCCAAGTGCAGTGCGGTCCTCAAAACGATCTGCGCAGGTTTAAGCAAGTCACCTTCCGGTGAACAGCAAAATAGTTGGTAAATGGATGCAAACATGGATGCTCCAAGTAATATTCCAGTAGCTTTCCGACCCATTTATCATACATTTTCAAATAGTTGGTATATCATATTATGTCGTTGTTTCTATACCAAGACCAGACCTTTTCCATTCCTCCAGGTCGCTGGAAGGGGTTTCGCCTTGCAGGGAGGCAACCTGTCTGCACAGCTGGCTTGGTCCAGGAAGACAACACCAATTTTTCAGAATTGCCATGGTTTGTCATCATTCATCATCATTCATCATCATTCTCTTCAATTCTTTCCATATGTTCCATTGCAATGACATGCAATGACTATACTTATACAATTTGGGAATATTCGGGGTATATTTGGGGTATACCATGGATTTTCTCTATTAGTTTCTCCCTTAATTACAATGACTTCCATTTTTGGCCGCCAGCATTCGGCACATCATGGCACCATGGCACCATGGCGATGCCTCGGCGATGCCTCGATGCCGAGGCAATGGCCCCGGGCCATTTCACACACGCCAGCCTTTATCTTTGCTTCGCGACATCCTTGGCTGTGCCTGTTGGTTGATTTATTTATATGTTATATCCCTAGAATAAATTGCTAGAATTTAAACTTTATCTTCTAGTGAAGATATATGGATATATATATATATGGATTTATATTGTATTGCTTCACTATTCATTGCTTTGATATGATGTTTACAGGGGGATGACCAGGATGACTATGATTTCAAAAAGGGCTGTCGCAGTCTCCCAGCCGGGTAAGGATAAAGATCCAGCTCCCGGTCCCAATCATGCCGAACGCCTGCAACGCCTGGAAGTTACGACACTTGGAGACACTTTGGATGGATTGTTTTTGTGTTTTTAAGACCATGGCACTTGGCATTTTTGTATCTTTAAAATATCATGTTCAGATTCTTTAAGTTTTGCCACAACTATAATTACCATGAATTACCTATCGCGCAATCATGAAACTTACTGTGGGAATGTCTTTGTGGGCACCACATCTGCCCCAGTTTTGGTTTGGCTCCATTGGCTCCCCAGTCATGTTCCAGGGATGTTGGCTTTCCGTGGGTTGACATGGATGAATCCCTTGGACGATGAATTTCAGTAGTAACTATGGGTTCAACATATCACAACATGTCAACATTGGATTTGATCCCAAGTGCGGATTTCCTTTTGAAGGTCTTATTGAGAAATTATGTGTTTTTCTTTTCTCATTGTTGCGTCAGGACTTCAACTGTGCGTTTCGTGGAGGCTGTGAGGCTGGGATATTAGCTGGATATATTTGATGGGGATGCAACAAAGAATGTTATGGTTTGGGTCTGAACATGCGGTATATCCCCCAGTCATTGCCAGTTAATAGGGAACATGATGATTCACGATGAAATTTTGGGATACCCTAGATTCAGACACCCGTTTGATGACACTTGTGGTGAATGTGGATACCTTCAGATGAATTTCAACAGATCAAAGGTTTCAGCAGGAGGTTTCAGCAGAGATTGTCGCAGGCAAACCATGCAGCTGATGCATCTGCTGTCTTTCGTTTGAGATCCGGAGCCGTCCGGAGACAATGCATGGCACCGTGGCTAAAAATCCACCGCAAAGTGCGGTGAGAGTTGGCCACAGATCCGAACACTCCAGAGATATCCAGAGTGTTTGGACGTTTCACCGAACTTGTCTGAGAGGGGCACAGCATCTCGTTGAAAACAAGGCCGTTTTTTCATCTAGATGAGTAATATATATATATATATAGTATGATATAGTATGATATGTGCGGTGACGACATTTCAATATGAGGGCGGGCCAGACAGCGAGGCCCCGGAGGTAGTATGAAATACCAGTTCGTATATTTAAATGTAGTTGCAGTATGTTTAAATGAATTGGATTCCGTATGTTTAAATGGCTGGGCGGGCCAAGGAAAACCTTCCCGGAGGTAGTCTAAAATACCTGTTCGTATATTTAAAAATCCGTATATTTAAATGTAGTTGTATGATTGTACTTTGTGAGAGAGGTGGGGCAGAAATAGCGTCCCTGAGGGAACAGATGGGGACAGGCGGGGAGAGGCAAGGGCATTTTTTCCATGCTGACATGTCCTTCTTGCAGTGGGTCGCGGGTTCAGTGTATGTTTGCTTGAACTACAAAACGATTGAGCCAAAGGAATCCCATTTGGAGAACAAGAGAGTTGGACTATGTTCGGTTTGATCACATGTGAGCACCGCAGGATGTGAGATACTCGGATGTTTGGACATGTTTGGATGAGAATTCCAAGTCCAAAACATACATGGGCGTCAGTGTGTTGCTCCTATCGAGTTTGCATTCACGTCGAACTCCATGATCATTTTGGCTTCGGTTTGAGCTCTTTTAAGGCCACTCCTGTGCAGCTCTCTGTGGAGAGAGGGCACATAGCCTATTTTTTGCCCCATAAACCCGTCCTGGGGACTTCGTGCACTTTTTGCTTTGCGCCTGCAGCAACCCTTCTTGGTCAAAGGGCTGTTCTGAATGTCATGGCAGAGTCTGACTCTGATGAAAAAGCCAAACCAGAAGAAGCCGGGGCCCAACAGACCATCCTCAAATGAGCCAAGAAGATAGAATGGAATAGGTTGGAAGGCGGATTACTCTTTGAGTGTGGAAGGATTTACCAAGACTTTGCCACACATTAGAGATGTGACTAGACACGTGGGTTTGTTCTGGCTTGTGAGAATACTGTTGATCACACATTTTTTCTCGTTAACATGTCCATTTTAGGGTCTATCCCCGTCTATCCCCCATGTTGATCCATGTTATGGAATGTTATGGAGAACTCCAATGTTTTGAGGTGATGGATGCTTCATTCGTTTCTCTGAGGCTCAACCACAAGAGGGACAGGAAGAGCAAGATGGGCTATGACCTCAGCGAGCTGCGACAAGTGTCACAAGCAGTTGTGACCAGTTGGGTTGGTGATTAGTGTAGGGGGTTATATTATCATATTATGCATATTATTGGTGATGTCCAATGATTATCAGGGTTATGAAATAGCTTCTGGCCTCCACAGACAAAGAGGCCAAGGCACTCCCCAAGTCATTCGTATTAATACGTATTAATGGACACTGCGGTTCATCATGGTTCATCATAATCCACGAACTGGGAACCCCAATTGACCCACCATTATTCGGCTTATTTTCCCATGTCGGTTTGAGTTTCACTGCTCCATTTCGCTCCATTTCTGACAGGAATGGCCTCAGCACGGGAGGAAACATCAAAGGTCGGGGCATGAGGGCTTTCCAGCCCGAGAAAGTTGAGGAGCGATGGGATGGTTCATCCCCGTTTCGAGACCACCAGGACACTGTATCATGGTGTTGGTTACCTACTCTACATTATACTAACATATATGGGGATGGGTCAAAACCCTGGTACCTAGTGAACCCCAAAATAGCTGGTAAATGGATGTTCATCCCACTAAAAATGTATCTATAGGTATTGACCCATACCCATATTGACAATCCTATCCCCATCACATTTTTCAGGGTTGCTCCAACCATGGGTTTTTCATGATAGCCAGTATGTATCCAGGACGAGCCGCCAGTAGCCAAAGCAAAGGCTGAAGATGAGGTGACGCGTGGCGTAGCTTTCTGTCTATAATACGTATACGTGTGATTTTATTGGGTTCAATGTTCATGGATCTTTTGCCATCTTTATTTCACTCTGCAGGCTCCGGATACCAAAACCAAAGAGGAAGAGGCGCTGCCGATTGAATTGGAACGACAGTTTGAAAGTTTGATCGCGGCTGCAACGTCGCCACTGCTTGCAGGTAACAGTAACAAAAAAGAAGGCCGAAGACGAGGCAAAATCCGTTGACATGTTGAATTTAATCTTCTTTCAAATATTCCATCCAAGAGACGTCAACAGAGTTTCCTGCGGATTTCTCTCTGTGTTTGGCAGCTTACAAGGGGTCCCAGTCCTCCTACTTGGCAGGTTGAAGCTCCGCCCGCCAAAAAGGCGCGTGGCCAGCCTGAAGCGGCTCAACGCTCAGGGCTAATGGACGATTTCCCGCCATTGTTTCATGGGAAATGAGAAAAGCCATGGATTTTTCCATGGCGATTCGTAGCTTTTCCAGGTTGGAAAACCATGGTTTTTCATAGCTTTTCCAAGTTAGTCCAGGTTTTTCATGATGCTGTCTGAAAATGGACACCCCTTTTTTTTCATATCGCCATGCCCCGTTTTCGAGGTCAAGCTGGCAGCTCCATCGAAGCCCATCTCCAGATGGTCCGACAGTAGCTTGGCGTTCTTTCTTAAGGTTGATGGTTTGTTGGGGATTATACGGCCCCATATCATATAAAATCATATGAATATTATAATTTAATATGGGATATTATGGGATATTATAATCCCCAAATATCCCTAAATATCCCCAACCAATAATGTCCCCATGTAATATTGACTAATTATTGATGGTTATTGGGGATATTTGGGGATTATAATTTCATCATTGAATGACGCCATTTTTGGGGAATCCCGATTTTCACTAACACACACATATTGGGAATCCATGGGAATCCCTATTTTGGGAGTGTGTCGAATCCCTATGATTTTCGACATGTCATGTCCATTGGCTCCAGCTGTCAAAGCCAACTTCCAGTCATGCAGCATGGTTGAATATCTGTGGGCCATGTTGACAAGGAAAGTCAGGTTGCAGTCAGTAAACTGCTGCATCATCAAGTAGCCGCGGCAGATCAGGACTAAGCTTTGAAGAGCAGCTAGAAGACTTCATGAAAATGCCACGACGTGGCATGTTCAAGCCTCAATGTGTAGTCTAGACGCAGCGCCCAACAGTTTGCGTGGCACTTCAGCGATTCGACATTCGACAAGTTTGAAGATGCCCGTGAATACCGCATCCCCCCCGTTTGCTGCGCATTGAAGTTGTCTAGACAAGAGAAATGAGCGCTCAAATGCAGTACTTTGCAGTACGAAGATCATGTAAAATTGTATTGGATACCAGAGCGGTAAGCACGGAGGTACAATCGCTACCTTGTCCTTGGCAAGCTGCCACCAGAGCTGCGGACAGGCTCCGAAAATCATGGTTTCCCAGTGTTCTCCTGGAGGATTTGAGGGAAACATAGGGAAACCATGGGAAACCTATCAACGGGGTCATCTGATGTCATCTGGATCAGCAGGTGAAAACATTTGGCGACTGATGCAGCCAGTGCAGAAGGACATCGTTCAGGACGGGCGGTTTCGATGGCTACATCTGCTTGTTGGAAGATGTTGGAAGATTCCCCAGAGTTTGATGATTTTCTGAGACACCTCCATGGATAGCTCGGGATTTCTCAGCTAGCCATGTTTGACGAAACCAGAGGGTATCGGAGGGTGTGTATATCCCCATTATATCCCCATTAAGTCCCCATTAAATCCCTATAAAATCCCCATTCAATCCCTATTGAATGACCCTTAAATCCCTATAAAATCACCATTGAATCTTATATGCACCCCATTGATCCCTAGTTCTGCCGCTAGGTTGAAATGCTCACCTGTTTCGGCAAACCTGTGGCGCATGTGACACTGCGCAGTGCCACAGCAGCTGCAGCAATGCATCGATTGTGCGAACAGTTGGGCAGCCAAGGGCGGGGACACCGGGGAAGATCAGAAAGGTGGAAAAACCGGCGATCTAAGCATCATTAAACTACATGACTAAACCACAGCTTCACCATACTTCATGAATTTTATTGGCTTAGATTGTATCATTCGGGGGGGTTAGTACAAAGTGATACCCCAATTGGGTCTTATGATTGGGCTTAGGAGAGCACTCTGCGCCTAGGCACCACAAGAATTTGACGGTTGCATTTGCACCGCCGCGGAAGGACGGACAGGGTTCACAGTGCCGGGTTATTTATATAAATTGTTATATCATGATTAAATTAAGTGTATACATATCTATATATATAACTTATATACATTATATATATACATACATATAATTACGTGTATATATAGTGTATATATATATACACATATATATTCATATATGGATGTTATTGGTATGTTGATTCCTATATTATATTATATCAGATTTTACTACATCATATAGTATAATATAACATCATAACATATCATATTATATTGCATTATATCATATCATATCACACTATGTTATATTATAATATATTACTATATATATATGATACTATACCATATTACATTACACTACATTATATATATATATATATACATATATGCATAAATTGAGACAAATGGGGAGGCTACAGTATCCAGTGGGATGGAGGGAAGCCGCAGGCCACCCCAACTTTGTGGTTGGGCAACGTAGATGACTACGTTCCACGCAAATCGCTGGAAAGCCTACTGGCAACGTCGGGGGCTGAGTATGGCTGAGTCATATTGAAAATCTAAGACCTGAACTATGCAGCTACAAGTGAGGTAATTAGATTACAGTCAGCCTTGCCTGTCGCTCTTCTTTTCAGAAAAGGTTTGGCAAAGTTCTGCATGGCTTGCGGTATTTGCCTACGCGCACTTGTGCGTTTGCCACTTTTGCAGAGGCTGGACATTGCTGGACATTGCTGGACACGTCTCCCTAGCTTTGGGGATGGTTTGCAGCAAATTTGCTTTTGCAGGTAGCTGGCTCAGTTGGCGCCAGAAATAGCCTTTACGGGCTACAGGTTCAGAAGAACCAGTGCCTTGGAAGCAAATTGAAGAGCAGAACTTGAGCAGCGCAGAGAAACTGGGTGTGTTAACTGTGTTGTTTCCGCAACAGAATCCCTGCAGTATCTCCAGAGTAGACATACACTTCGAATGTTTCCCACGTTTTCAACAGATTTGATATTTCATATAGTTGCACCCACATGTCTACATTTTTTATTGTTCCATATTTTTCCCATTTCAAAGTTTAGATATTCAAACAGATTCTTGTTGGTTCACAGGTACTTGAACATCGACTTCGTTGATGATGTAGATACACAGGCTGCACCACCTGATGCCGGGCTCACAGTTTTGACAGATTGGCCGGGCCCCGGATGTAGATCACACTTAAGAAGTGGAAAATAGCAACTATATACATACGTAGTATATATATATATTATATATATATACATATACATATACATATACATATATATATATAGACATATATGTATATACATATATATATATATGTATACACATACAGCATATACAGCATATACAAATAACTAGGTGTACAAGTAGACAAGACATGTGTAGACAAGTAGATCCATTTTTTTTTACACAATACAACAGCCTTTGCCTTGAAGCCTCTCGTCGCCTCAGGCCTTTGGCATGTGGGGAGGTGGTGGCCCAGCTGGCCCAGCCCCATGGGCTCCACCGGGTCCCTGGGGGATGCCTGGAATGCCCATGCCGTGGGGGCACCCCAGCGGGATCCAGCGGGATCCAGCGGGATCCAGCGGGGACATGGGAAATCCATGGGAAATCCCCATCAAACCAGCACAGTTCATGAGAAAACCAGGGGAAAACCATGGGAGAATCCATGGAAAATCCCCGAACTCCATGGAGATCATGGGGAAATCATCAGTTGAGTGGGGAAAACGCATCGACAGGCCGTGGGGTGCGCGTCCACCATGGGCACCGTCGGAAGACCTAGATTCTGGGGCTTGTCTGGAAGACTTGGATATACAATGGATATACCTGATACACCCATCATTAGGAAAATGATGATTGACCAATGGATTTAGATGGAATGGGCTACCCTATTCTCAGACAAAGCCCATCAACTCTTGAATCCACGTTTAGATCCTATCGGACTGGGGTATCTTGTTGAATTCCAGAAATCTGTAAAACTAATCCATTCAATCCACTAGAATCCCATCGGACTGTGGATGTGTCATTTTCCTCAACTGACTGAGGCCACCTGGCATCGGTGGTCCTGGTTGGGGAATGCCGCCCATGCCTGGCGGACCATGGCGTGCCTTGGCGGGCACCAATGGATCTCCCAATTGACGATTTTATCTCGCCCTAAGTAAACCATCCGAACTCGCCCATCCAACGGAGATAGATGTTTCAGGATGTTTCTACTATGTTTATGTATTTTTATGTACATGATCCATCATGATCCTACAATCTTCTACGATATTCTTGCTTTGAACGCCAACGCTTCAGTGCCAGGACCTCCAAGGGTGTTGCCAGCCTTGCTTACCGTGCTTCGACTTGCGTTGCGAATGGCCTTGACCTTGCTTCGGGATGACCACTGCCAGGACGGTGATCATTGGAGAAATTCAGAGGCCACCTGTTTTCCGTGTGCCTTTTGTTGTTTAATCCTTTGATTTAATTTAAATCATTTGAAGATATTTGAACCATTTGTGCCGACTCGAAGCGCAACGATTGTTGTGGTTATTTGAACCACGTACCCAAAAGATTCCAGATGAATTGCCCTACCTTCAGGCAGTACCTGGTGCTCGCCTAGTTGAGCCAGGGTCTCGGGTTCGACTCGGGTTGTGTTTCTTTTGCTGGAATTTCAGATGCGAATCCTAAGTATCCTAAGTATCATTAGAATATCAAGGAAATGAAGAACCTACTAGATCCTACTAGATCCTACTAGATCCTACTGTACTAGTAGTTTTGAAATAGACATGTACAACGACTATATAGATATCTCCAGGAACTCGGTCTGTCGAATGTCCCCGACAATCGATTTTTGAGGCGCACCAAAAAGGGCCGAAGGCAGTCGGGTTCCAGTCCCGAGGCGCGGTGATCTCCGGGATTCCCTGTGTCGAGACGTGAAATCAAACATCTATTGAACTAACATAAACTAACTACGTAGTGGTAATATGTGGTAATATTATGTAATATTGTAATAAGATATTTAAACATGTTTGTTGTCATAGTGTTTTAAATGTTGTGTTGTTCACATGTGTTCACATTCTTTCACATTTTTCGCATTGGGAATTGCCTCATTGCCATGTTTCTTTTGTACCAGCCCGGGCTGTTTCCCCTAGGCTTCGGCGGAGAAGCCTCGAAGGAAGAAGGATAAGGAGAGTGGCCAGCTTAGCTTCGAGGATCCAGGAAGACTATTCCTATTCTTGTCCCAAGAAGTCACAAAGATCATCAAAGATCCACAAAGTGCAGGAAATTACATGGGGATTCGGCAAAAAAATAAATTCAGATAATGAAAGATGATGGAAGATACATGAAGATACATTTTTTCTTGATGTTGTTGACTATTGTTGTTGCATGGGATCCACATCAGTTTTGTTGCAGGTGCTAGACCGGCAACCGAGCCTGATGGCAGAGGTTCCAAGGTGCCGAAGGATCACAATTTTCCATAATTTTCCCAACATGTTATTGCCATTTTGGAGGTATCTGGGTTTCCCCATGTATTCCCCATTTCCTAACATACCCATTAAACATATCATAACATACCCATCTTCTGAGACGTTTGGTGAATTTTGGCACGAGCTTTCGTGACTTTCGTGCCAGTCCAAAGTGAAGCTCTACAAGATGGGAGAGTTTTGCTGTAATATCGTGGCCAACTTTGTCAAAGGCTCGAGCTGTCTCAGGATTCTGTGTGCTTTCTGACCGCTTGTAGCAACGGACAAACTTGAGGACCTTGAGGAATTGTTGGTCATGTTCAAATCTGTACGGGAAACGACGGAAACATGTTAAGGCTTTAAGAAATATTATGGAATATTAAGGACACATGAGGAAACCTGGATTTTCCAGGGGAAAAAAAATAATGGAAATAATGGGCTAAGAATGATGTCTGCAGCTAGATTTCCCCATTTTTACCCGGTGATGGAAACGATGCGTTCACGACCAGCCATGACAAGCCATGACCAGCTATGACCAGGGAAGGAATCGCCGGAGTCTTTGACAAACAAGCTGCAGATTGATCAGCGAACAAAGGTGGGGCCAGATACCTTTCATGGAGGTCGAGTCTACTGAAACATCGAAGATAAAGAAGTGGGCATGAATCAAGTTACCATAAGTTACCTATGGCCTATGAAATCAGCATATGTATGATTATGTATGCAATTGCACCAGATGTTTGCTAAGAAAGACTCAGAGTTCCATCCCATGGCGGCTTGGGGACCTCGGAATCTGCAGATTGACCACTGTCGAGCTCACATGGAAAGAGCTGGTCCCTTGGCGACTGTCTGGCACTTCTCCGCAGCAGACAGGCGAATGAGCTACAGGGTGATGAAATTATGCTGGGAAATGATGGGAACATGTGAGTATCAAGTCTTTATCAAGTCTTTATCAAGTCTTTATCAAGTGCCCTGTCACACCATAAACATCCCTGAAGCTGATGAAGGCGGGACTGTGCGGCGCTGGGTTCTCAGATGTGCCAGTGAAGCATCACAGCTCAGCATGCGAGTAGGATAGCTACGGACAGCTGCATTTTTCGACCCAGTTACCTATGTTTACCCTTGAGGTACGATGCGCTATGTGATTATTTCGTGGAGAAGCAACGAGTAGGAGATGTGCCGCTTTGCTGGCTGTGCTTTTGTGGACAACGGCAACCTTCGCCACTGTCATGACAGGACTCGTGCAGACTCCGAGTTATTACATCTACATCGTCCCCCCTACTGAGAAGCCAGAAACTTAAGGGAAAGCGGAGCACAAACTGAGGATGTAGGCTGATGATGACTGATGTAGTTGGCTGGCGGCTGATAGAACGCCGCCAGCTTTCGTGCATTTTTCTGTCTCTACTTTTTCTCACGCGGTCTTGCTTTGTCGATGGGGTGGGGTGGGGTATTAACGTCATGTGCACAGTGCGTCGAACACGCTCTTGCTCTGCCGATGGGGTGGGGTTGGGGGTGTGGGGTGGGGTGGGGCAGGGTATTAACGTCGTGTGCACAGTGCGTCGAACACGCTCTTGCCTAACACGCTCTTGATGTTACGCTCTGCACTTCTTCAAGTAAGTTCTAACGCGCTCTTGATGTTACGCTCTGCACTTCTTCAAGTAACTTCTAACACCCTCTTGGTGTCATTTTGTACTTCTTCAAGTAACTTCTAACACGCTCTTAATGTTTTGTTCTGTACTTCTTCAAGTAACTTCTAACACCCTCTTGATGTTACGCTCTGCACTTCTTCAAGTAACTTCTGACACGCTCTTGATGTTACGCTGCAACGCTTGTGATATCTTGTGATAGAAAGAGATACACACTTACTGATAAAACGAAGTAGTTTGTTGCAGGATTTGAGAGAGTGCACAAAATGGACGAACGCAGAAATCCCTGAGAAAACAGAGGGAAAGTGAACTTGCCACGGTTGGAAAAACAGGCGGCGTTCTATCAGCCGCTTACCCTGTAGTTTCGTAAACTTAGTGCTCAACTGGTCATGCGAAGTAGTTGTACTGGGTTCACCATTACCACCAGCATCAGGAGTACTGGTTGCAGTAGCAAGTTACTAAAGCGGGAGAGTGATTTGGCTCATGGTTCCCAGGGAACAGCCCCGCCCCATCCATATCCTACTGAGGTATTTGAAAGAGCTGAACTTGCCAGCTTCAAACTTCGTGGTGGGTCTTCAGATCCCAATCAAGAAATGACTGGGAGAAACCGAGAAACGAGTCGATTGCGGAGATAAAGTCATCTCCCAAAGCTGCCGTGGCCATTGGTCAGTCCAATCTTGGCTGATTGCGCATAAACGCACCATTGTCAGTCTCTGCAGAGGAAAGTGGAAGCTGAAAAGATGTGCTGGTCCGCACTGACAGCTGCCGAAGTGTACTTCATCATGTCACAGGCAAAGAAGCATAGGAAGATTTGGAGTGAAGATATCACTAGAACGTTCTCCTATTTGCATGTATTTGCTTGTAACTTGGCGGCGTCAATTTATTTAATTATCCTAATTGTTGCTTCATCTCTAAATTTCTGCAGAATAGCCTCGATCACAAAAGCATCCTGCAGTTGGTTACTACACTGATTCAAGAAGCTGCACGAGACGTTCCATGAGCTAGCTGGACAATCTGGACACCAATCGCTCACCCCATGATCACATGGTTGCAGCTTACACTACTGGACACCAGTTTGACTTAGCAATCTTAGCAAGAGATTTTTGTCATGTGCTCCTGGTTGGAGTAGCGTTTTCTTTAGTACACCGCGTAGGCTAATAGGTAGCCTTTTACATCCTTTTACGACAGGTTCCTCTCGTGTCCTCGGGCCAAGGCAGCCGCAAACAAAAACAATAGCAGTATAGGAAAGTGATGGAAAGTGTGACAAAGTTTAGAGATGTTTGGAGTGAGGATATCAAAAAAAGGAACAGTTTTTGGATGTCTTTGGTTTGTATGGATTTTCTTCATTGCCGCCTTGCACCGACACGCCGTCACTTCCATGCAACTGGCGCAATATGCAGCCTCCAGCACGATACATCCTGCATTTGTTTACATGCTAGATAAATCATCATAAATCTACATCATAATATTATATGTTTGACTAAACCAAGATGCTGCATGTGATTTTCAGCTAGCTGGACGTCAATAGCTCACCCCACGATCACCGAACGTGAACTGGGCCACGTTCATGGCGCCACCCCCGTGGAAGAAGGTGTTGCACAACCGGCAAATTTGTAGCCAGACATCACAGGTGAGGTGTTCGAGATTCTGCATCAGCATTCCGCCTTTTTTGGCAATTTTTGGCCCAGATGGCACCGTGAAGCCAGGTATTTGAAGCAACCCTACAAGGACAACTATGTTGATTCGTCCTTCCTTGACTCACTCATACTGAATGCCAATGTGCAAAGATATGAGCCTGGTGCCTACTCTGACTGAAGACCCCTCTGCCACAGCATGAAACGCAGTTTGCCGAGTTTTATTTGCGTTCTTTGCCGGGCAATACTTTGAGTTTATGAACGCTGAAAGGACCTATATGATATGGCATATAGTATTCTCAAGAAGGTCACAGTATCTTTGCACAGTTGAATGCGTTGCATAGTATGTTTGGATATGTTTGGAGTTTGGACATTTGTTTGTTTAATTGTTGTTGTCTCGATGTCGTTTTCCATCTCAGCTCAGTACATCGCTTTTCGCTTTGAGGTTTCGAACTTTGTGCCATGGTGCCTTGCCAATTATTTGGCAGCTCAGTCTTGTCGTCATTTTCGTCAATGCCAAAAGCTCAGCTTCCACGATGTTTTTCGCGTCACTGGGTGACAATGGTGACATGGATCGTGGATCCCTATGGATCCCTATGGATCCCTATGGATCCCTCAGGTTTGGTGGAGGATGCAGCGATTGATTTGGGATCTTCAATGGCTTTTGGCGTTGGACATCGTACTCTTCGGGTATCTCATCCTGGGTGGCTGGAGAAAAGAAGACCACAAGATGGAGGACCAGGCTTCGTTGGAACACCGGGTATGCCCCAAAATTCATGATTTAAATCATCATTATCCCCATTCAAATGGCCACGGATTTGGGGTAAACAATTTTGAGACACCCAAATGTCACATTGCAGTGCTTCTACTTATATCATCTTATATCCCGCTGCATCCCAATGAAAATCCCATGAAAGCATCATTGAATCACCATTGAATCAGCGGTGCGGTGATCGATGTTTAAAAAAAAGGACTGCCACGACTTCACTCGTCAGGCCTTGTGGGATGTGCTAGATGTGCTGGATGTGCTACAAGCCTTGAAAATCATCTTCCCACTTTGGGTTTCGCGCTCAGGCCGCGAAAATGGTCTCTGAAAGTGGTCTGAAAAAAGCTGCACACAGGAAAAACCCAGTCTGACTGGATGTTTATGCGGTTTATGGCGATACTGGGATGAGTCAATATGAATCAATCAAATTTGGGGGATGCTATAGCTGCTATGGTATACTAACATATACTAACCATGTACACAATCAGTTTCAGACCGAGGTGCTGGCACCGTTGCTGCAGACTTTGACCAGGAGCTGGAGCGGCGACCTCAGCGTGACGTCCGAAATCGTCCGTTGTTCGCGCGGTGGAACATGGTGATTTCCCATGGGAAAGGGGTAGCCCAATAGCTTTCTACATGTTTTTTGGTTGGAAAATCGAGTTACCCTCTGGTAAATTAACAGTTGGACCCTGAAACTGACCAATTTATAGTGGAAACTAGTCTTTCAACCCCCATCTGGCAGGGTCTATGTTAATTTACTGGAGGGTAAAATGATTTAAAATGGATGATTTGGGGGTAGCCATGGGTACCCCCATTTCAGGAAACCTCCACATGGTGATTTCATGGGGATTTGAATCATTTTGACTGGGAATGGAATGGGGACATCAGTGGAAAAAAAAATGTGAAGTTACGAAATGGCGGACGTGATTTTTTCGGGATGTGAATCTAGTAATTCGTTGGAACTTCAACTTGGCTGCAAGAAAGTGTCCAACTTTTCAGTTGTCCAATTTTCTGGTTTCTGCAAGGCGACGATACCATCATACTCATTGCCAGTAGCCTCTTGGTGCTACATGTGGCATCATACCGATACAAGGACCTGGTGATCTGGTGGAAAGAGGCTGTGCTTAGATCATCTTCGGATATCTTCCTTTGGGTTGTCTCAAAGTTTGAAAGCCCATTCCATCGTTTATCAAAGTTGATTCAATTCATCTTCTAATCATGTTCTGCCATGATTAGGGATATCCCCATTTTGAGAGTTGGTCAGTTCTGTCAGTTGCTCGGAAAGGATTTTGGAAAGCCGCCCTCGGGGCTTTCATCCAAACGAACCAGTGAAGAGGAAGCCGTTTGCTCCCTGCCAATCTGGCATGGTTTCTTGAATGTCTACTTAGCTTTGCAGCAAAGGTTTTGCGTCAAAGTCAGATGCGAATGGGTCAACTTCTGGTACAGGTACCAATCCATCACAAGTTTGCGGGTCTCCAATTTGGACTCACACCCGACATGTAATTCGTTGTACAATTATCATCAATTATCCATATTATATAATATTATATATACACGTATACTATACCCATATATACAACCATTTATACACCCAGATGGAGTTTATCGCAGGCCTGGAGGTCCGTCAGCGCTCAATGCAGCGATCCTGGCGGCGACCATCCTAGCTTCACGATTACAGACAGCTCAGGAGGCACGAAGCATCAAGCTGGGAGTCAAGAGATTTTCTGAATGAAACGAAGCTTAGATTGAGATGTTTATGTTCAAAACTTATTCAACACATGTCAAAACTGTTCAAAACCGTAGTATATACTTGTATTCTCATGAAGTTCAAAATAGCCCATAAACGGGATGATAATCCCCCAGTCAGTAGCACCGCAATCTCGGTTTTGACCCGGATTTTAAGTACATTCGCTGGATCTGGTGCTGAGAGTCTTGTACATTGTAGGGTGTCTGTCTGAAAATGGTTGATATTCCCCTTTGAAATTGCTATGTTATGCTATTTTAATAGGGAAATGGTGATCAGCCAATGGATTTTCAGATTTTCTCCCAGATTTTCAGGTCTGAACCCATATCTGAACGGATTGGTTTTTCAGGGAACATCCCTGAAACCCATGGAAGATCAGAGTCAGGTCTTTGCCTTTATGAGCTTCGCCATGGAGGCGGGATCGTGCCGTTTGCCAGCATCAAGCCTGGGGGAAGTTGCCCAGGTCTTTGCATTGATTCCAAGAAGCGGCAGCTTGCAGGGGAAAGCAGCTGCCCCAGATACGTCACGCATTCTCGGCCCCCCCAAAAAAAAACTGTTGTTTTGATATTTTTCGTTGGAGTCGGAGTTGAGGTCATTGGGATGTTTGCTTTTGTTTAACGTGCAAAGCACCTTGTATTTCTACAATTTTCTACATGGAGCAGCACTTCAGAGTTGTGTGATTATTGTTCAGCATGGCTTGAGTATGGTCAAGGTTTACTCCAGCCACGCACATGTGTTCATTCTTTAGAAGGCAAACATGCATATCCATCATATCCATGTTGAGACATAACTTGTACTGTACATTACTGTACTAAATCATCCCACTCAAGACTGCTTGAAGATACTCCAGAAGCATTCCCAAAGCGATTGTACTGGCTGGCTCGGTGCGCCTTTCTGAGTCGCCTGGATGCGTGGCGGATTGCAATGTTCAACACGTGGATCAAGTTATGATCCATTACAGACTAAGGCCAGTTTCAAAGATAGGAAACATGGCTTGAGGACCGTATCCCCAGAATTGGATGACGGAAACAATTACAGGACCCCCCTATCATTAGGTGATCTAAAACACATCAAAACCATGGTTTCCACTGTAGGTTTTCCCTCAAAACCATCCATTGTTTTTGGTTCGTCCAGAACTTCGATAGCAAAAACCGCAACGACCCTGAGGTTTTGGTGCCCATCTATGCGTGTGCCGTTGCCATGCTGGGCTTCAGTTCTGCCGGAGTCTCAGATGCGAAAGGACCATCGTAGCTAGAAGGCTTGGATGACCACAGCGGCCACGGCTCACTGTGAAACCATTGATTGAGTGTCAAGGGTGACAACAGATATATTATATATGATATTCATTGATATTCAACAAATATCTGTGTATCTGAGAAAACAGCAAAGTCACCTTTCTGGAAACTTCCAGTGTGTTAAACTTGCCATTTAGTAACTTGTGCCAGCTAAAAGAAAGTGGTTCCCAGTGATGTGCAGCGAAGAATGGGAACGTCAGGCAGCATGCATCTTCGTGGCCGCCACAATCATGATTGGGTTTCTCAGCCTGGTAGCTTAGATGGCTTGGATCCTCTCGGGGAAATCCACTTTTTTTTATTTTTTCCATGAATTTCGGAACGATTTTGATGATTTTGGGGTTCCCCATTTTTAGGCCACCGGCAATTTGGGGATTGCTATACCACCAAAGTGGCCATTTTCCTTGCCATTTTCCTTGGGGAAAATGGTGACAACTTGACAACTGTGGGTTCCAAATGGTTCGAATTAATTAGTGGCCATGCTCGCCCATTCAGCTGGAGGTCCAGCATTGTTCATGTGGGCACAGCGGTACAAGACAGAAATCCAGGCGACGCCGGTCGCCCGGCTGGTGCTATGTTGAAAGAAATCTTTGGATACCTGTTATTGTGAATTGGGGGTTTCCTAAAAATGGGGATATCTCCATATTCATCCATTTTCTGGGACTATTATAAACCATCCATTTAGGGGATCGCCCATTTATTGAAACCTCCAATGATTTGTACTTGTATTTGCATTTGCATTTGTTGTGGTTGTTGTGGTTGCGGTTGCGGTTGTTGTTGTTGTTGTTGCTGTTGCTGTTGCTGTTGTTGTTGTTGTTGTTGCAAATTGATGGTCTCGTCAGATATTGATAATTGATTGCAGCCCATGATGTTCGATTGCCCACATTCTACATCTTCTCTTGGCTCCATGCGGACTACGTTTCTGCCAAAAACATTTTGGGGTGCAAGCGCTTGGAATTGCCCTTTCCGAGCAACCAGGAGCAATCTAGTGTACATACACTAGCACTACCAGTCACTACCAGAGACGGTTCGGTCAACAAATGAATCAGTGTGAGAGCTTCTCTTCGAGCAGACCTGATGAATCCTGATGATCATACACGACTCTCTTCTTCTGACTACTGTAACGGTTTGCTTCTTTGACTCTGCTTTTCTCTGGCATCTGACGTGTCCGACGTGGTGATTACAGCAATTTCCTCTAACTCTAATATCTCTAATAAAATACACATTTTGGCAATATTGAGGCATTGTCGCTGGAGCGTAGAAAGACGTTGGTTCGCACTCCTCCATAATTTCCGGGGGTTGTTGCCAGGGGCCTTGGGACATTGCCCATGTGATTCCTCAAGTGAACGGATAAGCCAAAGCAGCTTGCAGAATTTCAAGCGACCTGCAGGTCCAATGAATGTCAAGGATGGACCAACAAAATGGACTTGCCATGGGTCCTCACAGTTTCACAGCTGAAACGAGGAACATTGCTGACCAAAGCCATATGTTGAATAGTTTGAGGTACCAAAAATTTGCGACAGCCTTCTGCAACTGCTGCAACTCCTGTAGCTTCAAAGGATTGGCTGAACCGGCTGAACCGTGTTATTTGTTTCTGTTGCATACTTTTGCTCAGTTATTTTCTAGTAGTTTGCCCAGCCACTAGACTCCAAAGATTGCGCATGGGGGTTTGACATGGCTTGGCACTTTGGATTTGGATGCCACATTGTCGCAACTGGTCTTGAAGAGCTATAGTGCTCAATTCAATCCCACGCGATGCTTCGCGTTGTAGCCTTGCAGTAGTGTCACTAAGCTAGAAACGGTGGCTAAGGCAGGTGATGCAACACAGATTGCGGAAAGTGAAGATTGCAGACTGCAGATAAACACTTTGCTCTTTGCAGGGCGCTGGTTTGCAGGCATGTCCGGTGAGGCACTGGCATTGCAAATCCCTGTGTCGACCGCATTTTTGTCTTCATCTTGGCTGTGTAGGCGGAGCGTGACGTTCCGAAGCAATCGCAGGACCCACTGATGTTGGCGTTGGTAAGTCAGTAAGAGGATGTAAGAGAGTCCTTGTTCGATGCCGAGGGTTCACTGTGAGCAACGAAATGTTGGTCTAAGTTGAGAAAAATCGGAATATGTTGGAGATGTTCAACACAGAAGGATTTTCAACATTTTGCAACATTAAACAGTTTATTAAACATGTTTAAACACATTTTTGGTTCGCAAGGCAATGGGTTATGGAGTCGGCTTTGGTTCCGCTTCAGGCGTATCCAAACCGTGAAGGGCTGGCAGCCGAAAAGATCGCCATGGAGGTCACTTAAATCTGTGGGGTCCCGTGAATTCGGTGATTCCAGATGGTAAGGAAATGCATAAAACATCATGAAATATCAATCAATATCAATCAATATATATGGGAGCCGTCCGTAAAAGCAGGTCACAAATTTATGAATTGATGCGTTTACTTTGCTTTGCGCGATTGCTAAAACCTGCATCGCGATAGGCTGAGCGATTGGTTGGCGATTGGTTATACGGCTATCACCCTATTACTACTACTACTACTACTACTGCTAGTACTACTACTACTACTACGACGACTACTACGACTACTACGACTACTACGACTACTACGACTACTACTACTACTACTACTACTACTACTACTAGTACGAGTACGACTACTACTACTACTACTTCTACTACTACTACTACTACTACTAGTAGCACTAGTACTAGTATTTGGGGCACTAGTAATGATATTACTTTGACGATCACTAAAATTGTTCCTAGTTTGACTGCCCGTGCTGATTTTTTTGAAGTTGAAGAAGACTCCGGGAAAGGTCAGAAACAGGTCAGAAACAGGTCAGAAACACCAAAAAGGCAGCACTTGCCTAGCATCCATCCATCCATCCATCCATCCATCCATCCACCTCAGCTCTTATCATTGCTACTTCTACTATTACTATTACTACTATTACTACTATTACTACTATTACTACTATTACTACTATTACTACTATTACTACTATACTACTACTATTACTACTATTACTACTTACTACTACTACTACTACTAGTACTAGTACTACGACTACGACTACTACGACTACTACTACTACTACTACTACTACTACGACTACGACTACGACTACTACTACGACTACGACTACGACTACTACTACTACTACTACTACTACTACTACTACTTTTACTTTCGAGACCAGAACCATGCCAATAATTGACATGGCCGCGCGGATTCCGCGCGCGCGGAATCCGCGCAGATGTTTTCAGGTCAGAAGGACATTCAAGCTAGCTCCAATTGAAAACAGGTCAGAAACAGGTCAGAAACAGGTCAGAAACACCAAAAAGGCAGCACTTGCCTAGCATCCCATCCATCCATCCATCCATCCATCCACCTCAGCTCTTATCATTGCTACTAATACTACTACTACTACTACTCCTGCTACTACTACTGCTACTACTACTGCTACTACTACTACTACTACTACTACTCCTACTACTACTCCTACTCCTACTCCTACTCCTACTTCTACTCCTACTCCTACTCCAAACGCAACCTCTCTCTCTCTCTCCCTTGCCTATTCCCTCACCCTCCTACCAGAACTCCTACGCCTACTCCTATTCCAATTTCCACTACCACTACTGCTAGTGCTACTGCTACTGCTAGTGCACTGTGAGTTTTCCGGACCGTTTCCGGACCGCACAAGCTTATTTTGCTCCCAAATTTGAAATCGAATGCGTTCACGCATGGATCCTTACTCTCATTACTAGATTTGCTACTACCCCCAGCACTACCACCACACCCGCTGCTACTGCACCACCCTGCACCACCACTACCACCACTACCACTAGTACACCTAGGAATTTCTGCTCTTGCTTTTAAATCCAATTGCACTCGTGTGAAGGGTCAGAAACGAGTCAGAAACGAGTCAGAAACCAGTCAGAAACCCGTCAGAAACCGGCCAAACGCAATCTCTCTCTCTCTCTCTCCCTTGCCTATTCCCTCACCCTCCCATCAGAACTCCTACGCCTACTCCTATTGCAATTTCCACTACCACTACTGCTAGTGCTACTGCTACTGCTAGTCCTGCTGGTACTACTGTGAGTTTTCCGGACCGTTTCCGGACCGCGCAAGCTTATTTTGCTTCCAAATTTGAAATCGAATGCGTTCACGCATGGATCCTTACTCCCACTACTAGATTTGCTACTACTCTTAGTACTACCACCACACCCGCTGCTACTGCACCACCACTACCACTAGTACACCTAGGAATTTCTGCTCTTGCTTTTAAATCCAATTGACACGAGTTCCGCTGAAGGGTCAGAAACGAGTCAGAAACCAGTCAGAAACCCGTCAGAAACCGGTCAAACGCAACCATCTGTTTCCCCCTCCCTCCCTCTCTCTCTCTCTTTCTCTCTTTCCCTCCCTCTCCCTTTCTTCCCTTGCCCTGCTACTAGAACTCCTTCTCCTATTCCTACTCCTACTCCTACTCCTACTCTTACCCCTCCTACTACTACTACTACTACTACTACTACTACTACTAGACTACGACTAGTACTACTAGTACTACTAGTACTACTGCTGCTGGTACTACTGTGAGTTTTCCGGACCGTTTCCGGACCGCGCGAGCTTATTTTGTTCCCAAATTTGAAATCGAATGCGTTCACGCATGGATCCTCATTATATAATACATAACTTATATTTTATGTATATGATCTGATCAACGAAGAACAAACCCTTCCGCGATTGCTCACTGTGGTACCGCGGTTGCTACGCGATTGGCTGAGCGATTGAGGGCTGTCCGGGAAAAGGTATTTTGGACAACCCCCATATATATTTATATAATATACATCCTGAAATTACGTTGTGCTATCTTGTTCTATTGTTACAGAGTGTTACTATTGTTATGTATCTATAAATTGTGTATATATGATACATGTATGTACCTCGATTGTATTATACATATTATGAATATGTATGTCTATCTAATAATTCATAATATTTATAATTATTTAAGTTATTTATATATATATAACTAAATATTAATATATATATATATGTTATGTGTATAAAGCCTCACTTTGTGTTGTAAGAAGGGCACTCTTTTCTTTGTGCCAGGAACGACCTGCTCCGTGCATGCATGACCTTCCTTTGCGCCAATACCTGGACACGTGCCCTGATGCCCCGGCGGTTTTGCGCCGCTAAAGCTTTAAAGGTGTTGGATGGGGTTTGACCACCAAAAATATGGGGTATAGAACTGACAAATGAATAATTATCAAGGATAGTTGATGTTGTTGATGATTTGTTCTTTGGTCATAAACTACCTTTATGAAATAGATTGGGGATTATCATCATCAATTGCGGGAATCCCGAGAAATTGTGGGGATTGTGCCTGCAGGTATGTGGTACCCTCTTTGTTGCCTGGCATGAACGCCGTTGCAGAGGCCCGGGTCACCACGGTCCAGGTTTTTTCCTTTCACCCACATTGCACAGAAGATCAATGGATGGGTTTAGAGGAAAATCTCCAGGAAACCCCCATATTTCATCCGAAAATCCATGGTTTCCTGTAGATTTTCGCTTAACCCACCATTGGGAAACCCCTGAGGCACGCCCGGAAAATCCGGTGGAGTGGCTGGCCTACTACTTGCTGAAGAACAACACCAGCGGTGCGTGGCTCACGACGGTGTGGGTTTCCAGAAGGTGTACTGCAAAGCATCGTGTTTTTTTCAGGCAAAAAAACGGAGGAAAAGAAGGCAAGGGGCAGAATCGGCAGAATCACTTGGAATCACTTCTTGCTTCTTGTTCTGTGTAAAATTCTGAGTGTGGCTCGTTTTTGGTCCTGATGACTCTCAGCAAAAGGCGGAAGATCCGGCGCCTGAGTCATGACTGTCTCCACCGACGACAGAAAAAGGTGAAGCAAATGGAATCACTGCCATCGCCTAACATCGCAGATGTGTGGCTTGGTGCAGAAGGTTTGGAATGAGGGCTGCAGAGATGTGACATTGAGAACCTTGAGAACCTTGAAACCATGCTACCATCAACTGAGTCATTGCAGGTTGCTTAGCCAGTAGGATGTATGTGATCAGTTTTGGCGGCTCAAGCCTGAATGCTCGCACAACTAGCTGACCCAGAATCATTATGTTTGCTGGCACCTCCAGATGATGAGGAGGACGTGAACACCTTGATATGGAAATATATGGAATGGATCAAAGCTCAAGGACTACCTTGGACTGTGGAGACTTCCCAAGTGTGAGGAGGCCGAGAGGAAGGCTCAAAGGGCCGGTTTCCCAGAGATTTTTTGAGTAAAAGTTTGGAAGTTTCCATGTTGGAACTTGGTGATTCGTCAGCGATGCACAGGAAGGAACCCAGTGGTGGACTTGTTTCGAGGCCTCAAAGCTTCTAGACCCAGTGGAGAACCTTGAACAGTGGCGTGTGATTTGTGCGCTCCTCAGAGTGATAAACCATGGCTGATGTGCGAGAACTGCTGCGGTGGACAATCTGACATGTACATCCATTTCCACCAAGAGGTTAGATTGTTCAGGGGTTGGTAGTTAACCATAATTAACCCACTTTAGTGGATTTAAAAGAAATAAAAACTCCATTTTGAACATCAGACTTAAGTATGTAGGTCATTGGAGATGTTCCCCTTGGTGTGGTACAGTATGTTTAAATGGAGGCAGATCATTCGTAAGCCCTACGGCCTGCGTATTTTTTTTTGCACAGGCATCGATTTTCATCGATTTCGAGCCAAGTGTCCGGACAAGTGCAAGGCGCTCCGACTGCGACCCTGAAGGAATTACAGTGGCAGGGATGTGTGTCTTGAAATGTTGGGAAAACCCTCGAATTTGGATGCTTGATCATGATGATCATGATGATCATGATGATCATGATTGTCCTTTCTGGCGATGGAAAATCCCGTACAAATGGAGGTTCACATGGGCAAAGCATCCATAAATGGGTGATTTTCAATTGCCACGCTTGATTGCCAAAGGGTATCCCCCTTTTTTTGAATCCTTGTAGCTCTTGGCAGGAACTCATTCGTCAAGGCATTCCTGAATTTCTGCGTGGCTCTGTGTGGACCCAAGACAGTCGCATGCTTGAATCAAACCCATAGGCAGTGCTTAAATCATCTTACATCAGGTTTGGCAAAAGTTGGCACTCTCCCGAGAATTACTTAACAAGCACCCCAAGGAGACTTGGAACTTGTGGTGCATTGGACTCCATGATATTCCATGGGTATGTCCAGGTCACATATGGAGCCCGTCAGACCTGTCCATGGCAGGACATATATGAGCAGATGAGGCGCGTTCAATCAGCCCCTTGCGAGGGCGATATTGCCTGGGTCCCAGGGCTCCAAAAGCTGTCAGTCCTAAGGCTACTGATGTCAAAGTCACATATCAGACCTGCAGATGCATCATGTCAAGTGAATGTCGAGGGCGCCCCCGCAGACAGTGCACACTTTTTATGATGTGCCGCTGCGACTTTCCTCCAAGGTCAGAGACATCAACCGGACTTTTCCAAAACACGTTCTCTACAGAGTGCCTTGGAGCAGATGTTCAGCTTGGAAATTCTATGAAATTCTGCTGAAATTCTGCTTGATGTGGAACCTTGATGTGCCTGCTGTACAGGACAAGCAAGGCCTTGGACAACAGCAGCTTTTGAATGTGCTGCGGGCCTATTCGATCTTCAATGCGGAGGTTGGATATTGCAAGGATCCCAGAAGTGAAACGCTGCATCAAAAGACCATGGAGCTGTGGCAGCTGCTGAAGTCCCTCTTGCTGTGGCAAAGTATTGGCAGGGGCTGGAATCGCCAATCGCATGAAACTTCACAGTTAACTCAGTTAACTACCCCCCCAAGGCTTTTTCACAAGTTTTGCCGTGGCTCAATCCTTCCTGGGGACATCGTTGCCAAAAATCGTCGCCGTCAGAATCATCAGACTTCCTCTCCACTTGGTGTCTCCCTCTGTCCTCACACACCGCTCTTTCAACCACACCTTCCTTCTCCCTTTACCCTGCCAGCTTTCGTCCCTTGCCCCTTGGCCTCAAGTTTGCAATCTGTGGCACCTCATTGGGAATAAGACTCTTCAGCATTCTTCAGCGTCGTATGGTGCTTTTTTCGTCGCATTTTTCATTGCTTCCCAGGTCAAGGTATGGGCTTCATCTGTGGCGTGTTGCTGATGTACATGGGTGAAGACGACGTGCTCCCCCCATGTGATCCGAGTATCAACAGCTGCCCACAATGGGCCATGATGGGCCAGGCGTTTCTGATGTTGATCTCGTTGCTGGAGAATTACCGCATGGCTGGACTATTTATGCGCGGCCCTTGGGCATTGTATCCGACGATCCATGCATATACAACTTGGATCGTGCACAATAATAAATACTTGTATGACAAGATGAATTAAATATACGTACGATTACGTACGTATATATATATATACACACATTATGTCTATGCCATTTGTGGCGTCATTGTGTGCCGCAAAGTTGGGCAGAGAATCATCGAAATTCCAAGGCCAAACCTGCCGCTTTTGAACAAGTACTTCTTTCAACTCCAAAGGCTCTTGGAGATGAACCTGTCCGGGCGGCAGTCACGAGCTGCGAGGCTTGCTGCAAGGCTTGAAGGCTGGATGCGATTTTGGGCTGAGGCCACGCCTACACGAACATCTCACTGAACAAGGCGCATGGGCAACAGCGTTCCTGAAGGTTTGGTCACCAGTGCCAGTGGACTTGTCAAAGCTGCCTATTGCAATGGAGAGGATTTGGAAGGGTTGCAGGCTGGAAGATCTGCCAAGTAAAGCCACCAGAGAATGAGAGAAGTCCATTAGGATTTTGCTCTGTCGGATCTGTGCCGGTTTCCAGCATCCGGAGGCGTCGAACCAACAATGTATGCATCCCAATGGTTCATGACCGCGGCAGCCTCAGTCCCTGCGGTTGTGTAGCACATTGTAGCACCATGCCATGAAATTGAAGTCATACTTTGTTCTTCTTCTATAGTCCTTCATGATGCGCGCGCGCGCACCGTTGAAGCACGATTCCATAAATGTTTTGCATCGTTTTGCATCAGGTGTGCATCTACAATTTCCCCTTCTCCACAGTTGTGAGAGTCTGGGATATTTTCCTTGCAGAAGGGGTGTTGACCTTGGATTCGCAAGATTTGATGCTGTCGCAAGGGCTGATTACGCTGATTGGCAGACTCTCCATGCTGAACATCAGCCATTGGGTGATTTGAGGTTAAGATCATTTTCCGCATTGCTTTGGCCTTGCTGAAGTGCCTTCAGCGGCAGTTTCTTTTTTCAGCTTTGGAAGAAAGTAGTCTAGCTTTGGATTGCTTGTGACATGCGGTGTGCTGTGAAAATCACATTGATCTGACATATGACATATGGCATCCCAAAAGTCCCTTAATTTCAAATTAAACATTACCAATACTGTAACTTGGATGATAACTGGGGGTCCCCTGTGACGTTGTAAATCCATGGTTTATCTTCATTTTCCTCCATTAAATTATAGATTGGAATTGAAATGGCCAACAAATGGGGTAGTTTCTCATAGTTTCTCAGGTCTCCCCTGTGGGCTTTGGCCACATGTCAAGGTTAAATCAAGAGGCATTGCTAAACCAATCCTTTGAGCAGATCCTGCAGACCTTGAAGCAGGCCAGGACGGCGTCACACTGTTACACTGTTGATGCAAAAAAACAGTGCATAGACAGATATGATTGATACAAATGTGTCAAAGGATGTGCGTATTTATATATATATATGTACAAGTATATATATATAAATGTGTGTGTATATGTATAAGTATATTTACAGATATATATATATATTATATATATAACCTTCGAATTGTTTTTGGTTTGAAACATCCTTGAATCTTCCTCCCTGGTACCCTGGGCTCCCGTTTGGGGTCCCGGGGCAGGCGCCCAGTGCGGTGGAGTCCGACATGTCGTCCTGGCCAATGGTTGACCATTTTGGCATCATCTCTGGCTATTTCTTGGCGGAGATTTGGATATTTTGGAACCAAGCCAGATGGTTTTCTGAAAAAATATAGGAAAATCATGGAAAGCTCCTGAAATCGACTGGTTACGATCATCGTTGTTGAATATGTTCGATATTAACATTGCCATTTTGGTGGGCGCGTCATGGGTATACCCTCATTATTGGACAAAATTCCCAGAGGATTGTTCGAATTGACAAGCAGCAAGCATGGTTTGGCCAGGCTCATAAAAACTGCACTGAACATCAAGCTCAAGAACAAGACACTGAAAGACATTGAGTCGACCCCTCACTTTTTTATACTTTGTTCCTCTCAAGAGTCACTGTGGGTCCACATGTATTACGTACCGAGTTCGAACACGAGGTCAGAGTGGCTCTCTCAAATGTCACCCGGCATTTGAAGTCTGAGAAGCGGCCGGATTTGGCCAAGGACGTGTCACCTATCGCGGCCAAAGACCGCCGCCCTATCGTAAAGATGCTCTGTAGCTCTGTAGATGTACCAGTACCACCTGTAGAACCACCAGCAACTCTGAAATCACTCGCGTTTGACACTGTGACTGCGGACCTTTTCATTTGCTGTGAATATCGACATGGGTGCAGCCGAGCATGAAATAATTAATGAAATATATATAATGAAATGTTTTTTTCACCACCCACAACTCTGGCATGACGACACGTGTGGATATTGGGTTCAATCAGCTTTGATAATTCGTAGCTGCGTTGCGAACATGGCAGAGGACAAGGACTGTGTCAGTTCATATTTTGGAGTCGTGCTACTGTATCACATGTATCACAATTCACCAAGACAAAGGAGAAGAAAGACGACAAGGACAAGGACGATGAAAAGAAGGAGGCAGACAAGCCAAAGGACGCAAAAAAGGCCGGAACCCCGGCCACTGGGAAACCTTGAAGGTTTCTTTGGGGTTTGAAAATTACGGGAAAACATCATAAAACACCCAAGTCCAGTTGATTACCGTCACGTTCTCCATTTATACAGTACATGTAATGTCCACATATTATCTATGTAATATATGAATAACCATAAATGGATGATACTTTGCATTTTCACACCCATTTTCCATCCTCCATTTTTGATGCTTAAATCTCATTTGATCGGTAAAATGATCTAGAAATGCTGGGTCTTCCGTTAGTATCCGTTGGTTTACAGGGTAAATCCTCCACTTCAATGGGGCTAAAAATGGAGTAATCCCTGACCAGGACAGAAGGGACGTTGTCGTCCATCCAATCGTCCTCCTTGGAGTCGTCGACCACTACAACCGGGCAATGACCTCAGGGATCCAAGATGTACCAAGCTGCCTATCTCTCTAATATCCTATAATATATATATATATATAATGATATATATATAATGATATATATATATAATGATATATATATATAATGATATATATATAATGATATATATATATATATGTATAATGATATATATATATAATGATATATATATAATGATATATATATAATGATATATATATATAATTATGTATATATATATATATACATATATGTCGATTCACCGCCATCCAGGTATAGACATCCAGCATTTGCCGCAGGGACATTCATGCCCAAGAGTCCAAGAGGGAAAAAGGCTCCCCAGGGTCTGGGAGTAGGGCGCTGCCAACATTGGTAGCGGAGCTACCATAGCTCCAATAGGGTGTCTTGGGTTAGACTATACCCGCGATTCACCGCCATAGAGTCGGGTTCATCATTGAAATATTTCTCTGGTGACAACGCTGACTATAAGGAATATAGGAGGTGGAAAGTTTGGGCCATCAACAAGATGCGAACCATGGACAGACTGGAAAAATCATCTCGCGGCTCCTTCATCTGGACACTCCTGCAGCGACGTGCATTGGAGATTGTGGAACAACTTAAGCCTGAAGAATACCAGATAGAGGGTGGCGAAGAAGTTTTGTTCAAACTATTAGATCAACGATGGCCTGAAAAAGGTCGACATGATGAGATGTGGGAGACCATTGCTGAGGTCTTCGCCCTTCATGGAAAGGATGGTGAGAGCCTCCGTCAATGGTCTGCTCGAGCCCGTGAGGTGATCGATAGATGTGCCAGGAGGTGTTTCCCTGATGAGGCCAGAGGTTGGACTCTTCCAGTGGCCTTAGCGAAGGCGAGCGTGCCGTGGTTTTGGCCAGGGCTCAAGGGGATTTGAAATTCGATAGTGTTACAACTTCCATGCGCAGCTGCTATCCGGAGCTCACCATTTCCCGGAAGAACTCTTCTTCCGTGCATGTCGTTGAAGAAGTTGATTTGAATAAGCCGGCAGAAGCGGGGCGTGACCTTGCCACAGGATTCGAAGATGTCGAGCTCTTCCTAGCTGAACATGGCCTGAACATGCCTGAACGATGAGTCCCCTTCCCATGAGCAACATGATGAGGTATGGGATGAACGGGATGCTGCTGAAGTGTTAGCCGCCTCCTGGAAAGATCGTCGTGCAGAGCTGAACAAACTCCAGCGCGAGCGGAAATTCCGCCAGGCTGGTGATCCTCGAAGGGCTTTCAGAGTAGAGGTCGAAGAAGTCAAGAAGCGATCAAAGTGTTTCAAATGCAACAAGCTGGGGCATTTTGCCCGAGACTGCGAGAGCAAAGCCGCATCTTCAGGTGCTGCTACGTCGTCTACGACTGGTCGAGAGCATGGTGCTAGCATGGTGCAGCATGATTCAGGAGTTCAAGAGCATTTTGTATGCTCAGCTGGTTGCCATGACACCTGTGGCTTTTCTGAACATGGCGTGTGTCTAGTGAGCTCACAGCTCGCCCAAGGGTAGTTCCAACTGTGACACCAGGTCAAAGCGTTGGCCTACTGGCGAACTCAAAAATGGGTACAAGGGAGTTTGGAACAGCATGGTAGGTGGCATGGGCCCGCTATTGTTCTTGGTCATGTTGGTAGAAATGTCGTAGCCATTCACAAGAGACGAATCTTCCGTTGTGCCCCAGAACAAGTTCGTCCATCTACTGAGTCAGAAAAGCAATTGGCACTGACCCCACATTTGGAGTTGGCTGGAATCAAAAACATGGTTGACCAGGGGGCCCTGCAAAGCCGTCAATTTGTTGATTTGGTATCCCAAGGGGATCCCAGCCAATCGGAGCCAGTCGTTGCCGAAGCGCTGCCATCTGCAGAAGCCTCGAAGGCTGATGAACAGTCTGCTATGCCTGAAGCTGGATCACCGGCAATTGCACCGGAGCTTGAGCCAGTGCATGAGTGAGGAGGAGTCGAAGACTCCTGTCCTTGATACCTCTAACGAGGCTGACTGATCCCTGGCGATGCGAAATTATCTGCCATGTCCAGTGATGCTGCTGAATCCTCGCCTTACGGTCCTGTGCGCCACAAAGTCTTAGGAAAGCAGGGACCCATGACCTTATATAGGCCCAGTGGGATGTCTCAAGATGATTTCTCAGAGATGATGCAAGAGGTTGCTCCACAGCTGTTGCAACAAGTTCTCCAACAGGATGAGTCATCAAAAGAATCATCTGACAGTAGAGGATCAGGTATCAAAAGAGAGTGCTCAGAGGTAGAAGCAGGTCACAGCCGTGCCAAGAGCCAGCGCACAGAATCGCCTGACAGGTCACCACCTGATGCTGCATTGCGCGTTGCTCCAGAAGGTGATATCACTTTTGCCAAGGATGAGGTTGCAGTGTTGTCTGTTGCACACGAAGCTGGCCATCCCACGGAAAGACTTTCCCAGGATGAAACCTCTGAGTTGATCAATGGCATGCGTCGGGGTCATTCCATGGAAGTGCTGTTGGCCAACTATATCCAAAAGAAGGCTTCCAAGGAAATCCGTGGTACTGGAGCTAAGTTGTTGGAGTGGAATATTATCTTAGCCAAAAATGCTGCCAGAGTACTAGGACCCGAAGCCGACCATGTCCGCCAAAAGATGCCTCATAGGATAATGGGAAGTAGGTATGTAGTCACCATCAAGCAAGGAGATGATACTCCCTCCCGGGTGAAAGCCCGGTGGTGTCTTCAGGGTCACCTCGATCCTGACCTGCATGCAAAGGCCACCAGTGGCGACCTTCAGTCCTGTCTCAAGTGGTACGGAACATGTTGCTTCAAGCGATTGCATCACACAAGTGGAGATTGAAGTTAGGTGACATCAAGGGCGCTTTCTTGTCCGCAGGTGACTTGCCTGCTCATGAGCAGTACAGACCTCTGTTTGCGCGCCTCCCCTCACAAGGAATACCAGGGATTCCAGATGATGCACTTATCGAAGTAGTTGGTCATGTGTATGGTTTGAGTGATTCACCCTCAGCGTGGTATCGACGCTTGTCATCTGTCTTGTTGGAAGCTGGTTTCGAGCGTTCACGTTTTGATAGCTGTCTCTTTACATCCGAGAACATGGGAAACTGACAGGAATCTATGGTGTGCATGTAGATGATTGTGCAACTGCCGGAGAAGGTCCTAAGTATGAGCAAGCCCTGAAGCACTTGCAGCAAAATTTTGAATTCCGCAAATGGCGCGATGGTCTTGAGGGCGGCGATTTCTGCCGCGCCTCCTACAGTCAAGACCCACTGTCTCTTGAGATAGTTATGTCCCAGGCTAAGTTCATTGACAAACTCCGGCCAATGCATTTTTCCAAAGAGCGGTTGAAGAACAGAGATGCACCCTTGAATGTCGAAGAGATCAGTTGTTTGAGAGCTATCAATGGTAGTCTGAACTGGTTGGCAACACAGTCACGACCTGATCTATCAACTCAAGTGTCCCTTTCCCAGCAGTCTTTTCCTCAACCGACTGTGGCTGATGCTCTATCAGCGAGCCATGCTGTCCGCAGAGCCCGACAGCACAAGGACCAAGAGCTCAGGTTTTGCAGCATTCCGCCCAAAAACCTTCGCAAAAGCTGGAGCCACTCAAGCGGGATACATTTTGGGATTTATTGATAAGGCTGTTAATGATGGTGTTCTCAGTCCATGGTCCCCAGTGTTTTGGAGAAGCGCTAGACCCCCTCGTGTTGTAAGCTCCACCTTAAGCGCTGAAGCTCAGAGTATGGCCGTAGCATCTAGCATGTGTGAATGGGTGTCACGGTGTCACTGTTGTTGTCAGAGGCCTTAGATGGTTGCCGATTTGCGCATAGCTGCTGGGATCATCCCAATCCCCGAACCATCAGTCTTGCAACAGATTGCAAGTCACTCTATGACCACCTTTCATCTCAATCTTCCCCTGCACTTGATGACAGAAGAACTTCAGGTGACATCATTATCATTCGTGATTCCATCAGTAGACTAAGTGCCTCGTTGCGGTGGTTGCCAACGGACCGGATGTTGGCAGATGCTCTTACCAAAGAGAGCCCAGAGGCTTTCGACTTGTTGAGAGCTTGCTTACGATCATCACAGTATCAAGTCAGTCCAGAAGCCAGGATTCTGGAGTTGCGTGCCGGTGAATGGATCCGTAGACAAGCGTTTGCCCGCAAAAATGCCAAGCATGAGTCCCGTGTGGAAGAGCAGTCACGAAATGGTGCGAAAGATGGGGTTGTTAACAATAAATAAGTAAAGGCATAAATCATGAAGGGGTAACTTGGGTACTTGGGGTTAGGCTAATAACTTCGGTTGCCACAGCCTGAACCTTGCAATGATGCGAGTGTGTCAGTGCCTAGCCGCGTCACTGCTGCTCAAACATTTTGTTTTTCCATATTGTTGTTGAAATGTCCAATTCCAAGGCCGCCGGTAGCCGAGTGAATTACTCAGTCCCACGGTCCGTGGCTGATTTCAATCAGTGTGTTGAACTGGTGCTGGGGGCTCGTCGCCGTGGAGGACTTGAATCTGTCATCAATAGAGTGCGCGGCACAGAGGATGGCCTTCAGACTGAATTCAGTGCCATCGGTCTCTCTGCCCAGAGGCCATGACTGATGCATTGAAGCATCTTCGATGAGACAGCACTGGACTACGAGGATGATGAGAGCGTGGAAGGCTATGTGGTGCTGGTTGCTCCATCACCACTTGTGGCCCATGATCCATGTGGTCGTTCAAGTGTGAATCCCTCCTTGCCGGAGGGTGTCCCATCGCTGCGAGAATGGGACACATACAAGGTTGCTTTCGGAAAGTACAAGAACAAGAAGACTTACTTTCAGGTCTTCTCAGAGCAAAGTGAAGAGATGTTCACTTAATTACCGCAACCAGTATCTGATGCCTCGCCGCACCGGTGGATCTCCTCTCCTCAAAGACTTGGCTGACTATGTGGCCAGGCCACAATGACAGAGCAGACTCAATTCCACCAGCTGCCAAAGATCCCAGGCACAAACGCGACCAGAACAAAGTGAAATCAATGGACGCAACAACAATTTTGAAAGTGATAGCAGAATCGATTCACCGCCATCCAGGTATAGACATCCAGCATCTGCCGCAGGGACATTTCTGCCCAAGACGGAAAAAGGTTCCCCAGGGTCTGGGAGTAGGGCGCTGCCAACATATATATATATATTTATTTATTTATTTTTAATTTTATTTTTATTTGTTTTTATGTTTTTATTCATATTTTTTTCATTTATTTTTATTTATTCATGTGTATTTATTTTTATTTATTTATTCGTATTTATTTATTTGTTTTTATTTATTTGTTTGTTTATTTAGTTTGTTTATTTATTTATTTATTTAATGTATTTATTTATATTTTTATTCATATTTATTTATTTATATTTATATTTATTTATTCATATTTATTTATTTTTATTTATTTATTTATTATTTATTTATTTATTTATTTAATCTTATTTATTTATTTATTTTTATTTATTTGTTTATTTATTTAGTTTAGTTTATTTATTTATTTATTTATTTTAATTTTAGGTTTTTTTCATTTATTTATTATTTATTTATTTTTATTTATTTATTTGTCTATTTATTTATTTATTTATTTATTTATTTTATTTTATTTATTTCATTTATTTTTTTTCCTTTTAGTTATTTAATTAATTAATTTATTTATTAATTATATGTGTTGAATGATGTTCATATCATTATGATTATCTCATATATTATCATCATTCTTCATGAAAAATTGTCTTTACTATGCGTGTAGGACTGCATGCGGAAATAAAGCTACTCAAATGAATTCGGACAAGCACAGTTTGTCCGGCTCGTTGTCATTGAGTTGTTCAAGTCCATTCAATACCTGTGGATACCTAAGGTAGCCAAGGGAACCACTAAGCGAGTGGTTGGCACCCTGTTGGGCGAGGCTTGGGCTCCCCACAGGGCAACGACAGGTTTCGGAATTGGATGACGGGAAAAATTACAGGAAACCACCAGGTCAACTGTCCTGTAAATTTTCTCTGAAACTAACCCAATATAACCCAATGATCCCAATGATAGTTTGATGTTGTTGGATGTTGTTGGGAATTGTTGACTTGTTGACCAATGCTTCGAACGCACAAACGACATGTAGCACAGCACACCGTTCTTTCAATTTTTCCTCAACACATCATAGGATTCTACAATATTTTACATTCTACATGTATTACATGTGCAATAATCAAAAGTTGAATTACAATCGTTCCCTTCTCCTACTGATTTCGTTTTGTTTTTATACTGGAGGATGGTCACCATCATCATCCATCATCGATTCATAGGTAATGATGGGATGTCGATAACCCATGATAACCCACCATTATGGTGCCAAGCCACCAAACGCATTTCCGGGCATTTCCGGGCTTGATTTTCCCAGCAAAATTAAGCCTGGATGATTTGTGCCCAATCACAGGTCTCTGATTTGAGCCTCCACATCACCAATTGCTTCGCAGTGCCTTTCGAAGAGGATCCACGAGATCCACAGGCCAGTTGAACACGACACATTGAGGTAGCCCTAATCTAGTTTACACTGAAATCATTTAAATCTAGGTTTATTGATGATGGATGTGTATATTAATGTGGATATTATTGATTATTGTTGTATATATTGATGTTTATGCTGATCTTTACCTGCATGTTTGATCATTTTTGTTGTTGAGTTGGGTTGAGTTAAGTGGATCTATCAACCGGGGTTTTGCAATCCGATTCAAAAGTAACCATTGGCCGTTGGGCCACTCGTACCACCAATCTCCAATGACCTGCCGTGAGCCATGAAGATTGCCTTGCTCGTCCACTCAGATATTGCAACCTGCATGATCTTCCAATGATTTCCAATGTATTATTCAATGCATTATGTACCCTCTGGACCCTCTGGTAAACATACAAAAAACTATGGAAAATCACCATGTTTCATGGGTAAATCCCCTATTTCTATGGCCATTTTCAATAGCAAAGTGTTAGTTTTCCAGCTTGAGATGACCTGAACGTTACGCTCACATTCACGTGGACTCGACCGCAGGTGTGGTTCTTGGATCACAACTACCATGAATCGATGTTCGCGATGTTCAAGAAGGCTCAGCTGGGGAGATGGAGGTTTCATCACATGTGGACATTGCTGATCATTGATGATTATGATACATAATGTCTATATATAATTATATATATATATTCACATCATATGTTTATCACATCATATCATATAGTGTCATATCAATATGAACATGTATGTGTGTAGATGTTTTATGAATATGTATATTCATATTCATGTTGTTGTAATATGGTTTTTAATAATGTTATACTGTATTATGTTATGTTATTACAGTATTGTGTTGCATCGTGTTGCATTGCATTGTATTGTATTGTAGTGTTGCGTTTGTCTATTGTATTATATATATACTATATTATCTTATATTATGTTGTGTTATATGCTATTCTAGTTGTATCGTATGCTTATTCTATTTACATATATATATATATACATATATACGTATATATATATATATATACACATGATACTTAATAATATATGAATATGACTATATTATATATTCCATAGTGTATCCCCATGATCTCCCATTTTTCCTGCCCAGTGCCGGCCAAGCGTTTCAGGTGAACACAAAGGAACGCATCGTTGGGTGGTACTCTACTGGACCGAAGATCAAGCCATCTGACCTCAGCATCCACGAGCTTTACCGACGGTGAGCCCTTACGTTTTTCGAACATCAAAGATGCAAAATCATGGGAAAATCATGGGGAAATCATGGGAAAATCATGGGAAAATCATAGGGATTGATACTTAGGGGGTTTATCTCAGTTGGCAAGTGGTTAATAAGATTAATAAGTGTTAATACCTCATATGATTATTACTGGGGTATATATGGTATATCGGTATAGTTTTGCTGCAGTGTAATTTGTTTCTTTCTGACTATCTTCTATGATTATTGGATCTTATTACCCACTTAGTGCCTGTTTTAAAAAGAAAACGGTCCTTGCTCACTCCAGGTATTGTCCAGAGCCAGTGCTAGTTGTGATGGACGTGCAGCCAAAGGACCCGTTTCTTTCATGTGGTCCTGGCATCAAAGTGGCCCCTCAGCGGGTCAATCTGATCACGCTCCCGTAGAATTGATGGTTTTTTAAATTTAGGCTTCAACCAGCAAAAACTGATTTGTCAAATGATTGAGAATCATCAAGAGTCCCAACTCTAATCAAATCTATGGCTATTGTATGGTATTGTAAGGTTATAGTAACCCCAAAAAGATAGAATAGTAATTTACCCCTATTTTAGTAGGGTTTTATTTGTTCTAATTCTATATTTTTGTGCGCTTGCATTTTGCGGGAGGATCTGGAGCTGCCGATGGAGGCCTACTACTCCGTCCAGGAACAAACCTCCGATGAGGACCGGCGCAACGTTGGGAATGATAAAAAAAAGTGGGTCCAAAACGCTGGAACAGTCAGAAACCTCGAAATTATAGAGGAACCATGGACACGTCGTCTACTCTGCATCCTGGAAAAACGACATCTCTTTGATTTGAGGCTTACTCTGCATATGGGGCCCATAATTTGGGGTCTGAGAAACACCCAGAAACACCGGTTCGATTACGTTGGTCCAAAAACGGACAATGCCTATGTCCTATGTATACCCCAATTAATGTTGTTTTCTTGGGATGGCAGACAGGAGACAATGCAGGCAATGCAGGTTGCTAAATTGGAGGGACCTATCATATGTAAGCTCATGTAAGCTCTATGTAAGGTTTACATACATGTAGATAAGGGCTTATAAGGGAATGTCCCCCAACAAGATGGCCGTATATGGCAGAGTACCACATAGTAGCTTTGTTTTGGGTGCCTACAATAGTCCTGAAATGGTCGGCAAAAAATGTAACTCATCTGTAGGTGCTCTGTATGTGCATCCATCCGTTTTCGGTGTCGTAGCACTGCCTTGTCTCAGGTGTTCAAGAGAACTTTCCTGCATGTTTCGTCAACAGTTGGGGCGTTCGAGGCGCGACAATCAGGTCCCAGGTGTCCCAGGTCCTGTGCTGTGCCATACGAAACGGGATGATGTGAGGCCGAAGAAGTGGGTGTTGAGCACCTTCTTCGTGACATTAAGAATGCGTGACCTGGCAGGAACAGGATCTCTTGGATCACTTGGATCACTCCCTTTTTTAAAGTCGACATAAGTTATGACATGTCAAAAGGATATAAAAGGATTGAAAAATCCATCAAGGATCATCAAGGTCGGTCTTGCCACCATTTCAACATATTTATCATATTTCAAGATATTTCAACATATTTCAACATGCTTCGTGGATGTTCTTGGGCGACCAAGAATTTCCCAGGTCAGCCTCGACCCTGGCGGTTCGGGTGGGCGACAAGATTGGTGCCTTGAAGGGCCTTGCCATGAGACTCAGGGAGATTTCCCAATATCTGAGCCAAGTGGTGGCCGGAAAGCTTCCCATGAACCAGGAGGGTCACCGTATACGTCACCGTTGTTGTTGGGGAAAATGCTGGGTACCCAAAAATTAACAAAAATGAAAAACATCCCATTGTTGATGATGTTGATTCGTCATGGTTTCCATGTTTTTTCTCTTGCGGCCGAAGTTTCAACATGTTCAAAAGGTAGCCACTGAAACTTGGATACTGAAGCTGCGGAGCTTGATCCAAACTGCTGATTTGGCAGGAAATCATCTACCAGCTGCAGGAGATCTTCAATCTCATGCCCGATCAGGCCACAGCGGCTGCATGGGATTGACAAAAGTGGTGTAAAGGTCTAGTACTGTTCAGAGCAAGAAGTTGGCTGTTCCAAAAAAGACGGAAATCTTTCATGTGCTTCTGTAGACTTACAGACTTAGATCAATTCTCCTCAAGTGGCTTTGCTCGAGGGTTGGAACCAATGTAGATTCCTGCAGGACTCTGAAGAGCTCGTTAGATCGTTGGCAACGGAGACCAATGACATGATGCAGTAACCTTGGAATGATCCTGAAAAAGGATTTGGTGATGCTTTGCAGGACGTGTTCATTACATGTAAGACAGTGAATGCACCTGACTGGCTGTTGCTGCAATGCTGCAACATGCAGTGCTTGACCAAGGCTGGCATTGTATTTGGGCAGCATGCTGCGCTCAACTGTTGCCCTACATAATTTGATCAACAACAAGATGAAAAACAAGAAGGTCAAAGCGGGCGGCTCAAGAACTGTGATATTTGCAGTTGATAGCAGTTGAAGCCCCTCCGCAGTCTTGGGCATGTTTGGTTCCACAATATAAATAACTCTGAGGAGAAGGGTACAGAAAACAAGGACGCTGTTGCTTCCGGACTTGCAGATGTGACCAGTGGTTCAGGATGTTCAGGGTCCTGATGCCCATCAAATATGCCCGCAGGAGAAGGACAAGGAAAAGAAGGAGGATACCAAGAAGGAGAAGGAAGGTGAAAAGAAAGAGGAGGCTGGAGCTGGTGCTGAATCCTGGTATGTTCTACCATGTTCTGCCATGTTCTACCATCATGGTCTTGTTGTCAGATTTGTTTGCCTGAAAATCCACTGGTGATGAGCTGCTGCTCTGGCCAGGCCAAGCAATAAAGCCTGACTGCAAAATCTGAACACGTCAAGCGTGGCCTCAAAAAGCCCGCGTGGATCGGTCGCAGCTGATTTTTTCTGGTCGCATGGCAGCGGTTGCAGCCTGGATTTGTTGCATCGTCGCTGAGCTGTCCATTTTATGCAGGCTCTCTGGGATCTAAGGCTTCAGATGAGACCAAGTTTGACTCACCACATTTGTCAGGCATTGTTATTGTAGCAGCATTATTGTATGTACAGTAGCCGGCAGATACAAGAGCAGATGGGGAGCAGATTGATTGCTGAAAACTGTCAACGGACATCAGCCACAGCCGGTTGAGCCTTGTGGCACAGCTCCAGCAGAGGCCTCGAATTTGCCGAATTCCAAGGGATCATGTTATCAAATTCCCCACCATTTCACAGCAAGTTGTTGGTATGCCATGGCGTACCCAATTTTTCAAAGCCAATTGGCTGCCGAAATGTCCAAGTCAACTAAGCTGCCGGTGTGTTTGAATGCACCACGTTCTCTACTGAGAGATTTGCTTCTCAAGGCTAATGAGAAAAGCATAGAAAATCAGCAGCAGTGACCGTGGTAGGCAATTCTACAGAAGCGACAAGATTGCGGAGTCTCCCTAAAACTGATGCTACACGCAGCATAGTATGCATGAACATTCCTAGCAGAGATCGGGACAGCCATTTCCGGCTTGGCCTTGGGAGAAATTCACTGTCTAAAATGTGTTCCCTTCATGCAGGCATCCGATTCTCATAGGTCTTGAACACTGAAGGCTTGAAATGTGATTTCAATGTATTATAATTTACAAATATGTATATTTTATAATCTATTTCAGTTTCAGTTCACAACAAGCAAAAAAAAAGCCAAGGAGTGCTTGAGCTCAGGGCGTGCCGCCCATGTGGCTGTGTTTTTTTCAGCTTCATGCCGCAGAGCCATCCATTGGCAGATCTGGCAGATCTGGCAGATGGCGATGGTCGCCCTCAGCCACGTCCAAGTTTTGCAGCAGTGGAAGCAATCGACTTTGATCTCTATGAGAGTATCGTGCAGCTGAAAGTCTACACTATTTCTTCGTAATTAGTATAGATACCTGCTGATCATTGCATGTTTAAGGATGTTTAAGGGTGGTATTTCAATGGTTGTTGATGTTGTTGCATTCTTGGGAAAAGAATGGTTGCTTAAATATTGCCTTATTGGAGTCCTTGAAATCCGGCTGTGATGCTATTTCTTCCAACACAGCTTGACCAGATGTGCAGCTAACCGATCAGGAGCCCAACAGCTAAGAACTGTTCGGGCCCACCTTTGGAGCAGATTGTGTAGTTCTATATCATTGAGTCATATTGAGTCATTGAACTTCAACAAAACAGATTTAGGTCTCTTGTAAAGAATTGGATTGTCTTAGAACATCTTAGAACCACCACTGCATTTCATAAGATGTTAGTCGAATGAAGAATGTTGGTGGGAGAGGCAAATCCCTCTGCTGTATGGGCACAAGTCAAAACCATTCGTTGTTGCGGGGGACACGGAACAGCGTAGCAGGATTTGATCCATATCATATAGCCATATAGCCGTCATATAGCCAATAATTATGAACGGTTATTAACCCCATGAAACGACCATTTTACTGGGGGAAGGGATGATTATTGGATGGATTTCCCCTAAATCTCCAGACCAAGCCATAACCCAATCGCAACGAGGCAAGCACAGCCTTGCATCCAAAGCGAGTCCAGGGCAACGCGTGCGACAAAGCTTGGGCCGATGGATTGCTGTGGCCATGGTGGGCGTGGCAACTGGTTGTGTCGCCTCCGGGATTGACTATGGGATTGTGCGCCTTACAGAACTTCGATTCGATTTGATGAGAGTTCTCATAGGTGGAGGTGCCAACTGGGCTGTCCTTCTGTTGCTACAGGTAGCACTTTGTGGATCTTTCGCGGCCGTTGCAGCAGTTCTGGTGTGCTTTGTGTCACCACTAGCTGCTGGCAGTGGGATCCCAGAAGTCAAATGTCGCTTGAATGGCTTGGACCTTCCTTTCGTGGTGAAGTCCCGAACATTGCTGGCCAAAGCTTGTGGAGTGCTCTTCAGTGTCTCAGCCGGCTTGCCATGTGGAAAGGAAGGCCCCATGATCCACAGCGGCTCTATCCTGGGATCTTTGTTTGCCCGTGTGGTATTTGCGCGATTCCCGGAATCCTCACATCTGCGAGATTTGGATGAAAGAGATCTCATCGCCGCCGGGGGCGCAGCAGGCCAGCCTTCACTCATGCGGTGATGCTGGTATACTTGGGGAAATTGACAGGGAAACACCGAGATAATTTTAGCATCCCCAAGTTGCCAAGTATTGTGATTTTACAGAAAAACAAAGAACATGAAGAACTCATAAGGGGGAAAGAGCTGGTCCGGCAACTTGTTCGAAACCTTAATGTGCAGTTGAACATACCTGAACTTTCCTGAAGCTGGGAATCGAGCATGGCAGGAGTTGCTGCTGCCTTTGGTGCTCCAGTTGGTGGTGTCCTTTTTGCCCTGGAAGAAGGAGCATCCTTTTGGAGTCCACAGGTGTTGCTCCAAGCCTTACTATGCTCTTCCTTATCGGCCTTGACCTTGAACTTCTTTCTGGGAGGTTTCGAGTCCTTGGGCTTTGGCACCCTGGGAGCCCTGGGCGTTTTGACCTTTGGCAGCTACTTCCAGAGCTCGGGCTCCAGCTATCGCCTGTGGGAATTGCCTTTGTTTGTGGCACTAGGGGTAGGTGGTGGCTTATTGGGTGCCACCTTCAATGCACTCAACATCCCACTCACACTCTGGCGGATGCGCTGGGTGGGTCCCAGTGGAATGAAACGCTTCCTGGAATCCATTGCAGTTGCAGCACTGATTTCGGTGATTTTCTTCGCTCCACCTGCGATCCAGTTCGAATGCATGGTTACGGACGTGAAAACAGACCCACACCAGTCGTTGAGTTTGACCTGTGACCCAAGCCGCGAACACTCCACGGAACTCCAGGCGTCCCTGGGTTTGTTCATGACTCCAAGTGAAGATGCAATCAAGGTCCTCTTCCATGATCCAGTGGCTTTCCATCCCGGACTGTTGCTGCTCTTCGGCCTGATCTATTTTGCCCTGGCATGTTGGACCTATGGCCTGGGAGTTCCCAGCGGTCTCTTCGTTCCCTCGCTGTTGATTGGTTCCGTCTTTGGGCGCCTTCTGGGGGAAGCCGTGCGCAGCTTGGGGGGAGCAAGTCATGGCTGGTCACCCCCAGGTATGTACGCCCTGGTGGGTGCAGCTGCCAGCCTGGGTGGCATGGCACGCATCACTGTGTCCCTGGCGGTGATTCTGGTGGAAGCGACTGGCAATACCCAGTACAGCCTGCCGGTGCTCTTTGCCGTGATGACCTCCAAAGCGGTGGGGGATCGATTTAACCATGGCATTTATGATATTCATATTCATCTCAAAAAGATGCCTCTTTTGGAGGATCCAACTAGAGTTTCACTCTGCGATGAAGTGGTCTCTGGCATCATGACTCAGGATGTACAAAGCTTACAGCCTGCAGAGAGTCATGCTCGCTTGTCTAGCATATTGCAGACATCACACAATGCTTTTCCGCTTGTGAATTCAAAGGGCTCATTGCTGGGTCTTATCAGCCGCAATGCGCTTGTGCAGCTTTCAAGCTCTTCCAACCCGGAGCCCATCAATTTGACTCCATGTTCGAATTTGGGAGCGTACTCTATCCGTGAAAGTGCTACAGTACGCCGTGCCTATGACCTTTTCCGATCCATGGGTCTCCGGCATTTGCCTGTGGTTACTGTTGACAACACTTTGTGTGGTATACTGACTAGGAAGGACTTCTTGGAGCATTGCGCAAGCTGCACAGAGTGTTAAAAGGAACTCCGCACAGTACAGTTGCTACATGGGTGTGTCTGAAAATGGGGGGTATAATATGGTATACCATGGTATACCGTATACCCCCAATGGCCATGTTAATAGGGAAAATAAATGAAAATAAGTATTAAATTTTCAAAATTCAAAACTGTTTGAAATGTTTGCCTGCAATATCCTGCAATTGTGTATATATTTTATATTGTTTTCTGATGTTTTCTGATAGTTTCCAACAGATGATGTTTTCCTCGCTGTGATCCTCTGAGATCACGTTTGACGAGCGTTGTATTACTTTTGTTTCGAAATCAGCATGGACCGGTCACCAGGTCCGTCCCTTGCAGTGGCGTCAGTGTCCATCGGGACACGCCTGCCTGCACTGATTTCTTGGCTACGGAAACGACGTATGTGAGTGAGAGATAGTGAGAGGGCGAAAGTGTAAGTCATGATGAAAGCTCATTGTTGCACGCTTGGAACATGTTTGATCACTCTGTTTGCAGCACGGCAACAATCATGATCTCAGAAGGTAGCGCTACCTTCAATGTGTCAATTGGAGTTTGGAGTGTTTGTGCTAGCGGTCTTGCCAGTAGACTCGAGATGGCCATCAAGAAGCAGTCCTAGAGATCGATCGGAAGCAAAGATTCAGGCTTTGCAGATCTTCAAAGAGTCTGTTTTTTGGCTTTCATCTTGCTAGCTCTTGTATCGAAGAGTCAACTTCACAGCAAACCAAGTATGTTTTGAAGTGTCTCCATGCATGTGTCTCCAAGACATACTGAAGGTGCCGATCTGGTAAGAAGATGTAAGAAAATGTATATAACAAGATGTAAAATGTAATGTGACGGAGCAGTCTATTTGCCCAGTGAGCTCACATAGGGCACACCCAGGTAGCTTGAATGGTGTTGGGAGGCCTTTGGAAAGCAGCCGCACGGTGGGTTTGGAAAGCGACTGACAGCCTGAATGTTGCAACTACCCACTGCGCAGAGACGCGTTGCAGAGGCATCATGCCGATTGTTTCGTGATGAGTTGGAGTCGGGACAACTTGGTTGGCATGCATTTTACAACATGTACAGAGAATTCGAAGTGAACATCGATATACATTTGGATTGTAAGGCACGTGTCAAAGGAGAATCATGGGCGAGTACTTTGTGGTACTGGATGCCACCACCTGAGAAGGGTTTTTTCTGAGACAGCCATGCCCTTGCCACTGGATTGCAATCGCTTTCTCAACACTCTTTCTTTAGGTGCTTTCTGATTGTTGGTGTGGCTTTGCTCCGGTTGGCAAAGGCCACTTGGCAACTCCCTGAAATTCTGAAAGGAGGATTCATTCACGCAAGGAAATGTCTTTTCCGGCAATTCCCTAGCAACACCCAAAAAGTACAGAAAATATATGAAAATATAATAATACTTACATAGTGATACATAGTGAAGGTATATGTCTTATGCATATAATCCAAGCTTAGAATCATGGTACAATGAACCATCCAGGCCATCTTCCGATGCGGCGCAGTTCCACGAGGTCCTGCGCTGCGCCAGACCTCATGGTCGGAGGCTCAGGTCACCAACGTTTGGAAAAGGGAAATGGGGTATACGCCCCCAATCTATCACTTGGTGATTGGAAAAATATGGGAAAAAATGTAAAAATATGGAAAGAACTGGAAAACATGTGAGAAATATGGAAGAATTATGGAAAAATTAAAGGAAGATAACCCCACATGTCAACTTCTTGCAATAATCACCAAGCAGATGTGAAAATGAGATATGAAAGGCAGGAAAGAGAAAGGGCAGGAACCAAGCGCGCCACCCGAGCCAGCCCAGTGCCATAAGTGTCACGCCTGCCACACAAAGCGCAGGTCGATGTCGCCAAGTGCCACGCCTGCCACGGCGCCAAACGGGAACCAAGCGCGCCACCAGAGCCAGCCCAGCGTGTGTGTGTGTGTGAGTGTGTGTGTGTGTGTGTTTGAGTGTGTGTGAGTGTGTGTGTGTGTGTGTGAGTGTGTGCGAGTGTGTGTGAGTGTGTGTGAGTGTGTGTGAGTGTGTGTGAGTGTGTGTGAGTGTGTGTGTGTGAGTGTGTGTGAGTGTGTGTGAGTGTGTGTGAGTGTGTGTGAGTGTGTGCGAGTGTGTGTGAGTGTGTGCGAGTGTGTGTGAGTGTGTGTGAGTGTGTGTGAGTGTGTGTGAGTGTGTGTGAGTGTGTGTGTGTGAGTGTGTGTGAGTGTGTGTGAGTGTGTGTGAGTGTGTGTGAGTGTGTGTGAGTGTGTGTGTGTGAGTGTGTGTGAGTGTGTGTGAGTGTGTGTGAGTGTGTGTGAGTGAGTGTGTGTGTGTGAAGTTGAGTTGTGAGTGAGAGAGTGAGTGGTGAGTGTGAGTGAGAGAGTGAGCGTGTGCGTGCGTGAGAGTGAGAGTGAGAGTGAGTGCGTGCGTGCGTGAGTGGGTGGGTGGGTGAGTGAGTGAGTGAGAGGGTTATGTGTGAGAGGGCTGTGTGTCTGTGAGAGAGGTGTGTCAGGGTGTAGGTGGACACGGGGCGGGAGGAGGAGGCGGGGCGGACGCGGACGGGAGCGCACAGCCAAAAGCAAGAACCCCACACAAAGACGTGGGGAATGATGACAATCCATCACCATGATGTTGTTTTTTTGAGAATCTATATAGCAAAACTGGCGATAAACCATGGGATATATGGTGATGTCAGACCATTCAATTGAGAGGAGGGGGATGCGCCACGAGTTTGTGTTTCTTCAAAAAGGCGGGACCTTTGTCTTCTGCGCACTGAGCGGCGCTCTACTCAGACCTGAGTCTTACCCCTTTGGGAAAGGAAAGTACCACCACAAAGCACATATTAGTTTGTTAAGTTGATTGCCCTCTGGAACTTATTTTGTTTGTGATTTCAGTTTTTTCTCATTTACCTTGCTTGATTTCGTGTGTTTTTGTCATCACTTGGCTTTGCTAAGGCTCGGCAGGTGGCCATGCTTGCAGAATGACTTTGAACGCTGCCGGTGGGTTGCTAAGAAGGGGGGAAAATATTCAGTGAGACATCGTAAGACCTTGATGGATATGAAAAATGAGTGATATATATTGCATTTTAGGGCAAAGACATGACATAGTCAAAGCACGGTAAGACCTTCATGAAAATTCGACAGGTGAAAATCTACGGGAAAAACACGGTGACACCTTGAAACGTGGGAGCAGCACCCAGGTTGGAGTGGCTGGCGCGGAATGACATGGCGCCTCCCAGCCACAGATCTTCGCAGCCGTTACCGTTGCCTGACCTGCTTCAAGAGCAAACCACGGCAACTATGGAGGCATCTCAGGGCTGTGTGAGATGGAGGTTTCCATAGGAAAAATAGGGATGCCACAATAGCTGGATGGTTGATTTATGTTGATTATTGTTGATTTAAATGCCGGATTTCCTTATGAAACCAAATGAAAACTGAGGGGGTCGCCGGGGTCGCCCCATGACTATGGAAACCTCCGTATGAAAATGTTAGACAGCGATGGGTGATGTGGCCGTGGCCATGAAAATTTCAATGAGTTTCGATGGAGGAATTGGAGCCTCAGGGGGTCATAGATTTTGCCCCAGCCTTGGTGAGTTCGTTGTTCAAAGCTCCGTGCTGATGAGTTGGGTGGTCAGCACGAGGCTTGGCAGACAGTGAACTTTTTGAATGCAGCGTTGTTCGATGACTGCTTGCTGGCTACGAACTTGGTGAAGACAGAAGTGTGTTGGAGCACGCTATCACCCATGTCATGCACGAGTATGACCCAATCCAGCAGTTGTCACATTCGGCACTGGATGCGCCAGACAATTGCCATACAGCACCGCAGTCTAAATTATCCGGGTTTGTTTGATTTGTGTTGTTTTGAACACGTCCACCACATCGAGTTTTCACTTCTGAAACCTTGTTGCGGAATGTCTCTACTCTACATTCTACATGATTACAATAATCAATATTGAGGTCGATGACGTTCGCATCATACACGATCCAGGTGCAAATTCCAGATGTCCTGGTGATGTTCTTTTCGTTTGCGTCTTAAGATGGGGACCCTCAAATCATCCAAATTTCTAATTTGTGAATATTTTTGATAGGGAAACACTGGTTAACACCCACATATTGCCACCATTTTATGGCTTGATGCGGTCCCAAGGTTTTTCAGCAGCTTCGCAGGGGATAGCATGGAACATACCTTAGCCTGACCTCTAGAACATTATTTCACTAAACGAACTAACACATATAATCATATTAAGAGATATATAAATATATGCTATGACAATCTGTGATATATATATATATACATATACATACTGGTACTAGGATAATACTAGAATTATATGATTAGTTTAAGATAGTTGAAGTAGTTTGTTGGACTGCTACTGACTTTTCTGCTGCCATGTGTCAAACAGGTGAAATGAAGGAAGCAGAGGCTGGGACGTCTCACCATGGTCACCATGATTGACGACAATTGCCATGATTCAACATCATGGTGGTGGTGGTGGTGGTGATGGTGGTGGTGGTGGTGATGGTGCTGATGATGATGATGATGATGATGGTGATGGTGATGGTGATGGTGATGGTGATGGTGATGGTGATGATGATGATGATGATGATGATGATGATGATGATGATGATGGTGATGGTGATGGTGATGGTGATGGTGATGGTGGTGGTGATGATGATGATGATGGTGGTGATGGTGATGGTGATGGTGATGGTGCTGCTGCTGCTGCTGATGATGATGATGATGATGCTGATGCTGATGCTGATGGTGATGGTGGTGGTGGTGGTGGTGGTGATGATGATGATGTTGGGTATTGCCAAAGTTCCTGAGGCATGGGTCCGAGTGAACTTTTCTCGGGATTTTACCCTTGCATGGTGTGTGTCTTGGGTTTGAAGCCATGCCGCAGGAGCATGATGCAATGACTCCTTTTACTGAGTTGGTTGGAGGGAAATCCTCCACATCCGTTGACGTCTTTCACTAAGGCTGTGCGTTGAATTGAATTGGGCGTTGTGTAGGACCTGGTCTGCATCAAGGCACAATATGCTCTTGCCATATTTCGATTGGGTCAAGGTGCTTCACCCCAAGATCAGATAGTCTGGCGCTAAAGTTAAAGTGCTGAATAGATTGAAATTCAATTCGTAGTTCCAAGTGGTACCAACATGTTCGACCACATTCCCGTCATTAGCTGCGCACCAAGCACCGCAAAGAATTGGGGTCGTCAGGATGGCATCGGTGCTTCTTCATGAGCTTGTCCATGTTTGGCATGACTCAGGATGGCGCAGGCCCATACACATTGCTGGTAGGTGTGCCGAGTTAAGGCAGATTTTTTTGTAGGGTTTTGAATAGTACAGATATGTACAGATTATAACATTTATTTACTGTGATCATAGGAAGCCTTTGATTGCATAGCAAGCGCTGGTCTACACTGAATGATCCAAATGTCAGTCCCCAAGGGGGGCTGAAGGTTGTCAAAGTCGGATGTGGAGTACAAATCTTTTGTTGAGAACTGAGCCATGCGCCGCAATACTCTGCTGACAAATGCGTTTGGATTGGCTAGCTCCAGAACAACAAACTTCCCCCAACAACCTTCTTCTCTGAAAAACTTTGGAACAGAAATGGCTTGCTCACAACGGTTCACATGTTCCAAGGGAGGCGGGTTCCTTTGCAGGTTGGATGAACTGACATCTTCACACTCCCCTGAATTCCTGAGGAGACTTGGCTTTAGTGACTTCAGATGGTCGAGAGAGAGCTGTGTTTGCACCTTCCTATGCCTTCCTATCATATCTTGCCTTCTGGACCCCTCTGGTAATTCGAGTGAGCTATGTAAAATCACCGACCAATAGGCAAATAATATCAAATAATCATAAATCCTCTAAAAGGGCCATGTTCCATAGCTATGCTAAACAACCATGGGCCCCATGGGGTATCATTTCCATTCGTTTCCTATCTCCGTCACCTCCTTCTCAGGAAGTGCGCGGCAGTGAACGATATCTGTGAGATCCAGGTCATGGCTATGACGGCCATAGCCATGACATCCTTTCGAGCCCCGCGGGATTGTTTTTTTTCAGCCAGGCATGGACGTTCTTTCCCAACGTCTTCACTGAGTCGTGGGTGATGTTAGGCTGGGGGAATTCTGCCAGAGTATGGTGGCCAAATGTGGCCAATATCAATTTGATATTGATTGACAAGAGGTGCTTCAACAACATCTCGTTCCAACGATGCTTTTGCGCCATCTGAAGATAAGCAGTTGCATTTGTGATCGTTTGTGATAGGAGCCCACGAACACCAACGATCTAAACTGAACACGCTTGCACGTTACGCTTCGCATGGCTTCACACTCTACACGCAGGAACATTGAGCTTCAGTCAAGCCCATAAAATCCATAAATCCAGTTGCGTCTCCTGGTGTTTTGGGCAGTTGAAGAAAGCCTCATGGAGCTTGACTTGGTTGCAAGAGCAGACCTTAAGAAGAAGTGGCGAGCCTTTCTGGAGATTCAGGGTCACTTCGGAGGCCGCGTAATGCAAAATCGATTCATCGGAGCAAATTCATGACCCACAACCACATGCGAGCGTTGTCCAAATCAAAATCAAAGAATGCGGATCATCTTCTCTTGCGACAGCTTGCGGTTTTGCTTGTGAGCTGCAACATGTTCATTTATTTGTCATGGCGTTCACATCCCTTTTTGGATGGCACAGGCAGCTTCATCAGTGACCTACAAAGCCTGGGGGTGAGCTACGCGGATGCCAGGGTCAGTCCGGCCACTGTAGTGTTCGCAACATAGGCTCAGGGCCAGGGGCTTGGTTCACTCCTGCCCAGGCAGCCAAGAGGCAGCTGAATGCTGGGCACATTTGGCAGGCCTTCAACTTAGGCCGCACTGGGCGATGAAGTGCAAGTCTTTCTGTGCAAGTCCTCAATTAAATCTCTTAAATGGCCGGAAGTCAACAGATGTCAAGATCGAAATTTATTCAGGAACATCTCGAAAGGTACTGATAAGTTGCTTCACGAGCAAGGTCACGAAGGAGCAAGCCTTACAAGTTCAAGTCAGCTGGTTGAAGCTCTCACTTCGTGGAACACCAACCAGCCATTTTCCAACTGCTCAGACGACCTCGTCGCCCAATTTCCGCCGTGTTTGCAACTCATGGCGCCTGCTGCATCACGCTTTGCAGCCACAGGACATCAGTGTGTTTCAGTCTGTTTGAGCATGTTGAGTTCTTGGATGGTTTGGATTTTGTTTGGATGATTTGGATGTTTGAGACCTGCTGAATCAGTTCCGCATGATTGTGCGACACTTGGCCATCAATGATTGAATTGATGAAAGCAGATGCAATGCAGCAACTGTAGCGGGTGTTTGAATTTCTTAACCTTTAACCTCAAGGAAGGCAAGTGCGAATTATGTGGAAATCCGGTTGAAGATGTTTGAACATGGTTGAACCATGTTGAACCCTTTGATTGAAGTCATTCTAACACCATCTTGATGGCATCCTGCAGGCCTGGCTTTGGGCCTGGCTTCCACCTTCGTTGTGCCCAGCACACCCAGCACCAAGCCGGTTGGTACAGTTGGTGCTCTTCGAGGCTGCGCGACATCACCGTGATGTCGGGATTCCCCGGGGATTGATGGAAGAATCGAAGATCATCGAAGGCTTTGCCAGTTTTTCCATGTTGTGTTCGTGCTTGTTTCATTTTTTCTAAGTTTCTGTTCCTATCTTTCGTCCTGATCTGTGCTCGCAATAAGTGTCAACATCAGTTCGTGATGAAGGACAGAATCAACAGTATCACATGTTACCACACACCCTTTAAAGTCCCGATGAGGGCCGAGTGCCTTGCTTCAGGCGCAGCCGTCGAAACGAATCCCACTGTCAAGTGTGGTTCTCAAAAGCTTTTGATGTTCAGATGGAGCTCCAAAGGGTAACATCGTGTCCCAATTTTCTCTTCCCACGCGCGTGTCCTCGCTTTGATACTGTAGCTACTGATAGATATGCAATGATTCACGATGATTCACGCATATGTTGCATACTCAATCAGCAATCATACTCACATGTTTCAATAATATGTCAATGTATGTCAGACGTATGCACACAGTGTACATGAATGATCATTGATGTTTTTAGCGCAGAGAATCGACAAAATGGTTGCATACAAATCATTCGCACAATGTTGCACACGAAGTTATACACAAAGTGTTGACTCTCAAGGCCCACTTTGCACAACCAAGGTCGACTCATCTCGCTGCGTTGGCGGCTGCTTCTGCCACTCGTATGAAAAACAAGACATTGAAATCCAGTTAATTGATGTCAATCTTTTAAACGGTGTGTTTTTATGGTTTTCCCCAAACAGTGTCTCCACAGAGGGGTTCTTACGGCAAGTGTAAAGGCTGGTGCTTGATCAGGGTGCTCCAGCTGGTCCGCAGCATTTTACCCGTAAAAATCTGCATAAAATGGCTCTTGTGAAATGCCCACGTGCATTTCGACTGCGCAGACTCTTGTGAAACGTCCAAGTGCATTTCGACTGCGCAGGCTCGCACAAAGTCTGCGCCGCGGTTCTGGGCCCGGGCGCGGGCGCAGGCTCGCACAAACTGTGGGTCGCGGTTCTGGGCCCGGGCATTTTTCCCGCATAAAATGGCTCTTAAACATCCAAATGCATTTCGATTGCGCAGGCTCGCACGAAGTGTGGGTCGCGGCTTTGGCCTACGGCATTTTACTTGTAAATTCTCCCGTAAAGTGCTTTTTGTGCAATGTCCAAGTGCATTTCGATTTTCCAGGCTGGCACAAAGTGTGGCCCGCGGTCTTGGCCTGCATCATTTTACTTGTAAATTCTCGCACATAGTGGCCTTTGTGAATATCCATGTGCATTTCGACTGAGCAGGCTCGCACAAAGCGTGGGTCTCGGTCTTAGGATCGGTCCTCCTCCTCACCACCATCATCCTCATCATAGTTAACGGTCCCCCTGTCATATAGTGTGATACATTCTTTGTGACGCTAGCTTCTTTGCTTAAGGAGTTCAAGTGTAAGGTGCCAGCGTTCCCTGGCTCGCTAAACTGCTCATTGGGGAGCTGGTGTGGTTCTTCTCTTGGGAAGATCCCTACCATAAGTCTCTCCCTTGGGTGGTGGACGCGATGTCAGGTGAGCGTCTGGCGCCATGGAGAAAGACAGGCCGCAAAGCTGATCAGCGGCACTTTGAAGGGCTGGAGATTGGCTGTCTTCTCGAAATGGCGGTGTATGACGATAGGAATCGTCCCCAGGGTAGAGCCTTGGCAGCGGTGACTGGTGCAGCCCTCGAGACCTACATCAGTGGCGGCCGGGTTTTCGAGTGCCAGATGTTGGCCATAGAGGATGGCTATTACCTGTACTGGTTCGAGAATGAGTATGGGAAGCTGACGGATAGTCCTGCGGTGTTTGTGCACTTCTGCGACGTGCCAGTTGGAGGTTGCAGGAGTGAGACCGCCTTTCGGAATCCAATTCATGTGGACGTCTTCAGGTTGGTCACTTCGGCCCAGGCAGAACGACTTGTATGGTTGACGGCTGACCAGAAGGCCTTCGTTGCTGCTCATCCTGCGGTTGTTGGGGGGAAGGATGTCCCTGGGGGGGGAGCTGTTTCCACTCCTGGGGCAAACCAACCTCCCAACGCCTTGGAAGGAGCGGTGGTGACGGGGCAGCCTGGCATCGAGGGGCTTGCCCGGGCATTGGGCTCCGGCCAGGGGGCTGACAAACGCCCTGCCGATCGTGAAACAGAGAGCCCTGCCAAGAAGGAGAGGAAGAAAAAGAAAAGGGACAAGATCGCCGAGAAGGCCCGTAAGCGCTCTGAGAGTGAGGAGGAGACCAAGGATCAGCCTCATTGCAAACAGAAGAGGACTGAGCGCAAGGAGAAGAGAGCTGAAGAGGGCGATTCCCTTCGTGAGGAGCTCACCAATAAGGCTCCACCGGAACCACGACTGTCAGCTTTGGACCTTCCTCAGAAAAAGAAGAAGAAGAAAGAGGACAAGAAAAAGAAGAAGAGCCGCAGTTCCAGCAGTGACTCCATCCGTCCACGCAGTCCCTCGTCGAGTTCAAGTTCAGGGCTGCTTTTTCATTCAGCCGCCCTCCCCAGAGGCATGGAACGCCTCAGACGCCTACATCAAAAGCACCCGGGCAATCTGGCCTCGGTGACCCTCTTGAGGATGCAGGAGTTGGTGCATCGAGCACAGGGGAGGGGATCGGCGGAGAACAACGCAGAGAAGCTGCCTCCAGTAGCCATGAGTTACGTGGCGGGCGTGTTCCTGGTGCAAAATCCACCGGCTCAGGTGGGAGTCTGCAATCTGAGAGAATTGAAGACAGTGGCCACAGTGATCGACATGCTGTGTCAGAACGACGCACCAAGGGCCCTGGACGTTTTGGTGCAGCGCCTGAAGGCACTCGAGCTGGCGCACAAGCAGCAGGGATGGGCTCAGGCGTCGCAGCTGGAGTTGGTGTTGGACGACGACCTGACAGCAGTGTTCAGACCAGAGCTGAAGGCGGCCCAATCCGAAGTGAAGGAAGAGATGAAGATTCAAAGAGGCCCCTTTCGCCCCCAGCGGCAGCAGACCACGTGGACCCCGACATGGACGCCCAAGACAGGGGACACCGACGCAAAAGGAGAAGACGCCGAGAAAGATCTGCCTCCAAACAACCAGCCGAAAGGAGGGGGCAAGAAAGGGAAAGGAAAGGGGAAGAAAGGCCGCTTTGGTCGGAGGTGAACATCGTGGATGGCCGGCTGCAGCTGCCTGCTTTACAGAGAGCTCTGGCGGGCGCACAAGTGCAACCAGCGGTGGAACAGACTTTTGAGGTGCTCCTGAACGATGAGAGGCTCCACCATTTGTATGGGGGGATCCTCCAATGTTATGAGAGCCTGGCTGACCGTCAGAAAGTTTACCAGGACTTCACCTCGCTGATGGTGGAATGGTGTGAATTTCCAGCGGATACCATCTTGAAGTTGCTGGAGAATTACTACCGCCCACTGGCCCGTGAGGGGGGCGCCCTGGGAGATGGAGCTTTCCGTCGAGTTGCAACAGTCGTGCGCCCAGAAGCTCGACGTCGGCCAGGCAGATATCAGAGGGCGTGTGAAGGCAAGCTCCTTGGTGTTGTGGGCTCCACTCAAATCAGAGAGATCTATACTGGATGGGATGCATCCGATGGAGGTGTCTATGTTGGTGATGGCAGCGAGTTCTTCCCCACATCCATCTTCAGGGAGAACTATGCTGACAACATTGCAGTCCAGGATGCAGCTCAGGCCCTAGATGGACGCCCCCTCTATGTTGATCCAACGGGTTTTGATGTGGCTGCAGCTGTGATCGAGCAATTCAGCATCACGGGAAAAAGGACAATTTGGTCGTGGAGGGATTGCCAGAACTTCATGGCAGCACATTTGGCTGACGAGGTGCCTGTCTCTTTTGTCGGGGTGGTGCTGAAGATGGTCATTGAGCGCTGCCCCGGGCACTTGGGAAATTTGACTCGAATGGTGCCCTGCTGCGCTAGACGGCACTTTAGGCAGACGCCTGTCGAGCTGCTGCCAATTGCAGTCCCACCGGATAGCCAATCTATGCTCAGGCTGCAGCGACTGTTGTTGGAAAATGACAAGCCACGGGCGCTGACTGCAGCTGAAATGGCCCAGGCCTTTGATCTTTCCAAGGAATGTGGCATCGATGCATGGCTGAGCTTAGTCTTGGTCGTGCTCAACGCCATGTTCTGTGGAGGATCTCGGCCGCTGGGTCGCGTGATGCCGCATCCCTTGCAGCACACTGCAGAACAGAAAAAGACTGTGGATGACTTCAAGAAACTGGTGGCACTGTGGATTGAGGAGGACGACCACCGCATCAAGGCCACAAACTGGGAGGTTCAATCTCAGGGGCTTGGTGACTTCTACACTGGCTATGAGGTAACCAAGGCCTACAAGCTGACGTGGGCAGCGATTGCCCCTCATGTTCCTGGAGAAGGTGAAGCTGGCAGGGTGTCGCTGGAAGAAACAGTGGCACCGGAGCTGAAGGAATATGTTCGGGATCCGTCTTTGCTCAGAATCCCTGACGACGAGTTGGGCGATGTTCGACATTCTGCCCCTGTGCTTGTTGAGTCAGATTCTGAATATGATGTCATTGTGAAGAATCTGGTGCTGGCCGGGATGATGGAACGGGAAATTCCCTCTGAGACAGCTACGGTCAATGGGGCTGCTGTGACCAACGGGCTTTTTGGAGTCCATAAAAGTTGGGTCGCTGATGACAGCGGTGGCTGGCGGCGGTCTTTGAGACTGATAGTGAACTTGATTCCCACAAACATGCTGCAGCGCCGCATGCCCATCCAGTCGTCAAAGGCTATGGGGTTTGCTCCGTTGTGGGGCCAGATGGTGTTGTTAGAAAATGAGGTCATCATGGCGTATGGAGAAGACATTAAGCATTGCTTTCATGTGTTCTCCCCCGGCCCACTTTGGCGCGGATACTTTGTGATCTCCAAAGAGGCAAGTGCCAGCTGCTTCAACGACGGGCTGAAAGAAGCAGCCAGACCTCGGATTCGTTCAGCGCCGATGGGATGGTCAAACATCGTGGACTTTGTGCAGTCCTCTCTGGAAAAGATGGGAACCTTAGCAGGAATTCCAGCTACCAGGTGTGTCAAAATGGGTGAACCATCTCCACTGCTCGAACTGACTACACCGCGGCAGTACCACAGCTTCTATGTGGACAACTACGATGGATTCGTGGTGATCGCCCGCACTGCTTTGGGTGAATATGAAGGGCGCCCCTCTGACAGCCAGCTGGCGTTGAGACGCACCTTTGAGGCTTGGAGCATTGGAAGAGATGAGAAGAAAGCGGCTGAGGGCACCCTGCAGTGGACAAGTCTTGGTGCGGAGCAACTTGGAGAAGAAGGCTTGGTGGGGAGCTCCCGAAAATTTCGAAGAGCTGTGATGGCGTCCTCGCTCCACATGCTGATGAAGTCAGACATGAGATGCTGTGATGTGGAGTTGCTCTCGCTGGTGGGCAAGCACATGCATGCGGTGCAGTACTGCCGCCCTCTTGCCTGCTGCTTTGATGAGCTCTATCGAAATCTCAGCCTGGATGATCCCGAATTGCTGGTCGATCTCAGTGCCTATGAGGAGCTCCTTATGCTGACTGCCTTGTTGCCCATGCTATGGTCCAGCCAGCGGTCGTGTTTGAGCCCTACGGTATATGCTACAGATGCATCTCCTGAGGGAGGAGGAGCCTGTCAGACCATTGGGCTTTCATCACGGGGCCGTGCAAAGCTCCACCTCGTGTGCTCAGAGCAGGATGACAAAGAAGGTGGGGCCTGCGACTCCATTGTGCTGGTGGAGATGTTTGGAGGCATTGGAGGCCTGCGCAAGGCAATTGAACTGTTGGGCGTTTTGCCTCAGGGGATCATTCTGGTTGATTCTGACCCAGTCTGTCAGAAGCTGGCCAAACGCCACTGTGCCTTTGTGCTTGTTGTCGACAACGTGCGCAAGGTGGATCAGGCAATGGTGAAATCGTGGCGTCTCCAGTTTCCACGGGCCACAAAAGTGCTGGTCGGCGGAGGATGGCCTTGCATCAACCATTCTTCGCTCAACAGCAGCCGCAAAGGTGCTGAAGCCGACTCCTCTCGACTTCTGGAGGACATGTTGGCCGTGGCTGCAGCATTGAAAACGGTCAGCCGGGCCCTACGACTTCCTGACTGGGATGTGGTTGAGTTTTATGAAAACGTTCTGATGGATCAAGAGGACCTGACTGTCCAGTCTGGGAAGATCGGTTCACTCCCACTGATGAGTGAGGCAGCCGATGCCTTGAGGTGCCGCCGACCCAGGCTGTTTTGGATAAAAGGCCTCCCTGTGATTGAGGGCGATGACCTGAGTTTGCTCCCAGATCAGCAAGTAGGAAATCTGACCACCAAGCTGACCGTGGCCAAGATCACCCTCCGCTCGATTGGTTTCTGAGGAGGAACTGCAGCAAGCTGGTGGATGATAACAGGCCTTTCTTTACCTTTGCCAGGCCATTCCCGCGGTCAGAGCCACCACAAGACCCGGCTGGGTATGACAGGTGCGACACGAAAACTCTTGGTCGCTGGCGAGGAGACGCCTACCGCCTTGAGCCTTATCAATACTCTGAGGACAACCTTGTCCGAACACCCCAGGCCCTCGTCGGTTGCTGTCAGATGAGCAGCTCCGCATGCTGGGGTTCAACTCAGACGCCCTGGACCTGAAGCAGAAGCTTACAGAGGATCAGCGTGGGCAGTTGATTGGAAACACGTTCCCAGTCTTGGTGGTGGCTCGCCTGCTGGCTGCACTTTGCATCACCAGCGAAATGGTTGCAAGCACAGACCTGACGGCTGAACTCTGGAGGATTTGGAAAAACAATGAAGACAGAGTGCAGCAGCTCAAGGAAGCGTCATGGTCGACACGGTTCGGGCCAGGGGCCAAGGGGGCGGTGGGTGGTCTCCGGCATTGCCTCGGCACGCCTGGGGATCGCTCATGTTCTCCGAGGTCCCTGCTAGATCCGAATGCAGCCCTGAGTGATGAGCAGTTGCTGATCTACCTCATCACACGCAATGTTTCACATCGTGGCACCGACGTGAAGTTGGACCATGGAGTACCTTTTTCGGCAAGTGACTTTTGCCGCCGTTCAATTGATCCCACCCATTGGGAGTGGAAGGTTGTACTTTCATACAAGTGGAAGCAACCCAATGCCCATATCACCCAGCTGGAGACGGTCGCAGTTTTGGACCTGATGCGCAAGCTCAGTCGCTCTGCCTCAAACTTCAACAAGAAATCTCTGCTGCTGGTCGACAATGCTTCAGTGGTTGGAATCTTGACAAAGGGAAGAACAAGTGCCTACAGTCTCCGGCAGCCTCTTCGTCGACTAGCTGCAGTGCTGGTTGCTACATCATCACGCTTCATTGTGGCCTGGGTTAAATCTGAGTGGAACCCCGCTGATGGCCCTTCGAGGTGGGTCAAGAAGCGGGCACTGCGTGATGCCTAAGCGACGACAGGTGTTGGGAAAAAGGACCCGGGCTGAAAGGAAGCGTGAATGAAAGGCATTGGGGAGACTAAAGTCACAAGTTGTATCACCTAAGACTGAAGCTAGATATGAGGCAAGTGTTTCACGATTTCTTGAATTCCTAATTGCGCATGGGAAACCCTATCCACCGTCCTTCGTATTTCTTGATAGGGAAGTTTCACTCTTCATTGAAGAACTCTGGGAGCAGGGCGACCCCAAAGGCTGGGCTGGTGACTGTTTGAGTGGTTTGGGTCACTTCATTCCACCCTGCAAACCTTTCCTAGTTGGTGGTTGGCGTCTTCATGCTGCTTGGGGCCGTGCAGAACTCCCATGTCGGGCACCACCTTTTACGCCACTCCTGCTATATGCTGTTGCACAGTCGGCAGTTGACCATGGTTGGGTGGATCTGGCAGTCCTTCTTATCCTTGGGTTCCATACCTTTGCAAGGGCTGGTGAATTGTTCCAAGCAAAAGCAGGCAACTTCGTCCTTGGCCAACGTTCGGGTACATGGACTCTCCCTTTGTCAAAGAGCGGCCAGCGACAAGGCGTGACAGAAAGTATCCTTTTGACTGACCCCTTTGTTTTAGTTTTGTTGCGCAATTTTGTTAAGGATTTGGCGCCTGGGGACTCACTGTCTTTGGTTTCGGGGGGAACCCAACGAAAACGTCTCAATGACTTGCTGTTGGGCCTTAAGATTTCTTTCCCCTTTCGATGGTACAGTGTTCGCCGGGGAGGGGCCACTCATGCATATAGGACTTCCAACAATATTGCTGCCATTTGTGTAAAGGGGAGATGGAGTAGTGTCAAAACTGCTCGTATTTACATTTCTGATGCAGTTGCACAGTTGACTGAACTTAAACTTTCGGATTCTCAATTGCGTAAGCTTCGCCATTTGGCCACCAAATGCCGACCTTCATTTGAAGCGGCTGTTGTTTAAACTCCCTCCACTCCCTAACCCTGGCTCTTCTCCACCTGATCTTTCCCGCTTGAGCCAAGCTACAAACACTCGCGCATTGGCGCAAAAACGGGGAAGATGGTACATGGGGCGTGTCTGTGTATTGGCATTGGCCAAAGGGAGGCAGACACAGGTGGCTTCGGGTAAGTGATTGCGCTGGGGGTGCTAAGGGAACCTGGGAGGCTCCAGACGTCTGGTGGCACTAGATGTTCTTGGTGTTTCCTGTTGGGTGTTCTCTTGGTGTTCTCTTTATTTATCTCTGAGATGTTTCATCTCTTAGATCAAAACCGCCTCTAGCGCAGCTGCGTCACTAAAAAGGGGAGTCACTTGAATGTTGAACACTAGTCATTTTCCTCCTCCTCCACATCATCATTCTCCACATCATCATCTTCCTCCCCCTTGACCTCATCATTCTCACCTCAACATCATCAACCTCCACCTCATCTTCTGCAACATTAAAATTATCATCTTTTTTGTCATCATCCTCAACCTCATCATCACCACCACCACCATCATCATCGTCATCATCATCATCATCATCACCATCACCATCACCATCATCATCCTCATCCTCATCCTCATCCCCATCCTCATCATCATCCTCATCCTCATCCTCATCCTCCACATCATCATCATCATCACCACCACCACCATCATCATCATCACCACCACCACCACCATCATCATCATCATCACCCTCCTTCTCAACATTATCCTCCTCCACCTCATCATCCTCCGCATCATCTTCCGCGTTATCATCCTCATCCTCATTTTCCTCAACATCATCATCCCCAACATTATCGTCCGCAACTTCATCATCCTCACCATCACCATCATCATCAACAACAACATTGTCATATCTCTTGACGTTTGGGTCCGTGTGAAACGCGGAACATGGCAAATTTTACCCAGATCCCTTTATATTTTTCGGGACCAGTGAAACGCTAACCCAGTCATGATTTACTGTAGTACATTTGATGGTACATGCGCAGAATGGTCGTGAACGATGAACATTATTCGATCTAATGTATGAATATGGATTGATGATGATTGATGTGATTACACAATGTGGATCCATGATATATGATATGGACCGACATGAAAACCTTAGTCATTCAGTTGGTTTGTGCGCCTGCGTGCCTCTGTTGCAGCAGTGCCCATACACTGTGGTCAACCCAAGGTCAGCCTTGCTGCTGTGGGTGCCGGCGTTCGCCGCACCAGTACTAAGGCGAGACTCGTAACATTTTGTAATCAAAAGAATTTTGCAGAGACGAAGATTGGCATGTGTGGCAGTTTAGACGCGGATCTTGTGGCATCTAGAACCATTGCAAATTTGTGGCAAACTGGAAAGCACAAACACTGCCTCATAGAACTAGACATGCAAAGGTAACAACACAGTTCAGCACAGCAATCAGTTGCAGGCAACCTTCCAGCCTTCGCAGCAGATCGGCGCAAGCGAACCACTTGGTTTCTTCGATCCGTTGGAGTTTACCAAAGTGGGTGATGAGCAGGGTTTCAGGAAGCTGCGAACATCTGAGATCAAACATGGTCGAACCTTGCTTGCACAGCTTGATGAATCTAGAATTAGAGAAGTGTCATGCGTGTGTGTTGACATAAACTCAGATGAATGCATGACAAATGAATTATACAACCTTCTTTTTCAATAGCGAACCAATGGAGATCCAAGTATTTGTTAGCTTCTGCATTGCAGGACGAGGCAGGAATCGTTCATGTTGCCTCAATTTGGATGTTTGATGATGCATGCATGGTGTGCATTATTTTGCCTTTGTTATGACTCAATGTGCCTTTCAGATTGACTCACTCCATATTGTCTTGCATCTGATGGTTCGAGTGAAGCTCTATGGTTTGCATGTTTTGGCGGTGTTTTGTGTTTGTGTTTTGGAAGTTCGGGCAAGGATTGGCAATGATGGCCTCCATTGGCCTTGTGGCCCAGCACTATTGGAAGCTTCCTGGTTTCGAGAACTTGCCTTCAGGTTTCTCCGTCTTGGGCACGCAAGAAGGTTTGCTTGGTCTGTTTGCTCTCTTCTTGGTTTCTGGCTGCTTGGAAAACTCATGGAGAGAGGATCCCAACGGAGCAAAGGAGCCTGGCAACTTTGGCGACCCTTTTGGCCTTCAGATGTACACCCAGGACATGAGAATGAAGGAGCTTAATAATGGAAGGATGGCCATGATTTCTGTACTTGGGATCTTTGCTGCAGAAATGGTGAGTGGCAAAGATGCCATCCAGCAGTTTGGTCTTCAGGCTCTCGGCCGTGGTCAGCTTCGGTCATCCGGCAGCAGCTTCACTGGCAAGACATCCGCCCAGTCCGCTCAGTCGCAGTTTGTGACGCGCAGAGCTTTCCAGCCTTCGCAGCAGATCGGCGCAAGCGAACCACTTGGTTTCTTCGATCCGTTGGAGTTTACCAAAGTGGGTGATGAGCAGGGCTTCAGGAAGTTGCGAACATCTGAGATCAAGCACGGCCGAGCCTTGCTTGCACAGCTTGATGAATCTAGAATTAGAGAAGTGTCATGCGTGTGTGTTGACATAAACTCAGATGAATGCATGACAAATGAATTATACAACCTTCTTTTTCAATAGCGAACCAATGGAGATCCAAGTATTGTTAGCTTCTGCATTGCAGGACGAGGCAGGAATCGTTCATGTTGCCTCAATTTGGATGTTTGATGATGCATGCATGGTGTGCATTATTTTGCCTTTGTTATGACTCAATGTGCCTTTCAGATTGACTCACTCCATATTGTCTTGCATCTGATGGTTCGAGTGAAGCTCTATGGTTTGCATGTTTTGGCGGTGTTTTGTGTTTGTGTTTTGGAAGTTCGGGCAAGGATTGGCAATGATGGCCTCCATTGGCCTTGTGGCCCAGCACTATTGGAAGCTTCCTGGTTTCGAGAACTTGCCTTCAGGTTTCTCCATCTTGGGCACGCAAGAAGGTTTGCTTGGTCTGTTTGCTCTCTTCTTGGTTTCTGGCTGCTTGGAAAACTCATGGAGAGAGGATCCCAACGGAGCAAAGGAGCCTGGCAACTTTGGCGACCCTTTTGGCCTTCAGATGTACACCCAGGACATGAGAATGAAGGAGCTTAATAATGGAAGGATGGCCATGATTTCTGTACTTGGGATCTTTGCTGCAGAAATGGTGAGTGGCAAAGATGCCATCCAGCAGTTTGGTCTTCAGGCTCTCGGCCGTGGTCAGCTTCGGTCATCCGGCAGCAGCTTCACTGGCAAGACATCCGCCCAGTCAGCTCAGTCGCAGTTTGTGACGCGCAGAGCTTTCCAGCCTTCGCAGCAGATCGGCGCAAGCGAACCACTTGGTTTCTTCGATCCGTTGGAGTTTACCAAAGTGGGTGATGAGCAGGGCTTCAGGAAGTTGCGAACATCTGAGATCAAGCACGGCCGAGCCTTGCTTGCACAGCTTGATGAATCTAGAATTAGAGAAGTGTCATGCGTGTGTGTTGACATAAACTCAGATGAATGCATGACAAATGAATTATACAACCTTCTTTTTCAATAGCGAACCAATGGAGATCCAAGTATTGTTAGCTTCTGCATTGCAGGACGAGGCAGGAATCGTTCATGTTGCCTCAATTTGGATGTTTGATGATGCATGCATGGTGTGCATTATTTTGCCTTTGTTATGACTCAATGTGCCTTTCAGATTGACTCACTCCATATTGTCTTGCATCTGATGGTTCGAGTGAAGCTCTATGGTTTGCATGTTTTGGCGGTGTTTTGTGTTTGTGTTTTGGAAGTTCGGGCAAGGATTGGCAATGATGGCCTCCATTGGCCTTGTGGCCCAGCACTATTGGAAGCTTCCTGGTTTCGAGAACTTGCCTTCAGGTTTCTCCATCTTGGGCACGCAAGAAGGTTTGCTTGGTCTGTTTGCTCTCTTCTTGGTTTCTGGCTGCTTGGAAAACTCATGGAGAGAGGATCCCAACGGAGCAAAGGAGCCTGGCAACTTTGGCGACCCTTTTGGCCTTCAGATGTACACCCAGGACATGAGAATGAAGGAGCTTAATAATGGAAGGATGGCCATGATTTCTGTACTTGGGATCTTTGCTGCAGAAATGGTGAGTGGCAAAGATGCCATCCAGCAGTTTGGTCTTCAGGCTCTCGGCCGTGGTCAGCTTCGGTCATCCGGCAGCAGCTTCACTGGCAAGACATCCGCCCAGTCCGCTCAGTCGCAGTTTGTGACGCGCAGAGCTTTCCAGCCTTCGCAGCAGATCGGCGCAAGCGAACCACTTGGTTTCTTCGATCCGTTGGAGTTTACCAAAGTGGGTGATGAGCAGGGCTTCAGGAAGTTGCGAACATCTGAGATCAAGCACGGCCGAGCCTTGCTTGCACAGCTTGATGAATCTAGAATTAGAGAAGTGTCATGCGTGTGTGTTGACATAAACTCAGATGAATGCATGACAAATGAATTATACAACCTTCTTTTTCAATAGCGAACCAATGGAGATCCAAGTATTGTTAGCTTCTGCATTGCAGGACGAGGCAGGAATCGTTCATGTTGCCTCAATTTGGATGTTTGATGATGCATGCATGGTGTGCATTATTTTGCCTTTGTTATGACTCAATGTGCCTTTCAGATTGACTCACTCCATATTGTCTTGCATCTGATGGTTCGAGTGAAGCTCTATGGTTTGCATGTTTTGGCGGTGTTTTGTGTTTGTGTTTTGGAAGTTCGGGCAAGGATTGGCAATGATGGCCTCCATTGGCCTTGTGGCCCAGCACTATTGGAAGCTTCCTGGTTTCGAGAACTTGCCTTCAGGTTTCTCCGTCTTGGGCACGCAAGAAGGTTTGCTTGGTCTGTTTGCTCTCTTCTTGGTTTCTGGCTGCTTGGAAAACTCATGGAGAGAGGATCCCAACGGAGCAAAGGAGCCTGGCAACTTTGGCGACCCTTTTGGCCTCCAGATGTACACCCAGGACATGAGAATGAAGGAGCTTAATAATGGAAGGATGGCCATGATTTCTGTACTTGGGATCTTTGCTGCAGAAATGGTGAGTGGCAAAGATGCCATCCAGCAGTTTGGTCTTCAGGCTCTCGGCCGTGGTCAGCTTCGGTCATCCGGCAGCAGCTTCACTGGCAAGACATCCGCCCAGTCCGCTCAGTCGCAGTTTGTGACGCGCAGAGCTTTCCAGCCTTCGCAGCAGATCGGCGCAAGCGAACCACTTGGTTTCTTCGATCCGTTGGAGTTTACCAAAGTGGGTGATGAGCAGGGCTTCAGGAAGTTGCGAACATCTGAGATCAAGCACGGCCGAGCCTTGCTTGCACAGCTTGATGAATCTAGAATTAGAGAAGTGTCATGCGTGTGTGTTGACATAAACTCAGATGAATGCATGACAAATGAATTATACAACCTTCTTTTTCAATAGCGAACCAATGGAGATCCAAGTATTGTTAGCTTCTGCATTGCAGGACGAGGCAGGAATCGTTCATGTTGCCTCAATTTGGATGTTTGATGATGCATGCATGGTGTGCATTATTTTGCCTTTGTTATGACTCAATGTGCCTTTCAGATTGACTCACTCCATATTGTCTTGCATCTGATGGTTCGAGTGAAGCTCTATGGTTTGCATGTTTTGGCGGTGTTTTGTGTTTGTGTTTTGGAAGTTCGGGCAAGGATTGGCAATGATGGCCTCCATTGGCCTTGTGGCCCAGCACTATTGGAAGCTTCCTGGTTTCGAGAACTTGCCTTCAGGTTTCTCCGTCTTGGGCACGCAAGAAGGTTTGCTTGGTCTGTTTGCTCTCTTCTTGGTTTCTGGCTGCTTGGAAAACTCATGGAGAGAGGATCCCAACGGAGCAAAGGAGCCTGGCAACTTTGGCGACCCTTTTGGCCTCCAGATGTACACCCAGGACATGAGAATGAAGGAGCTTAATAATGGAAGGATGGCCATGATTTCTGTACTTGGGATCTTTGCTGCAGAAATGGTGAGTGGCAAAGATGCCATCCAGCAGTTTGGTCTTCAGGCTCTCGGCCGTGGTCAGCTTCGGTCATCCGGCAGCAGCTTCACTGGCAAGACATCCGCCCAGTCCGCTCAGTCGCAGTTTGTGACGCGCAGAGCTTTCCAGCCTTCGCAGCAGATCGGCGCAAGCGAACCACTTGGTTTCTTCGATCCGTTGGAGTTTACCAATCTTTTCTGATGAGGAATTGTGTATTCCCATTCTCAATGAGCCTGTGTCGGTACAGGCACCTTGGGCCTCGGCCCTCTTGTTATGGCCTAGTGCCCCGTGCTCGGGTGTTAGGTCCCGCCTGCGTGGTGGACGACAGAATAATAATGGAAGGATGGCCATGATTTCTGTACTTGGGATCTTTGCTGCAGAAATGGTGAGTGGCAAAGATGCCATCCAGCAGTTTGGTTTCTGAGCAGGGTTCAATTCATGAATTTGATCAGATTCGTATAGTACAAGGCTAATCTGGCTTAGTGCTTAGCGTTCTTCATTGATTGCATTGCATGCCGTGCACAGTTTTCAATTTTCAGTTGTCCCTGCAACAAATGCAAGAGGGCGCGGGTGTTTCCCAAGTTTCGACCTGAGAATGAACGAAAACTAAGTGGTTGACCCGAAATTGACGACAATTGTTGCATAGAAATCCATAGGCATCCATGCAGTTGAAACTTGACAATGCCCATAGTTTCGATGTTTCAGAAATTCTGATCTTCGAGCTGGCATTTGATCTTCCTTCAGCTCCAAACAGGGCCCGTGGAGATATGTGCAGATCCATTGAGCCCTGGGTTAAAACCCTCACATACTAGCAGTTCCTACGGGAAAAATAGGCAGCGGTTCCCTCTATCACAGTTTCTGTCGTTTTTCAGGCAGATGTTCACAGTTCCAGAAGCATTCCATGATCCACAGGATGTAACAATTGCATTACAATTGCATCTGGAGGCTACACAGAGTTTCAGAAGTGGCGCCGTACTGCAGCGGAGGTGCATCGGTCAGGGGTACCCTGGCGGCCAGTGAACCCCAAAATAGTTGATCTATGCTGATCTCTGATGGATGTTCATCCCCCCAAAAGATGGAGAAAGAAAAAGGTGTTGATCCATCCCCATACCAGTCCATAGATACAGCAGCCAATGGTGTGCGTGCTGATCAATTGGAGGAAAGTCAAACAAATGCGGCATCACATTGCACCGCCTGTAGAGTAAAGCTGTTAACACTCATTCAAAACAAGATTTCCACAGGCAACACAGAAGAGCCACATGTTTTCCCTCCAAAATGTGTTTGTCCTCAGGTGTTAATGCAGAAGCTGGCCAACTCTGCTACAGCTCAGTTTGAAATCATCATCAGATCAGATTATGCATAGGCCTCAGAGCATCTCAGTCAGATTGAGAGCCCGGCAAAAGGCACAGATGGCATGAAGAGCGGTAAATTCAAATGACAAATCAAAGCCGGCAGTTCTTGCACTTCTGAAATTTAGTTCAATATGTGGTCATGAGTCATAAGGGTCTGTTTTCGTGCAGGTGTTGGCCCCTGCAAGCATGCTGGCAGAGCTTGCCCCGCATGGAATTGATGCAAGCCTTTGTGACACCCTACTCTGCAGTCGAGCGAGTCGGGTCGCTGGAGACTTAGGGTGCGACAGTGGATGTTCGACTGGTTTATCTTCGGTGTTTTGTTGTAATAATGATTCTGGTAACATGGCAATGGAGAATTTCAAAATCCACCATAGATTAATTGTCCAATGTCCATGTATGATCATGTATGCCTTTGCTGCAGAATGGTGAATTTCCATGGATTTTCCAGGCATCTTTGATTACCAGAGGCCTTGATTACATGGATCACCGTGCCCCAAGGTTCAGCTGCGGGACAAAAAATCTGCGGATCGTTGCATTTTTCTGAAATGAAATCAGTGGAGGATTGACAATCCTTGATGGATTATCAAAAAAGCAGCATCTCAAGGCAGAAAATAAATTGGGAGGTTTTTTGATGTTTTTTGGATCTTTTGGATGATTTTGGACGGAATTTGGAATGGCTCAAGCTGCCAGTCTAGAAACCGACACGGTGCCACAATGAGTGGCCTTTCAGATGTTCGGGTGGTGCCCGCGTGTTGTTTGTGCCTCGGGCTATGTCTTCTGGTGTTTGCCATGATTGCAGTGCCGCTGCCTAAGAGATTCTGCAGCACAATTGTCCAGTTCGATTCACCAAGATGATTACAATCGACTACTAATTAATATATCACGAAAGGTAGCGTCAGCTACCTGAGTTCTCCGTGCTTCAGCACAAGCTTAGGGGGTATTGGGGGGCCAGCCCGTGGAATTCATGGAATTCTCGCCGTTATGTATTGGATATCAATTATAAGGGGGGGGCCCCCCCCCCCCCGAAAATGGTCATGGGTTCAATTCCCACGGGTGACGCGGTCACGGGCCCCCACATTAGAGGCACACTTTCCATGAGGGAGATGTCCCTGTAGTCCAGCATAATTGGTTTGCTTCAGCTTCAATAACAGTTGCTGCAAAGGGTTTTAAAAAGGGGTTTTTAATAAACCCCTTTTCGTGCATCATTTCACGCTGCACAAGACACCGTATCATGCAGTCATGATATAATATGATATGATATAATATAATATGATATAATATGATATGATATGATATATAATATAATATAATATAATATATAATATGATATATAATATGATATATAATATAATATATAATATAATATATAATATAATATATAATATAATATATAATATAATATAATATATAATATAATATATAATATAATATAATATATAATATATAATATAATATAAAATATGATATATAATATAATATATAATATAATATATAATATAATATAATATATAATATAATATATAATATAATATAATATGATATAAAATATAATATAATATATAATATAATATAATATATAATAAAATATGATATAATATATAATAGAATATAATATATAATATAATATAATATAATATGATATATAATATGTTATAATATAATATAATATAATATGATATATAATATGTTATAATATAATATAATATAATATATAATATATATATAATATAATATATATATATAATAATAATATTTATATATAATATTTATATATAATATATTCTCATATATTGCACATATATGAAGAATTCTGAAGATGTGCATATAAAATGTCCTGCATTCAACATCTTTATCTAAACACACACCGCACCTTCGCTGTTCCCAAAATGTCTTCCCGTGCCTGGATGTTGTTGTCTGATTCGCTTCGCCCAGAGGCCTGTCTCCTTCAAGTCGATGGAGCAGGGAAGACAAGCTGTGACGCTGAATTGGATGAGCCAACAAGTCAGCAACGAGGTGCGCTGGTGCCAGGCCGTCGGTGCCAGCTGATTGCCGTGGAATCCATGGAGGTGTCCGATTTTCCATTGGGGGTACCCCCAGTTATCATCATTTCTTAGTAGGATTTTCCATTAACCATCAGTTTTTGGCGACCCCCATTGTTGGAAACCCCCATATGAACCTATGATATGACAATAGAAACAATGACCTGAGGTAAAGACTGAGCCGGGCGTCAGCTTCGTTGGCTTTGGGAACTATTTCATTGAGTTGCAACCTCAGCCTTTCTGGATCAGTATCGCAAAGGCATGATATTGCCAGCAAGGAAAAAACATCGCAAAACAAAGAAAGATGTGTCTTTTGGGAATATCACAATACTCGCAATTCCCAATGACTGCTCAGAAATTGTGATTTTTGGGATGCCCCCCAAGACTATATTTTATTCAAAATGATTCTGAAATATTCTGAATATCTATAAATCTCTGGCATACACAGTACATCACAGTTCATCACAGTGCCCAATGTCTCATGATTTGTGCAGGTTCCCGGCGACCTACCAGGCCGTCTATTTCATTCAGGACGGTCGAGGTGAGGAGGACGTTGGAGGTTTCCTCCATGAAAATTGGAGGACGGTTGAAGGGAAAATCTGGATATAACCGGGAAGTTCACATGGATTTCCATGGATTTCCATGGATTTCCCACATGAAATATATCACGGTTTCCTATGGTTTCCTGTTTTTTTCAACCATTCCAATGACATTATGATGGGATATCCTGGGAAAGTTCTTTGATTCATTCCATGAATTTCCATGGAGTTCCTGGGCGTCGGCCTCCGGACCATGTCCTGCCAGGTGTGAATCCGGTTCCCGTTCCTGACTTGTTCACCCCTGTGGTGAAGGGCCCCATTCGGGCACGATCTGCTGATGGCTTGGAGATGCTGATTTCCATCTCATTTCAGTGGAGATTAAAGCCGAGAGCTCAAGAATGCTGAGATATGCTGAGATAAAGCGCTGAGATTTTTCGTGACTTCCTCGGTGCCAGTGACTGCTTTTGAAAATTCGAAGGCCAGAAGCATTGAAGGGGCTTTTTACCATCCTTGGTGACAACCTCTACAAGGCAAAGTGACAAGTTCTTCATGTTGTTCTTGTCCTTTCTGTAGTGCATGTAAATGCCATGAAATGCCTGTGTCATGTTGTTCTCATCTCCAATCCATTAAATATAGTTGTACAGTAAGTTATAAGTTATAAGTATATCATAAACCATCATAAACCATAGTTATTGGATACTATTGGTTCCCCCTCCAATCCATGCAGGATGAATTTGTCCGGTTTGCTCGAGCAGCTGTGGTCGAAGCCTGCTCCTTCTACACCGCAGAGCAGTCACTTTGGCATATTTGGCAGCAAGGATTGAACAGTTGGTTTGATTGAAAATAGGGTATATTATACCTCTAAATTTGATGGTTTATCAATGTTTAATCATCATCTTCCCCATTAAGTGGCCATTTTGGGAGGTATCCGCCATTTCAAGACAAACCCGGTTGTGAATTGCCCTGAACATACCTGAACTCTTCATTTAATAGGCAAATTCGTCGGCCCTACTGTAGCTTCCTTTGGAAAAATGAGATCGAAGAAAAGATCATGCCATATGTCACCAGCTGGTCGTTCAGCACCTGCAGCCACGTGGCCAGATACTTTACGCAACGTGCAGTCATCACCGCAAAGATGCTGGAGGTCTGTGGCTGCCATTGCAGCATTCCACACAGGGATCCCTGGGGTTAGCTCGGGGTTAACATACAAAAAGATCTGGAAAACCCATAGATTCCCTCGGATAATCTACAAATGGTGGCTTTTCGACATCGTACGTTTGCTGGAGGGTACTCGCACACTGATTGCTGGTTTGAAACATGCTGATGTTCATCAATTGTCACCCCTCAGCACGATGCTCCAGATTAGTGGCTTTCCCTATTTTGAGACATTTTGAGACGACCCAAGCTGTTTGGTCAATATCACATACTATCACCTTTTTTCATCATTTATTGTCCATTTGATTTGCCCACTTATATCAAAACATAGGTATATGTGTATATAACTATATAATACTATATACATATATATAATCATATGTATATTACTGTATATATATATATCAGGTGTCACGCCATTTTTTAGATTGTCTTTCCCCATGTTTTGTTCCCTGAAAAATGGGTGGTTCCGTTGGTTTCCAGGTGATGCAGGCGAACTTCAATAAACCCCAGGATGACTTGATGCTGGAGATCACAGGGCTCCAACTGCGGGAGGTTCAACCAGTGGATACCAGTGGTTTTTTTGTCCCGGCAGTGGTGATTGGATGATGGAAATCTATGGATGGATTTGTAGCGGCTACCGGGGAGCCGGGTAGTTGGATCGCTTGGACAGGTTGATCTACCTGATGACTTCGATGATGAAATTGCGAATACACAAGAGCAGATGCAGGAGGCTTTGAACGGATGGGCGGCGCAAAGGAACAACAGAAATTGTAACGGGAATGAGATTGCGGTTTGCAAATGGATGTCTTTGGAAATAGGGTACTCCAGAAACCGATGGTTTACTATGGTTTATTATCATTTTCCCCACGAAAATTGCCCCAATTTTGGACCTGGGTGTCCAGCCAGGTGGAAGTTGGCAAGGCAGAACGGCAGGAGCGGATCACTCCATGGATCGATGGATCAATGGTTGCCCATGGTTGCCCAGTAATGACTCCTCAAATGTCAGATGTAGTAAGCGGAGTGAGTTTGAAATCGCACTTCCATGGGATTTCAATGGATGTCATAGGTCAATTGGCGGAATTTCTGTACTTCAAGGTTTGATAACTAGTGGGTCTGATGGGCTTCAAGTGGTTAGACCGCAGAACCTATGGCCAGGAGCAAATCATTATCAAAGAGGCCGCGATAGAAGTAGCCATGCAAAAGGCTGGCAACCCATGGTTTATTGATGTTTATTGGTTTGTTGGATTTGCATGACATTGTTTGATCTCCTACTACTGTTCTGCAATTTCTGCAGTTCTACACCAGGTGGAAGAGATCATTAAAGGAGCCAAAGGGCAAGCCGCTCGAGTGCAAATCCAGAACGAGGCGACGGAATTTCATGCTGTATGTCATGCTACCTTGCACTCTTTCACATTGTTAGCATCGTTTTGAGACTGTCGCTCCAAGCATTTCTCCCACAAGGCAACGATTAAGCAGCTCATGCTAGTTCAACAGAGGCAAGCCGAGGTGGGAGTCGGTCTTTGGCAAGGAGAGTTGATAGTTCACGCTTCTATACAGTACTTGCATTACCTAGCATAGCTATGCATAGCTCATGCATTACTGTATCTGGCATTGCATAATATATATACATAATATATATACATAATATATATACATAATATATATACATAATATATATATACATATATATATATATTATATATATATATATTATATATACGTGTATTAATATAATATGTATATCATATGTATAGCTGTTTACACACTTCTTTACAGTGCAATATGAGACCGATGAGACCTGGGCTTGGATTTGAGTATTTGAGCTGCTCAAGAGAGCGTCGTCTGTCGTGGCAATGCGAGGCAAATGCTGCCATTTTGCAGCAATTTGCCAACGATACGTTGCCTTTCGACAGGCGAAATGCCCATCTGTTCATGCGTGTTGGATCATCCATGCGTATCGTTGGGATGGATGATGGATGCAAAAAAAATCTAAAAGCTATGCATTATGTATCATTATGTCATTGTTGCTTGTGAATGCTTGTGACCCTTGTTGGGAAATAGCCAGATTGCCCATGCTGCAGCAAGAGGCTTTTCAAAGTGATGGAAATCAGAGCACTTGATGATCACGCTCCGGACAAGCTCACAGTCAGTTTGTGAGGGGAGGAGTGTATTTTGCTGTTCACCACCCGTGTGATGGTATGGCAGTTGTGCGGTGCAGAGGGCAGTGAAATGAACATAGAATTTGTTTGCATGGTCAGCTCCAAGCTTAACTAAATTCTAGCAAATTTAGCTCAACTATTGTCCGCCTTTTGCAGTCGGTCAAGAACATCTTGGCCCATGATCTGCCGATGCCGAGAGAGAGAGATCATGTACAATCATTGTCAGTTTGAAACTGGGAAGCCCCAAGGGTTTTGGTCAGTTTCCAAAGACTCTTGCATTTGTCAATCTCGCAGTGCCTACTGTGCCTACAGTTTCGTGTTTGTCATGTACATCAGCGACCGACTGACTCATCAGATGGCAAGAGTTTCAACATGAGCTGGCCAGTTGCCGCTTCGATTGCTGGATCATGGCCGTCTCATTACTGACTTTCAGCGCTTTAATGGCCAAAAAGAATCCTGGTGACGATCAAGATTCTGCAGGGAAAATGTGCAAAACAGTTCAAGTTCTGCATATCGTGCCCACGACGGAAGCTTTTCAGTGGAGTCCAAGACCATGGTGTTTTTTCCGCATGACACATGAAACAGTCTGGCGATTGGTTGGGAGTTCCCACCATACCAGTTTGCCATAGCATCCATAGATATCCATAGCCCTACTAAAGTTCAACACATTCAACACGCCGTTCACGGCTCCTTTTCTTGAAACCCCATCCGCACTGCTTGTGCTGTTCAGAGAATCTTGTCAAATCTTGAGAGTGATGATCCGTGACATACTGAAACAGGTTGCATCGTGTCAAGCTATTGAGCAAGCTGCTTCAGCCATGGCTTCTGCAAATGCTCCCACGATGAAGGCATTGGCTTCTGAAAATGTTTCCGTAGAAAAGATTGTAACTTTGGCCGCGACAACATTTGCATGATTCCATCATGCCACAAGAATAGTTTCTTCTGTACCAGGTTGCTGCCTGTGTGAATCTGTGTGCTTTCAAAAGCTTGTGAGAGTTTCGACATGTCATGCAACGTCATGTGAACATTGTGAATACCAACATTGTGAATACCAACATTGTGAATACCAATCCAACAATGCAAGGCCGGCAGAGAAAAGAAGAATTGGCTCATCAATTTGCTTTATGTTCGACAGGCACAAGTGTGACAACACGTTGCAACCATGGTTTGGGAAGCAGTTCGGTAAGTGCAATTTGTCCAACCTTTCTCTTGATTCTTCTTTCAGCTACAACCAAAAGATGACGGTTGGTCCGATGAGGAACTATGCAGGGAAGGATGGAAACAGTACATAATCATTAATAAATTTAATAATCATCCGAATGTCCAGTGTTTACACTTTTTACACCTTCACCGGCATTTGATCAGACAGTTTCCTGCCCAGTTTCCACGTTTCGCTGTGAGAAACATGTTGTTTCACCAGGAATTCAAGGAATGCATGGAAGTGATAGAGGAGCAACTGCGTGATTCGAACGGAATGTCTGGAGCCTGGCTTTGAGATCTTTGAGCGGCTCTGAGTTGGTTATGTCGTGTGATGGGTATGCGGTGACGCCAGGTGTGAGTATGCCATTTATGTGAAGGCTCTCATAAAGCGACAGGAAGGGCAGGCAGATGGTCGTCCTGAAGTATCCTGCTGTGTCAGAACATGTCATGTTTCAATGTGTTCGATGATTTTTCTGAAGCTTCAGTTCTGTTGATAGAATTTGGCAGTTGACTTCCATACTACAGTAAGTCGAAAGCTGTGGATATGAGAGACCTGAGAAGCAAAAGGTGCAACGCACTTCCACTGTGATCTCTGGGTAGGTTCAGGAATCATTGCAGCTATTCCAAGCTGCCACCTGCATCAGTCCATTGAACGTCTACAATCTCAAGCAGGCCGTAGATTAGGAGGTGTCCGGGAACTCATTGGGGGTCCAAATCATCCAAGTCATGAGACATCATGAGACATCATGAGACCCTGACTTAGTATTGAAAGATATTGAAAGCCATTGTTAAAATATGTTAAAATGGGATCCACCATTTAAGAAATATCCATATGTCATGTAAATAAGTTGAGACCCTCAGACGCCATCGCAGATGGGTCGAAGCCTCTACCTGCTTGGCAAGCATCGTGGAGCTATCGAGGTGACCGGACCAGACCCAAACAAGTTTCAACAGACCCCATATTAAGAGAACAAGTCAAGGCAGATCTAGTTACTCTAGTTGCGACTCTAGTTGCTTCAATGATCTTTAATGAATTTCAATTTCTGGTACTGCGAATTGACGGAATGGTTGTTGTCATCAAGAATCCGACTGGATCGGAGCAAAATCATGCAAAATCACCGCAGGTCTATGACGAAGCCCAGAAGATTTCGCCGGACGACTGGGAGATTTGGCACAACAAGGGCCTTTGCTACATGTACCTTCGTCAATATGACAGCTCCATCGATTGCTTTACGAAGGCGGGACATTGGATGGAGATGGAGTATGATGTCAAATAATGGTTAAACCATATACAACCATATCTACATACCTATTTACAAAATACATCAAAATACTATATTATATTATATTATATTATACTATATTATGTTATATTATATTATATTGTATCATAAATTATTATATTATATGGTATATTATATTATATATTATATCAGATTATATTATATTATATCAGATTTTCTCATTATCAGATTATATAATATGATATCAGATTATATATTATTATATCAGATTATATATTATATATTATGTCAGATTACATATTATATATTATATAATATATATTATATCAGATTATATATTATATATTAGATCAGATTATATATTATAGTTTTTATATTTTTATTTTATATTATATAATAATATATTATATATTATTATATATAATATAACATAACATATTATATATATATACAATACTGTATATAGCGATGTATTGCAACTTTCTGTTTTTGGTGACACCTTGGCGAGGCGAACCAGATTCAGCGCCACGATGTGACCTTCATGCAGCTTGGAAAGGCAGGGTCACCACGCAGCTTTCCAACCAGATGTGGGGGGGTGTTTCCGATGGCTCGTTTTCATGTCTAATGTGGATATGTGTGGGTTCAGTGTGGATACACTTTAAAAAAACTCTGAAGCATGTGCATCAGCTTTCAGATTTTTGCAGGTACATGCATTGCAAGAGGATTATAAGTCAGCTATTGATGTCTACACTGAAGCCTGGATCCCCAGAGATTTTGAGACTGGAATGTCCGTTAGCAGTTGAAGGGGACTAGATTACACGTTTTGATGTTTTTACCCAGGCGCTGGAGTTTTCACCGGAGCATGCAGAGCTCCTTACAACTCTGGGGATCCTATATTTGCGGTGTCTTGGCAGAATGAAAGCATCAAAGTTCAGTTTTTGCTTCACATATTACTTCACAACTTGCCGGAAAGACTTGATTCCTAAGGATGGGAGAGAACTTCAAGGCCTTTGTGGCTTAGCATGTCTTAGCATTTGAAAGATGTTTTGCTGCTCAGCCACAGCCTTGGCGTTTCCAGCTGCGCCAAGGATTATTTGGGAAATGCCTTGACACATGATCCGAAGAATGCCAAAACAATTCTGGCAGCTGGATCCATCATCCAGGAGAGAAGACACCTGATTTCAGTGGCGAGTTGAACAGCCTGAACAGCAACTGCAAGGTGAGAAGATTTGAAATATCAATGGGTTGAACATGGAAAGACGGAAAGACGCAGGACCACTCGGATATGGATGTCGCTTTGATCAAGTATCGTGTGGCTGCGGTTCACACGCCAAATTCTGCTCAGCTTTGGAACAAGTCCGCAGCTCAGCTTTGCTGAAACGCCTGAAGATTGAAGACTTGATTCACAGAATTGATTCTGCCAGGGGTAGATGGTAGAAGTAGGTTCTATGTGGCCTGGTGGTTTCCATCATGATCCATCATGTTCCATCTCCAGCGCCACTCTACCAATTTGCAGCTGCATTGTTCGCAGTATCGGAATGTGCTTCTTCGGGAAGACGAAGTATGTGGCTGCGATCGCTTGCGCTTGCCTGAGTGCACTGAGAGATTGAAATGGCTGTGCCATGCTGTGCCATGCTGGATGATTCGTAGACGCTCCTAAAAAAAGCCGTTTTCGTAGGGAAAATGATGATGAATCAGTGACCATTAGTGACCTTAAGGGTACACTGTGCACAAGTTTCAGACAAAGTCCAATTTGTTTCGAAAGCAACTTGCAAAAGACTTCTCTTTGTGTCCATGTGGCTCGAGGCCTAAAGCGTGCTCTTTATTTGGATCCATTTGAGTGGATCATTTCTTACAATTTGGGTGTACCTGACATGCCTTGTCCAAAGTTCTCCTTATTTTTTCTACGCATCGAATACGTGGTCGGCCAGGCCTGGTGCATCTCAATACTGGACAATTTGCTTCCGCACTTCTGGCTTGTAAAAAAAAAACATCCTGGGCAAGCTTGGCAAGCTTGGGCGTCCTTGGACCATTTGGCAACAAAAAAGTCATCGCCAACTTGGCCTAGTTTGCCCTCCGGAAATCAAACATTGCAATGGAAAATGACCCGTTTGAAGATGATGTTCCCATTTGAATGTCCATTCATAGGGGATTTCCCATTACTTTGATTGATTTCCGGAGGGTACCCAATGTACATTGGCTGTATTGTGGCAGGCATTCCACTTCTTCTCTGCAAGCATCAACTTGAAGCCGGACTTCCCATCATCCTACATGCTCGGATCTCAGTAATCTGACATACCACTAAGATGACCCAAAATGTTCTGGAGTCCCAAAAAATCATAGTCTCGGTGCAGAAATATCCCATGATATATAGTGATATATATTATATCTCATCATATATGATATATATAATATGATATAATCATTTCTTATATATATATAATATATATATATAGCCATACAATGTTAGATTCTATTGGTCCCCCTTTAGTGGGTTCAAAGATCACCCAATTCCCCAAAGATCCATGGCCGCAAGTTAAGGTATTTGGCCATCACACTGAGTCGCTTGGACGACTTCTCAAATGCTTGCAGCGCCTATGAGAAGGCCAAAGGGATGTGAGATACTTGGAGTTGGGATGAGAATTCCCAATTCAAAACATACATGGGCGTCAGTGTGTTGCTCCTCTGGAGTTTGCATTCACGTCAGACTCCGTGATCATTTTGGCTTGAGCTTGAGCTCTTTTAAAGCCACTCCTGTGCAGCTCTCTGTGTGGCAAAACTTGCAACATGGCTCGCTCTGCCTCACGTGTGCTCGCTTGCGTGCTCTTGGCCCTTGCCTGCTCGGCGATGCTTTGCTTTGTGGGCACCACTCCCAGTCCTGCTGCTGGAAGCACTCCGCTGAAGCAGTCTTTGCGGGCACCGGCCGTGCAGATGGAGGCACGAGGTGGTGGTGAGGGTGCCCTTGGCGACATGAGTCCCGACACCTACATCATTGGCATCACCGTGCTTGGGATTGCATCCTTGTTTGCCAACATCAGCGGCTTCTTCAACCCATGAGAAGACCGGGGTAGAGAATGGCAGCGGCCATGATATGTAGGTTTTTAGTCTCTTTATATTGTTTACATCGCTTCGATCTGCCTGACAGAGCAGAGGATTGTGCGAATTGGGGCAGAAATAGCGTCTCTGAGGGAACAGATGGGGACGGGCGGGGACGGGCATGAGCATGTTTTCCATCCTCACATGTCCTTCTTGCAGTGGGTCCCGGGTTCAGTGTATGTTTGTTTGAACTGCAAACGATTCAGCCAAAGGAATCAATCGCATTTGAGGAACAAGAGAGTTGGACTACATTTGACTATGTAAGGTTTGATCACATGTGAGCACCGAAGGATGTGAGATACTCGGATGTTTGGATATGTTTGGATGAGAATTCCAAATCCAAAACATATATGGGCGTCACTGTGTTGCTCCTATCGAGTTTGCATTCACGTCGGACTCCGTGATCATTTTGGCTTCGGCTTGAGCTCTTTTAAAGCCACTCCTGTGCAGCTCTCTGTGTGGCAAAACTTGCAACATGGCTCGCTCTGCCTCACGTGTGCTCGCTTGCGTGCTCTTGGCCCTTGCCTGCTCGGCGATGCTTTGCTTTGTGGGCACCACTCCCAGTCCTGCTGCTGGAAGCACTCCGCTGAAGCAGTCTTTGCGGGCACCGGCCGTGCAGATGGAGGCACGAGGTGGTGGTGAGGGTGCCCTTGGCGACATGAGTCCCGACACCTACATCATTGGCATCACCGTGCTTGGGATCGCATCCTTGTTTGCCAACATCAGCGGCTTCTTCAACCCATGAGAAGACCGGGGTAGAGAATGGCAGCGGCCATAATATGTAGGTTTTTAGTATCTTTGCATTGTTTACATCGCTTCGATCTGCCTGACAGAGCAGAGGATTGTGCGAATTGGTGCAGAAATAGTGTCTCTGAGGGAACAGATGGGGACGGGCGGGGACAGGCATGAGCATGTTTTCCTTTCTGACATGTCCCTCTTGCAGTGGGTCCCGGGTTCAGTGTATGTTTGTTTGAACTCCAAAGGATTCAGCCAAAGGAATCAATCGCATTTGAGGAACAAGAGAGTTGGACTACGTTTGACTATGTAAGGTTTGATCACATGTGAGCACGAAGGATGTGAGATACTCGGATGTTTGGATATGTTTGGATGAGAATTCCAAATCCAAAACATATATGGGCGTCACTGCGTTGCTCCTATCGAGTTTGCATTCACGTCAGACTCCGTGATCATTTTGGCTTGGGCTTGAGCTCTTTTAAAGCCACTCCTGTGCAGCTCTCTGTGTGGCAAAACTTGCAACATGGCTCGCTCTGCCTCACGTGTGCTCGCTTGCGTGCTCTTGGCCCTTGCCTGCTCGGCGATGCTTTGCTTTGTGGGCACCACTCCCAGTCCTGCTGCTGGAAGCACTCCGCTGAAGCAGTCTTTGCGGGCACCGGCCGTGCAGATGGAGGCACGAGGTGGTGGTGAGGGTGCCCTTGGCGACATGAGTCCCGACACCTACATCATTGGCATCACTGTGCTTGGGATTGCATCCTTGTTTGCCAACATCAGCGGCTTCTTCAACCCATGAGAAGACCGGGGTAGAGAATGGCAGCGGCCATGATATGTAGGTTTTTAGTCTCTTTACATTGTTTACATCGCTTCGATCTGCCTGACAGAGCAGAGGATTGTGCGAATTGGGGCAGAAATAGCGTCTGAGGGAACAGATGGGGACAGGCGGGGAAAGGCATGGGCATGTTTTCCATCCTCACATGTCCTTCTTGCAGTGGGTCCCGGGTTCAGTGTATGTTTGTTTGAACTGCAAACGATTCAGCCAAAGGAATCAATCGCATTTGAGGAACAAGAGAGTTGGACTATGTTTGACTATGTAAGGTTTGATCACATGTGAGCATCGAAGGATGTGAGATACTCGGATGTTTGGATATGTTTGGATGAGAATTCCAAATCCAAAACATATATGGGCGTCACTGTGTTGCTCCTATCGAGTTTGCATTCACGTCGGACTCCATGATCATTTTGGCTTGGGCTTGAGCTCTTTTAAAGCCACTCCTGTGCAGCTCTCTGTGTGGCAAAACTTGCAACATGGCTCGCTCTGCCTCACGTGTGCTCGCTTGCGTGCTCTTGGCCCTTGCCTGCTCGGCGATGCTTTGCTTTGTGGGCACCACTCCCAGTCCTGCTGCTGGAAGCACTCCGCTGAAGCAGTCTTTGCGGGCACCGGCCGTGCAGATGGAGGCACGAGGTGGTGGTGAGGGTGCCCTTGGCGACATGAGTCCCGACACCTACATCATTGGCATCACCGTGCTTGGGATCGCATCCTTGTTTGCCAACATCAGCGGCTTCTTCAATCCATGAGAAGACCGGAGTAGAGAGTGGCAGCGGCCATGATATGTAGGTTTTTTAGTCCCTTTACAGTGTTTACATCGGTTCGATCTGTTGTCCCTCACAGAGCAGAGGATTGCGCGAATTGGGGCAGAAATAGCGTCTTTGAGGGAACAGATGGGGACAGGCATGGGCATGTTTTCCATGCGGACATGTCCTTCTTGCAGTGGGTCCCGGGTTCAGTGTATGTTGTTTGAAATCCAAAGGATTCAGCCAAAGGAATCAATCGCATTTGAGGAACAAGAGAGTTGGACTACGTTTGACTATGTAAGGTTTGATCACATGTGAGCACCGAAGGATGTGAGATACTCGGATGTTTGGATATGTTTGGATGAGAATTCCAAATCCAAAACATATATGGGCGTCACTGTGTTGCTTCTATCGAGTTTGCATTCACGTCGGACTCCGTGATCATTTTGGCTTCGGCTTGAGCTCTTTTAAAGCCACTCCTGTGCAGCTCTCTATGTGGCAAAACTTGCAACATGGCTCGCTCTGCCTCAGGTGTGCTCGCTTGCGTGCTCTTGGCCCTTGCCTGCTCGGCGATGCTTTGCTTTGTGGGCACCACTCCCAGTCCTGCTGCTGGAAGCACTCCGCTGAAGCAGTCTTTGCGGGCACCGGCCGTGCAGATGGAGGCACGAGGTGGTGGTGAGGGTGCCCTTGGCGACATGAGTCCCGACACCTACATCATTGGCATCACCGTGCTTGGGATTGCATCCTTGTTTGCCAACATCAGCGGCTTCTTCAACCCATGAGAAGACCGGGGTAGAGAATGGCAGCGGCCATGATATGTAGGTTTTTAGTCTCTTTACATTGTTTACATCGCTTCGATCTGCCTGACAGAGTAGAGGATTGTGCGAATTGGGGCAGAAATAGCGTCACGATGGGGACAGGCGGGGAAAGGCATGGGCATGTTTTCCTTTCTGACATGTCCTTCTTGCAGTGGGTCCCGGGTTCAGTGTATGTTTGTTTGAACTCCAAAGGATTCAGCCAAAGGAATCAATCGCATTTGAGGAACAAGAGAGTTGGACTACGTTTGACTATGTAAGGTTTTATCACATGTGAGCACCGAAGGATGTGAGATACTCGGATGTTTGGATATGTTTGGATGAGAATTCCAAATCCAAAACATATATGGGCGTCACTGTGCTGCTCCTATCGAGTTTGCATTCACGTCGGA